GAGGTCGGGGAGGTCCATCGTAGCCATGTTTGAAAAGGGGTTATGAAATATATGCTAGTTTTATGCCATGTAAATTGAATGATAGGTCCTGAGACATTGCGGTCAAATTCAAACTCATGCTGGTATAAATTGTTGAGTTGAAACCCATTGATGGTAGTGGAAGTAACCTCTAGGACTACTATTAAAAATTAGATAGCAGTGTTTATTGAACAAGGCATGAAATGTGATTGCGTAATTATCTAAATTTTAGAATTTGAAATAATTTTAGTCCATGTGCGCGCTGTATCATAAAGCCTGTCATTGAGTCAACTGGCGTGGTTTCGAATCCCCCGTTGTACGTGACAAGGAGTAGGGTCGCCTGTCCAACCTCGTGGGTTTTCTCCGGGTCCTCAGGTTTCCTCCCACTGTTAAAGACCCATACGCGCAAGCGAATTATTGAAATAAAATTAAACCATGTGTTAGTCCCGAAATGAGCTAGTTTGTGTCGAGTGGAGTGGACGTTAAACCCCATTTCTGTCTCTCGCTTTAGTCCATTCTTAATGTGTAGACCAAACAAATGGTAAATATATGATTTGTATTCTTTCTAAATGAATTTATTATAAAATTTCAGTGATTTAGATGATGTAAAAACAGATAGATTGCATTTAGATATCTGGTAAGTAAAATATTAAATTAAAGATCATCCACTCTCTGGATCACTTTATATATACCTTTAAAAACAATGAGCATACAAATGCTGGCATTACAAACTCATCACTTGATTTACCTATATATTTCACTAAAAAAAACTAAACTAATTCTGTCTTAGGACATGATATATTCTATTTCATTTTGAGTTCTAAAAGGGGAATATTTTGATCTGAAGGAAACCTGTAAGAAATCATTACAGACATATGTAGTTCAGTTAACTTTTGTCCAATAATCCATACATTTAAACATTTTTCATGGAGTTACATGATCTGCTCTTGGTAATGGATTTATTAAATAGCACTTGGGGATGAATTCATTATATAGCCTATATATTTTATACATAGGACAAACAAATTGTTGTTCTTACAAATAACATTTTTATACCATTTTTGATTTATCAGTTTTTTATTTCTTGTTCTATTATACTATAATAAAAACCATGCTTACTTAATATGCTAAAGGGATCATGATGAAGAGTTTTCTGTTGTGGATGCAGCCAAGAAATTAAATGAAGTATCTGGTATAAAAGGATTAGGTCGATTCTTCAAACAAGTTGCACAGTCAGCCCGTACTAAGGATGATTCAAGTGTAGATGATTTCCTTGGATGTGTCAATATTCTTTTTTCTGTAAGTAGCCAGTGTGGTACTACATCAGCCAAAAGTAGGCTAAAGTAAATCTATTAAAATTGAATCCAACTTTAATGCCATTGACCTAAATAGTCATCAGCTCATTATGAAACATTTTTATATGGTTACATGCCCACTGTCTATTTTTAGGACCATTGTCCAATATACAGCTCAAGTTATCATTCACTTGACTTACACAGTATTTATCTTCACAAAATGAAGAAGCCAGTTGATTTCTGGTGACTCAGTGACTAAGGCACTTGCTCACGTTACTAACCAGGAGGTTCCAGGTTAGATCTTGGTGTTGGTGGAGAAAGTTCTTTGGAAATTCCAACCTGGTTTCATCCAGTTAGTGGTGTAAGATAGGCAAGGGGAGTGGGCGGGGGGAGGGGGCTGACAAAAAACAGTGTCTAGTTGTTTGGATGTTCCAAAACACAAGGTCCTGTCTGTGTACACATTGGCATGCACATGAAAGAACCTGCAAAATTAACAGTTGGAATTCAATGAAGAATAAGCATAAATGCTGTTATTTGGGCCAATTTCCCCTAATATAATGTCGTCTTCATTAGCTCAGTTGTTGCAGAAAAATAGGATGTTAAACTCCATTTCATTTCATATTTATACACCCTCATGGAAATGTGGTCGTATATTTCAGTTTGAAATTTATATATATTGTTTACATTAGTGAGAAAAGAAGCCCATTGAATTTAAGCAATTTCTGTTAATAACTTCAACAGTTATAGCGTTTCACTTGTTGAACCTTGTGAACATTCGATCTGTACCTACAAAAGCATAAATATGTGACAACCCTTGTCGAGTGTTCGGATGATTTAGCTGCTGTAGGCGTATGTTTGATTGCATGGCAACCTATCTTTATTTCATTCTGCTTAAGTTATCTGATTAATTTAAAATTCATATTTATTTTTTTCATAATACAAATTACTAGCACAAATATTGGTTTTGATCATGTGCCCAACTCATGCGGATGCTGTGATTGTGACAACATATATGGTCTACTCGTATGAATTAAGCCAAATGTTTCATTGAATGACAAACAGTCTTTATATATCCTGTAAAAATCACATCCTCTTGATCGTACAGTGTTGCCTCACCAATTTAATTGTGGTTTGGATTCCACAAATGAATGTGACACCTGCCTAACATGAATGATTTATCAAGGTTCGCTTTTTGCCACTAGGTGCTAAAGTTCTTGACAAGCAAGTGAATTATTAAGATCTTGATTTGAGTGGACATTTAAACACATTTCTATTGTTCCAGAATGATTCATAAACAAACTTTTGTTATTTTATTCACAGAAAATCTTTAATACCATAATAACGTAATTTAATCATTACTTGATTTTTACAGGATATTCCATCAGTAGGATATGATAAATGGTTTCCATTGGAAGGTCGTTCTGCAAGATCCAATATACAAGGTGAGATTCACCTGAAGTGTGACCTAGCAACAAGAGAGGATCGTGGGATACCTGAAGATGATAATTGGACAGATATATTACAACATGAAGATTTGATGAGAATTATGATAGAACATGAAATACGTAATGCTAAAGTAAGCAATAATTTTAACATTATTGTTAATTATAAAACTAACATTATCTGATCAGACCAATAAGCTGCAAGGCTTATACCAAATCAGCTGTCAACAGTCATCCAGCTAGCTTCTTTATTTTTTCGACTTTGATAAATTTGATATGTATGTGGTATTTATTCTGATTTCTTGAAAAGAATAAACCACAGACTTGCTCTCATTGTTGGACTGATCATAAGGATCTTTAGAGAAGACGATACAGAAGAAGTCCTTTATAAGTTGTGATATTTTTGTCTAATCCTTTTGTAGTGTATAATGTTTTGATGATGTTATATAAAATAAGTCAAAACTAAAGTCAGGAGAGTTAATCCATATGACTATTTAACTATCCGTATAAAAAGAGAGAAGCAAACGGATACGTAATGGATACTTTTTCAGTCAAGTCCAATACTCAAGCAACCGAGCCTATCCCTTTACTGAGTGAAATTGGGTACAACTGGCCGGTATAGTGACAAACTTATTTATAAACAGATGGGTTACTTCCTATGTTTTGATATATTTTGTTGCCCAGTGACCTATTTTCACATTTAAATTCTACTTAATAATACAAGGACAAATATTCCTTATCATTAGATATGCTGTAACATATTCTAGACCTAAATCCCAGTTGTAGGGAGATTTAGAAATTGAGATTCCATCAACTATATTATACGGTGACACAGAAAATTATCAAGACTTATATAGCACAGAAATGCTCAATAATGATAATATTATGCATGTGAGATGATCGGGGGGGTTGGGTGGCCGAATGGTTAGCACGTTTGCGCTGTATCATAAGGCCTGTTATTGAGTCAACTGGCGTGGTTTCAAATCCCAGGTTGTACGTGACAAGGAGTGGGGTCGCCTGTCCAACCTCATGGGTTTTCTCTGGGTTCTCCGGTTTCCTCCAACTGCTAAAGACCCCTACGCGCAAGAGAATTATTGAAATAAAATTAAAACATATGTTAGTCCCGAAATGACCTAGTTTGTGTCAAGTGGACGTTAAATCCCATTTCTCTCTCTCTTTCTTGTGAGATAATCGACAGTATCTTTATTTTCATGAAATATTTGTATATTTTACAGGGTGCATCTTATCTATGGGATGGTGAGCTTCCTCAAGCAGCTAAAACTATTTTACATCAACATGCCATACAGGGTGACATCACTGATGTACAGAGAGCTATGTGGTATTTATCCTTTGATCTTTATTCTTTTATAATAGGCAGCCATGGTTTAAACTAACATTGGCAATAAATAGATGTCTGTAAATCAGATTCCCTCTCAATCCTTATAAATTATTTATTTATTCATTGTGGCTACAAGGATTCTAGATTTAATCTTTCTTATGATCATTACATAATATCTCTGTCCTGATGGTTCAGATGGGACGAGAAACTGAGGTCTCATGTATCTACATTGGCATGCACGTAAAAAATCCCTTGGCAGTTGGAATTAGACATAAGAGTAGGCTGTCTTCATTAGCCCAGTTAGTATGTTAAACCCCATTTCATTCCATTTGGGTGGAAAAACTGAGGTCCAGTGTACGGTTTAAGAAAAGCTCCCGTCTGGACAAAAATCTACCCTTGCAGTATCAGAAGAGAATAGTGACCAAAGTTTCATTTGGACGAGATGTTAAACCCTGTTCCATGTAATTGTGATGATTTAATACTACCTAATATCATTACAGTCGTTGGATGGCGTATAGTAGAAAACATACAGAACATGCCTTGGATTATGAAGTATTGTTAAAACATCTGATTGATCTAGATAGAATATGGAAACCTGGTACCTTATCCAGAGAAGAGGTAAGCAACTGTTACAAATGTCTATTCTAATGTAAATATTATATAGATATTTGGGAAGTCGTGATTCTGAGTTGGCTAGAGTTAATAATTCATGAAATTGCTGTCTTGGGAAATGATATGAAGTTCTTGGACAGTTCTGTCAGTCACGATAACAGATGTGAGTAATGAAACTGTTGTTATTGGTGGAGATAATGCGGACAACCACATTTATAATTTTACTTTATTTATATGTTCCAAATTAGTAAAACATGTTCCAAATTAGTAAAATATGTTGCAAATTTCAGTATTTTGGATCAATGGTAAGGCCTTTCATTAACTAGGCTCACAATCTGTCTTTTTCAAAATATTATATATCACCAATTTAATAAACAGTTTTTTATAAGCTTGCTACACATGGTGACAGGATTGCACTAATTATATAATATGCTTATTAGTACTTTGTTACATACAACTAATAAGGCAGGGCTGTCCTGGCTGGCTGAGTTGATGTACCTAGTAAATTTACTTGAATGTCAAAAAGATATGTCAATTAACATAAAAATCTTGATACGCTTGAATGGGTGTAGGGAGCAGCTGCTTACAATGTAAGACTTTCGTGCCAAAATGGGACACGTTTTACATATTGGAAAAATTAAACCGTCAGCCAAGTTTTATTTGTACTTTAGAAGAGGTATTAATGGCCCGAAAAAGTTACTGGCTGTCACTAATGGTTTTGATACAGAAGGAATGCCACAAGCTATTGGATGCCTGAGCTCTGGACAGTGCCCCAGAATCATTGCAAATGATATCAATTGCAGTGTTCGCAATATTAAACATTTGAGGGAATGTTACAATGCTATTAACAGCACAAATGATCTCCTATGCAGTGGCCGCCCAGGGGTTACTACGCAACATTAGGATAGGCACATCCTTCGCCAGCTTTGAAACAGGCACTCAATCTGCCTGACAAATCATTGAGACCCATCAGAGATCGATAAGTGCTGATACAGTCTGTCGTCAACTAGCCAATATAAGGTGTCACAGACCAGCCAGGCGACACATCCTGACAGCTCTTCATCGTCGAAATTGACTGCAATGGGCTTTTTCGTTTGAATTATTATAAAATGAATTTTGTTATAAATTGCAGAGCTCAAAATATAAAGTTCTTTATTTCTCTTATTCAGTTCGAGGTTTCTTTTTCTGTTCAGTATATTATTCCATTACAAGGTTCACACTTTGCTTTCATCGCACTTAGATAACATTAAAATCATGGTTGTATTTCTACAGCCCTGATAATTTTGATAAAAGCTTTTAAAACATGAATTATGAATTAGTATTAGTAATAAAAAATAATTCTTACTTAATATGTGCTTCTGTGTTACTTCTATGGATTTTACACATTTTCTTGCACATAACTTATTAATATAACTCATATAACACATTATTGTTCATTAATAAAACAAGAACTCATACCCGATATGCCTATACTTATTCAAATTGTGCTAATTGAAATATAATCATCTTTTATAAATACGAGTGCTTTTTAAAAACAATAACCAAATGATTCTATATAGATATCAATATTATGACATATTCTATCATATCCACATTTCTGCTACTTTAGTCAGCACAGTTTGGCAATTTAAAATGTAATGATGGTGGCTATAAATGATTTGAGACCATCAATAACATTAACCCGTTAAGTGCGTAGGGCGTAATATAAGTCCTGGACAACTGCCACTCACTGTGTGTAGGGCGTAATATAACGCCTTGGAGATATTTTCCCCAACCTATTCTTAGAACATAGTATATAGTTCTTCGTCACTTCGTCAAATAAATTACACAATAGGGGGTAGTTAACGTTTTAAAAATGTCACGCTTAACAGATTAATTAAATAAGAACTGCATATATATGATATCCCAGTTTTGTGTTAATTGCAATATAAATATCCTTTGATAAAAATGGGTGCTTTTAGAAAAGAAAAAATCTCCAAACAAATACTGTATTGATAACAATATTATGACTTATTCTATCATATCCACATTTCTGCTACTTCAGTCAGCACTTTTTTACAGTTTAATAAGAAATGATTTCTTGATATGCCATATGTTGGTTGCTTTTTAATTCATTTGATAAGATTAGGAAGGATGAAGTAAATAGTTGTATCACTGAGCTGGAATTTCTTTATATCAAAAAGTATGTGTGGTCATGAATATTTTTTTGCTGAGAAGATCAGTAATTGAAGCCATTTCTATCAAAAGAAAAAAGATTGTGTCTTGTGAATTGTTTTTTTCTTTAAATCATTAGATTTTGAATTCCCAGTACAGTAAGTGTTCAGCTTTTATGTAGGGGTATTCTATATGCAATAAAAGAAATTAATGTTTTGGAAATGTTTTATTTATAGGAGGAATGTCTGGCCGAGTCATTTAATATCTTCATAGAATACAGTTTAAATCTACTGAAGAGACATCGGGATATATTTCCACCTTCAAATAAAATAGCATTTCATCGTCTAGAAGGAATGTTACGGTAGGTACAGAGATATATTGTGCACTTATTTCTGATATTTAGTTTGCAGCATATTTATTATTAAGGCAGTATAAAAGAAATAATCTGGCCCCGAGTTAAGAATTTACTGAACTTTCAATATTGTTTGTGAACTGGACGCCAGGTTCTCAGATAACTCTGCATCACTTCAAAAGGGCCGCATAAAAATATAAAAAAAATAAAAGCCGGTTCATTATATGATTATCTCATGTAAATATTTTATCCTGGTTACAGAAAGTAACTAAAAATAAATTTCAATCGATCCATAGTTATCAAATACACAACCCTGATAAATGTCAATGAAATCATAAACGATACTGGATAATCATACATCCCTATAAATAACAATTTGATGTGTATAAAAACACAAAATATAAACTTCCCTACCGCATCAGATTTTTGTTAAGGATTGTCAGAATCAGAATATTTTTTTTGTATGGCCTAAAAAAAATACTTTTATTTCCACAATGCTTATAGGTATTGATTCAGTAATTTCCAATGGCTTTTTTTAGAATTAATATCAAAGCAAAACATATGATCCAGTTTTTTAAAATAAATGCCTATGTCAGATACAAATTTAAAAGTCTATGAATGCAGAATTTAAATTTATACATAGCAGTTTTGCTGTTTTGACCGATGTGTCTCATTGAGCCATAATCAGTCACATATATGTTTTTATCATTTTCACTCTTCCTACAAGACAATTGATGGCTTTTTCTGATTCAGTAGAGAGGTTTAATTCACCTATCCTGAAGTTTGTTAGAAATCATCAACAATTTTCTAACCTGTCTCTTATACTTATCAAGTGGAAGTCTTAGAAGAGCTTCTGAGATCGGAAGACATATAACAAAGCACAAGCTAACACTATATTCCCCTTTATAGAAGCTCTTTGAGATGACTATTTAAGATTCTGTTAAAATAGAAGTCTCTTATATCTTGACTGAATCAGATTCAATATTGTGAATATTTCAATTATTTGTATCTGATTGGTTTTACACTTCAATTTTGCATCTTGTCAGACCATTTATTGGATTCTACTTGTATGTCATGTGTATTTTAAGTACACATCTTAAGAGATTATTTCTTATTAAGAGGATTAGATGTAAAAAGTAAGGGCTTACATCAAATAAAATCAACACGTCTGCTAGTGAATGCCGTCTCAAGAGAACTGTAAATATATTTACTACATAAAGTATTAAATGAAGTAGAAATATAGAGATGTTTGGAATACATCTCTAATATTTTTAAGGTGATAGTGACATATGTAGGGGATTTACCCAGTCAGACATTATTATATTGTATTTATTGACAAAAATACATTTTGTTTAATATGAAATATCATATATCCCAATACTTAAAAAGTTAAATATTAGAATTTCCTCAAAGTTATTTTTTGACCATAACTTGCCTTTATAAGATATAAAACATTGATCTCTTCATGCGTTCAGTAAGATCATCCTGACACCCTAGAAAATGTTTCTTCCCACGCATGTATTCAACTTTGAGAATGTATTTTTTCATATTTAAAGCGGCTGTCTCAAATATATTTTAGTAAATAAAACCAGATATATCTGTGTAATAGAGTCTTAAAAATTTGTATCTCTGAAGCTCTGTGATACCTTCTGCAAAAATACAAATTTTTATTTTCCATAAAAAGTTAATTTTTTGACCGATTTTTATCAAATTTTCATGTATAGTTATTATTGTAGTAAAGACTTACTTATCAGTTTAGGACATATTACCCCTTGATCCTTTTTTGTTCATAAGATTTTGGAATATATGTGATTTGGCTTTTTTAGCATTTTTGCTAAAAAAAAGTAGTTCCAGAGTTCTTGTTCTGCCATTCTGTTATTTTGTCCATCCAACTTCTTGTAGTCTCTCCACAGTTTCTGAAATATATTTTTCAAACATGCTGGCAATGAATCTTATCTAAGGTCAGAGTCACATATAATTTATTGTCCAAACCAGTTTGTGCTCATATTTTGACTGTTAAATCAAAGGGACAGAGTTCATTGGGATTTTTATTTTGTAAAACTTGATCAATTTGTTGTTGTCATAGAAACATTGTAATTGCTCTTCTGGTAAGAATTTATAAGATTTTTAGTTCAAACATGGCTAGACTTGCTTGTTCTGGAGAATCTAAACCTCAAACATTAAAATGGGGACAACTTTTATAAAAGGTCCAAATGAATAAACTTTAGTGGAAGTATGATTTATTGCCCGGCAGTCTATGTTTAATTTTTCTTTTTTACAGATGTTTGACTACAATATACAACATGAAAGTTTTCAAGAAAACCTGTCCTTTCATTAAGGATATGCATCCAGAAATAACCCATGTTATTAAGGTGAGCTATTCTGTATAACAAGGACCTTACAATACAACTCAGGTATCATGACACATGAGTTGTAGTGTTATAGATAGGCACTATCCCTACCTGGGAACTTGGCTTGAAAAAGCTTGGGATTCTTCTCGGTTCACACCAGGATTCGAACCTGCCATGTTCTAGGCAAGAGTCAGGTACTCTTAACCCTCAATTACTGCGGCCCACTCATTATAAATGCTGGTACATTTTTTCTATGATCCTATTTATGCTCACTAATATTCCTGAATTTCTTTTGTCTTACAGAAAGGAACATTGGAATGGTATGAAAGACAGGCTACCACATGTAGATCTCTGGCGAAGGTAAGAATACAACAGATTGTGAATTTCTTTCGTATGTGCACTTACACAGCAAGCTGCCAATGGATGTATTTTGTGTTTATTACTTTTAATTGTTCCGTTCTGGGGGGTTGGGTGGCTGAATGGTTTAATGCAATGCGCGTTGGATCATAGGACATTGAGTCAAGTGGCATGGTTTTGATTCACTGCTTTTACGTGAAAAGTTAATTGACTTCTTAATTAGCAAGTAATAATTAACCCATTGTAATTTAGGCGAAAGTAGATCGATTTATTATACCATAGTGGCCGGTTCATTGTTTTACCAATCGGCTAGATTAAAACATGAATCGGCTAAAGCCGACAAAACACAACCATTTAGGAACATTCATCTTCTGTCAAGTAGAGAAAGATGGTGTTTTAATCTACTCATAGTTGGTTTCAGCAGGGTACAACAAGAAAAGGCTCTTAAAAAAAAAGACAACCTGAAACCAACATGTTTCTGTCACGTGTACAAAAGGAAATAGTAATATGTGTCTCAGATTATAGCCTTAGAAAGTATTCTGTGTAATACATAGTTGTTGACCTAGAATATCCCTTAGGGTTACCCTTGTCAGTGGTGCATCTAGTATTTCGGATGATATGAAAAACTCAGGCCATGTGTACAAGTTTGCATGATGCAAAAGAATCCTTGATAGTGGGAATTCAGTTGCTGTCCGGGCAAAATTTCACTCTTAGCTAGTTGGTGCAGAAAAGTAAGATGTTAACCCCCTTTTCAATCATTCATTAATACATGGGGAATTTTCATATTTAATTATTTCATTACAGAGAGAAGATGATAATCTACAGAGTTTATTAGATTTAACTAATACATTAAATACAGAGATTTATATGGCATTACATTATTTTGATAAAGTCTTTCAGGAGTAAGTACCATCAGTTAATTCCATATTAATATCCTTTAGATCATTGTGATTTCCAAGAGGGTCCTATCGAAAAAAAAACCACTGGCAACCATCATCGTTCCATAATCAAGTTATTGGCCCATGAATTGATCATGGGCCACCATGTTTATCCCATTGGCGATTTCATGTTAATAAGAAAGCCCTATGAATGTCCCATGTGCCCCCATGAATTCCAGCTGAGCGACATGAAATACTCAAATCCACTGGTTATTCCAAGGGCAAATTTTGTTCCATGAAATGCAGACGGCACAGTATAGCTGTGTCATAGGCAAGTTCTTGGAAACGTGTGAATGCTGCTATGGGGATCTTCTTCTATAAGTGTATAGCTCGAAAAAGGTTCCATTCTTTCTGTATTCGGTCATTTTTGGTTAGAATAGATAGTACCCGGCACATGAGCAAGCTGTAAATATCTTTCTATAATTATCTTTGTTAATTTATGTGTTGCAAAAATATAGTGTATATATGGTTATTCTTATTAATAATGCTGTAAGAAATGGTCTAAAATGGATAAATGTCAGAAATATGCCATGGATAATTATATATTTATCTTCATTTTGAAGTTGTTGTTTTATTACAACTAAATATTATCATGGTCAGTGTGTTTTCTATAGAGCATGTGGTAATACGTATTAGGTACTCGAGTGATATTTCTACGGCCAATTCAGCTCTTTTTTTGTCTCTAATCAAGTAAAACATTTTGATAATAAAAGCTATTTAAATATCCAAAGGGAATATTTCATTTATGAATAATTATTATAAGCCCTACTAATATTTCATTTTTTAGTCCTATATATAATTTTTTGTGTACACCATGCTGACAAAGTGGTATAGACACATGAATTCACAATACCCTACCATGAATAAAAATTATGAAATATGAATTTAATTTGCAAAGTTTTCATGCGTTATCAAAAATGCCCGACAGTGAAAATTTTGAAGTGGAAGACCTGCTTAAACCCAGTGCCATTTATTGATAACATTGAAATTGAATAATCAGTCCATTTCCATTATGTATTTATGAAATCCAATTTTATTTTGAATTCATTTTTTTTTTTGTGCAGACATGTGAATGTGGGTTATTTTCATATTGTTTACCGTCATTTAGATAAAGTGGTAAGTAATGTCGGATTTTATCTTTTGTTTGAATGAATTAGCTTACAGAGTATCAGCATTTTATTCAGAATCTTTCAGTTACTTGTATTGGTTGAATATTGTCACTAACATTTAAACTTGTGTCTTGACGCATAACTTTTGGAAACAAGACTAATTTCTGTCAGTTTATATTTATGTAAATATAGTTATAAACTAGAGTTGTATTCTTGTGATATTAAAATCTATTTCTGGCCAAATTCAATCTAATATTTTAACTAATTTAACTATGAGGTTAAGATTTTATTAGCATCTGTTGAAGTACAAACATTTTTTGCGTGCCCCAGACAGTCGGCCATTCTTCTGTAATGAATTGTAATTATATGTAGAAAACAGAACAAACTAATCAATGCCTTGAAGTGTTTTGATATTTTACGTTCAATGTTGCCAAAGTCTTGTTTGGATTCGATCCTCAACAGAATATTCACCAAACATGGCCCTCATTGAATGTTATTTTAAGACATGCATATTTATAATGATATCTTAATGCGAGCATTTCGATTTCCAAGATATTAAATAAATTTGTTATTAAGAACTGATCAGAATATTTAGTGGCTAAATTCCATAGACTATTAGTAAATGTTTTCATTAATGGTATATACTCCTATAGTTCATTTAATTATACAGTACAGCTGTGGAAAATGATGTCCCATATTTTACCATGGAACTGATTGGAATCTGACTCTTAAAATCCTGATGCGCCATTGTAAGCAATAGGAATCACTTAAAAACTACAATATTGTGAAAGATAATTGGAATATTAGTCCAATAATGATTCAGTTCCATTCAGTATTTACAAAGATATGGGGAATAAAAACTCCATCAATCTATGCAATAAGCTTGCTGCCATCTTGTTGCCACTAAAATTTAAGGATAGGCCTGTTTTAAATTGTTCTAGCATTGGTGCATCGTTACTTTAAATGCCAGTTGCATATATAAGGAGATTCCACTTTGGTGTTGACAAATTCATGTTTGCACTGCTTTAGACCATTTTCTTGAAAGTGATAGTGTATTTAATGGGACATCATCATCCACTTTAGCTACCTGTAGTATACAGACCCATATATATCTTTTACTTATGCTTTATTCCTGTATATAATCCATTTGGTACCTGCATGGTAGTTTAAACTTTAATATTCCCCTCTTATCTATGATTCTGACCTATTATTGAAATAAAACTTGCCCACAAGTCGAACCACAGTCAGCCCCAATTGATGTTGCTTGCTATTCCATGGAAATAGCTGTAATTGAATTACTTCATTCCTTAACTTTATGTAAAATTCTTAATTTTCACTATTTTGTCCTCCTGCTTCAGTGAAAAACAATATCTTCTCTACTGTCAATTTTAAAGCCACTTTTGATATGTTTGACATCCAGTCCTAATTTCATGAAAACTCTTTGCTTCTATTCTCCTTATTATCCCGTCTCGTATATAATAGGTAAATTTGGATTTCACATGTTAAATATATATGTTAACTGTAGTTTGCAGGAGATGTAAGCAAGGTGTTAGAGGAAGAGGTCTGTTATAACCTTACGCTCTATTCACTTATTACTTTTAACAACTATTTCCACCATGCCATATATAGTTGTTTTTTTTATTTTTACACCATTTGTTGTATTTTTATATGTATCAATCTCTATTTTCTCACATTAAATGGTGTTTTGTGTATTTTTTAACATTATGTAGTGTTGATATTTGGTGTAAAGTAATAATTTGGATGATATGAAACTAATCATTGCTTTTGTTAAAGAAAGAGAAATGGGGTGTAATGTCCACTTGACACAGACTAGGTCATTTCAGACTAACTAACATGGCCAGTTTTATTTCAATAATTCGCTTGTGTGTAGAGGTTATTTTATGTTTTAAATTTAGGTTAAAGGGGATTGGGTGGCCAAGTGCACTGTAGTTCTATCATCTATGTGAAGTCACAAGTTAACTCCAACTCTTGTACAAAGAGCTTTCAATTATTAAGTGAACATATTAGGTGATATTTTGTCAGATTTAACTATTCCAAAAGCACCACACTTTGGTAATTTGGACAAGGTTGTACTTTAGTGATTTTATCTTCCTCAGTTTTAATCCCTTGTCATAAAATTATAACACTTTTATTCTCAATCTGCTTCTAATCAAGATACTAAAATTTGACTTTGGCTAAAGTAAGGGCATTATGGCTGTCTAACTTGATCAGCAATATCACAGTAAATTATATTTAAAATAATTTACCATGAATGACTTCATACAAAAAACCTTGTACAGCGATGCCAAATGTAGTGAATACATCTTTTCTATGTGAAGAGTACTTGTGTCTTTGAGGTCTTGCTTGACATAATGTGATGCTCGAGCATTAACAGGAAGTTGATGTCACATGGTTTCCTCGAACACACCACCACAGCAGCCCACAATTTTGCAGTAATAATCTTGATTAATAAAAAATCTAATTGTGAATATTTAAATTTATGAAGGAACATTTGAATTATAGGTCCTACACTAAATATTTAACTAACTTTTTCAGACTGGATATTGGACTATAAATCAAAATTATCATTATTAGAACAACATATAATATTTATACATAATCTTATATGACAGTTCTGATGCATGCTTTTGTTTAATCGTTATTAATTTTCACAGTAATCTTGGTCGTCATGCCTGTTCTGAGTAATTTAAAATATGTTTCATTTCCATAACCTACAGTATTTTTTTGGTTCCTGTCAGAATGTGTTGAAATAACTTGTCAATTAAGACCCTCCATTGATTTTTTTGTTGTTCCGAACTACTGGAATGTTCATCCAATATTGATGGTTGTGTGCTATGTTAAATTTCATTACTGGAACATGTTAAGTCCAAGTTCAACGTGAAGCTCGGATTACTGATGGCTGATGCGTTTTCAATAACAGATGACTTTCTACATTTTCCCAATATGCTTTGATCCATGTTTTATTCTGTGAAAGTATTGGATGAATGAATCTGGGCCAGACAAGGTGGCAGACAAATCACCTGAGATGTGAAAATTTCCTTTCACTGGAATAAAACAAAGCAACACTTTTGGCACTCTTTCTCTAATTTTAACACTTTGCACTAGTAACTTCAGCTCATTTACAGTTTGTGATAGAGTGCCTGTTTTTATCTAGGTTATTTATTACTTGAGAATATCTTTAATAATTCATAACTCATCTTTTTAATGATATATTGATATACATTACAAGAATATGTATCCATTAACAAAAAATGAATAAATTTAACCCAGATACGTTAAAGATGCCTTCCCACGTACAAACTGTGTGATTTGATGATATATTTCGACTTAAAACATTTATTTATCAAACTTTTGTTTCAGATCCTGCTCAAAACATTTTTATTAGCAAAAAAACTATCCCAAAGTGAAGGATGATCCATTTCCCGTTTGTATTCGATGTTACTCACTGTCCATTTACCATAAATATCGAAGCCTAATTAAATTCTTGGATTATTCTCAGCCAACTTATTTTTCAACTGTTTAATCGTAGTCTCTTGTACATTAGTCTCTTACTGTTCTCACAGCTTGTAACAATTCGTTCAAGCACTCCCTCCATTATTCGACACAAGTTGACGGATTGCCCATTAGTAATACCCTTATATTTTTGCACTGTTTGTGCTCCATGGCTGTTTTTCAGAGAATACATTATATTTATAGCAAGATTAGCTGTCAATACTTTCCATAAATACCAAATTTGTCATTCATTTTTTTAGGAAATAGCTACCCCGTAAATACTTATCGTGGGAATGCATCTTTAATTGCAGACTTTGTCTTGACAGCACATTTGTCTGATATATTTAGATCATTATTAATGTCTTGCTGTTTTATGAATTTAATTTTATACATTCACCATGTGGACACAGGAAATCTCTTGACATAATTAATGGTTCCAAACCTGAATGGAAAAAATTATTACACATAACAGAGTAATAAATAATTTATCAAAAAAATTGCCTGAAAATATTATTTAATGTAGCAAATGTATAAATTTGTGGTCTAGTCTCTATCAATAAAGTAAGTTTGTATATTTGAATTTAGAGAAATAATATTCTACAAAATATACAACACATTTGGAAATCCAAATGCTTTCCATTTGATTTGAATGTAAAAATGGTTTTTATTCATTAAAAGGAAATGAACTCTGATTTTAGTGTAAGAAATGAAAGTGTTGATTTGGTTCAAATTTATGTGTTAATTTGGTTTGCAAGATGTAAATTTTACATTATCAGATTAAGCCAACAACACAAGGGTAGATCCAAACTGGGTAACCGGGGTAAAGATCTCAACCAATACAATGTTAACCAAAAAAATAATGAAGCATTTAGTATTTACTAAAAATGTAACACTTAAAAGGGCAAATGGCCCTATTCTTCAATTGCAAATATAAATAATGAATGTTATGTCAGTTACCCCCACCACCCATGTCCACAAATTCCTGGATCCACTCTTGTAGCTTTTGAATAAAAAAAATTAAATTAGAAATTTCTTCTTAGTCTGTTAAGCTGGTTTACCACTAATGAAAAATAATGAATCAGCAAAAGCCTATTCTACACTTCTTTTCAAAGGACGACAACAAACAAATCCATAATGGCTTTCTGTTTGTATAGATTATATAGTTTATCAACTTTATCGTTCCTTTTTTTTTGTAGTTAGGAGATGAACTACATCAAGATTTAAAGACGATCCTACGTGATGCTGGATGTGATAAAGAAATAAAACTAAGTGACATTGATGAAAATACAGCAGTTGGAACATCTCTCTTTGAACTTTATCTTGCCATACAGGAATTTACTAAATACAGCTCACATTTAACACCTAAGTGAGTAGGAGGTGTTTGAAATTGAAATAAATGTCTCAGATTGGGATATTTACCATTACAGATTTAAGTGTGTGTAAGATTATAGATAAGGAACAAACTAGGCAGTGCAACAGTTCAGTTTGCTACTTAAATTTGGGTGATTTGCTACACAGAAAGCTTATTTAGAGCAAAAAAAAAAATGTTATCTGAGAAATAAGTTAAAGTTAACTCTATCGTCCAAAACCTCGACAATGAAAACACAAATTATTTGTCAATTTTAATCAACATTGGTGTTGTGATCTTACCGGGAAAAGATGGGCTTCTGATATCCAATATTTAAGACAAAATAAACATTTTACGATTGGTACACGAATCGTGTACCATAATGCGCTTCAGCGCAATCTGTAACAAGCGACTCGGAAGAACGATGTTAGACATATTCCACAATTCATGTCAAACGGTGACCCCATAATCTTCTCTGAAGAGCATGCGCAATAAATACTATCGGTGTAGACTGAAATAACCAGACGCTAGAGATTGCCATTCGATTGAAACTTCTAGCGTATTTCGCCGAACATAACTTTTTTGAAATGAGAGTAAAAACGGAAACGATTGAATGTAAATCAGGTTTTTTTACATTCATATTACATTATTATATATGTTGCGACCCATTTGTATCAATTTGTAGGTCCCAAATATTAAAGATTTAGCTCCTTTAAAACTAACATATTTCATTTATACTGGCATTTAAACCACACATAGATCTGTACAAATTGTTTCATCGTCTTTACGCTGGCCCGCCGATCAATTCACTTGATTTGATATTTGTCATTTTTTACTTGCAATGTCTGTGTAGTTCGTCTTGTCCACAGGTTTGTCTTATTGGTTTGGTTTTGTGTGTAGTGCTGTTCTCCTGCACTTATGATTAGGGTATAAAAATTTACAAGCAAATAAGAAATGAAATATGCACATAATGCTATTTACATTATCTTTGAATCTTTGATTCTCACTTTATTAGAAATTATCCTTGAAAAGAACTGTTAGATATTTTTTCTCACATATCTGTTGATTGTATGCACAATTGTTTTTAAAACAAAGTTTGTGCGAATTTTTTAAAAACATACCATTTTGTTGGCTAAACTCATTGGCAAAATATTTTAGGTTCATTTTACTGGATATTTGAACAGACTTGTGTATGATATTGGTAACCTTAATTTAAAAGACCTATTGATATTGTTTCTGGTAATTAAGTTGACCTTTTCAATTTTATGTGATTAATGTCAACACTCTTTAGTCTACTCTTGAGTCAACTTAAAGATACATTCTCTTGAAAGTATTTATAGGGTAAGGGTAGTATTTCTAAAAAAAGTATGGCAAATTTGGTATGTATGGAAAGTAGATCTAGAGACACCCAGTCTTACTAGAAAAATTCTGGTTTCTCTGAAAAACACCCATGGGGCAAGCGCTGGGCAAAAATGTCAGGGTATCACTAACTGGCAACCCGACAAATTATTATCTGCCAGCTTGACTTAGGGACCATTTGTTATTTCTTGATCGAATGATTAGGCGGTTTGGGGATCGAACATTGAGGGGTTTAAACATATAACAGACTGCAATTAAATGATGGAAAAAGATGTTGGCAGGAGATAGTCCATGAATTTACATTCTGAAAATAGGCCCTATCTCAATCAAGTTACCAGACAAACATGGCTTCTATATAAAAATAGATTTTTTATATCTTGGTGTAATTTTTGATAGATAAATTAGTATGAATATGTTTTGAATCCAAATATAACATCAAATCACCCAGTTTGTACACAGGAATGTATCTTTAATTCTGGAAAAGGTGCCAAGAGATTAGTAATTGTTTGTACAATCTACTAAGTGAAGTACAATTTGTTGTGTGTGGTTTGAATCATAGAAATAACCAATGACAAAAAACTTTCATACTCTGCAAGAGTAGAGAAAAATGAATATTTCTCGCATATCCCATATCAGAAATTGGTTATTTTTCTTCCTTTTAATGTTCAATAAGATGTTCGAATGGAATCAAAAATACAATTTCCTCATTCTCCCTGTAATAAAAAAGAAAACGAGAGGGGAAACGGTAAAAAATTGTAATAAAAGTAAAATAAAAGATCTGCATATGTCTATAATTGATAATTATGTATTGAGATCAAATTAAGAGTATTGGAAGGAGATATGAAGTATATATTTTTAGCAGTCTGGCTGCTTTTGTTTTCACATACCTTCATCACCATGACAGCTTCATGGGAAGAGATTAAAGTATATGCCTCTTCTTTTATTAAGAAATGCTTTAAAAATCACATTATTTGATCCCTTAGTTTCAAACTCTGTTACTTTCACTTTTTATTTGCTGGTCACAAGCTATAGCTGCTTTATATTAAAATATTCATGATGTCTTAAAAATAAATAAATGTGATAATTATTTAATTCTTTTTGACAGAGATCGTCAGGGTTTGAATATCAGTCAGTATTTTGAATGGTTTAGATGTGCTGTCAGTAGATGGCTATGTATTGCTCGCCAAAAATCTTTGAAAAGAATTAAAAAGGCAGTAGAATTAGATAAAGTAAGTGAAAATTGTGTTGACTTCTAGATAAGCCAATGAAAATTCTGTTTACTTTTAGATAAAGTCAATGAAAATTATGTTTACTTATAGATAAAGTCAATGAAAATTATATTTATTTTTAGATAAAGTCAATGAAAATTATGTTTACTTCTGTTTTTAATAGATTAAATAGGAAAATAATGTGTAATACAGTATTGTACTGGTTATTCAATTTCTATACAATTACACTAACAACCACCAGTGGTTGCCAGGCAAGATATGCCCACATTTTGTAAGAGATGGATAGAGAACAAGCTAAAAAGAAATTGTGATTTTTCGTACAATCAGGAACCATAATCCAAGAAGTTATGGTGTGAAATGTGCGAATATCGAAGGGATTGAGATCTTTGGGATATAAATCTGTTTTAAGTTTCATCAAAGTCGGATTAAAATTGTGACCTCTAGATGGTCCACAACCTTGATATTGCATACTTTAACACTATTTGCATACATGGAGCGGCCATTTTGTCAGGCAGTTTCAGTCCATTTTTCACGAAATTCGAACTCAATCTTCATAATATATTAATATATTTAAAAATTTTGTTTTTTTAAATCTGATAAAAATTGTGACCTAGAGGGGCCATAATCTATGAAGTGCGGATACATGCCAATATTGAAAGGAACCAAAATCTGTATTTCAAGTTTCGTCAAAATCTGATAAAAATTGTGATCTTTAGAGTGTTCAAAAACAAATTGTGGACATCTGGATGGTGAAGGGCAACAAGAATATATGTCCACATGAAAATGTGGGCGTATAAAAATACTTATGTAAAAGTTCATCTTTAATAAATGCAATCTGGTAGAGCTTGTGGCGATTAAACTGTGTGACATTTTTGATTTGATTTCCTCGTCTTCCTGATTTATTGACAATAGGGATCCTTCATTTAATTTGTTAATTGTATTTAATAAAGTTGTGAATGTATTTATTGTGGTGTGGGAAGTTGCCAGAAATATGGCAGAGACGGGGGTGGGACAAAATTTTTGAGAATTTAATAGGAAGTTTGTAATTGGGAGGAAATTTGTTGTTATTCTTTTAATTTCTTTTTCCAGGTAGCTCAAATGGACATGTCGGTTAAATACAGTACATCAGCCGTTGATGTTTGTTGTTGTTTTGTTCAGGTAAATAATGAGCAATGTTTAAATGTAATACATATATAAATATTTTTAACAATCCTAAACATCTATTTGATGATATAATGACATTTGACATTGGATTATGATGTCCAAAACAATTCATTATTTTGTATTCTATAACTTAAATGTTTATGGTATTAGATTATATATATTGTTTGTTTATAGATCACAGATTTTTGGAAGCAATTATCCTGGCCAGATTATGTTGGTGCTTTCCCTTTTGTAAATAAATTAACTGAGGTTAGTGAACATTCTCAGACAACCATAGAAATATTTATTTTGAAATAATGGAAATAAAGAAATATGTTATGTGACATCTTGAGATATATCTTTTAGAGGTGATTTCAGTCAACACTCAAAATTGACATTCAAAATGTCATCTATCAGGAGAAAATTAAGACTTACATATCCAAATGTTAAGTGGCTCTAACATTTTTAAAATTTAATATACTTCTGATCTTTAAAAATATCACAATTTTGTTTTAAGGATATTTGTAAAGGAGCAGAATTGTATGCTGATTTGGTACATGAGAAGTTAATTAAAGCTGGCTATTATGATGAAGAAGGTCAATTTGATGTCACAGAACAGGTGAGTTTGTAATTTAATGGGCTTAATTTGTGCATGATTATTTTAGCCAAGGGCAGGTACTGAGAACATTCCTACAAACAGGGTTCTCATTATTTTTGTCCCGCAGTCAAAGACCAAGTTTAGGTGAACCATTGCAGTCATGTACCTACAAAGTTTTTTTGTATTTTATATATCTCTGAGATATGTAGAACCAGAAACTCTTTGCTGCCATTGGGTCACCATAATTTGTGCCTGACATCGTCTGTTACAGGTGCTTTATTTGTGAATAAGAATATCAAAGCTTGAAATTCTGCATATGCATTCATGGAAAGTTCACCAAATGAAAACCAAACTACAAATAAATAATTCAAAAGATTAAATAGATTATTCTTTTTATTATCAATATAAGAATAAGATATCTGCATCGTGCTAGCTGGAGGAATAATGTTTTTTCACATCAGTATTTAACTTTTTGTAAATTATCTAATTCATTCCATTTTTATTACTTTTAGTTATGTATAACCATCAACAATATAGAACAAGTGCGAAGAGCCTTAAATCCACTACCAGATACGCTCAATTTCTCAGAAATTAAAAAAGCTATTGAAATGTCTAATGGGGAGCACAAACAAGAAGGTCAGTCACTCAATAATATAATCAAAAGGGCTGATGATATGATGGTGAAGAAAATAACACAAGTAGTTGACAGAGTAGCTGATAAAGTAAGTTCTATTTCATTTCTAAAGTTTATAGTGGAAAGAAAGGTAATGTCACTGGCTCTATATAAAAAAAAACTGTTTTAGATTGGATCCTCTGATCATGATTAAATTGGGTCATGTAGAATTGGTTTTACTGTACTTGATATTAATTTACTATTGTCACAGACATTGCTGCCTAATGTTTTAAATTAATTATAATTAATTACTGTATATTACAGATGAGACCAGATATAAAGAAAGATGTCTTCCATTTAAACTGGGCACCAGAATCAGTACCAGCTGATGATGTAAGTTCTTTTACAATTATTTTCACAATGATTAACAACATATTGGGAACAAGTAGAGCTCACCATACAATTGATATCTAGTTTATATAGTTAAATTAAAGGGGATACCCCACCTATTTTTATATTCTAACAAGGGATAGATAATGATGAGTCTCACTAAGATCACCTTTTCAAACTCTTTTTTCAAGACACTGAATTAAAAATTGTGTTCATGACGTCACTGGCAGAATCAGAACTGGAAATTCAAAAGGGTTGAAAAACGACTAATAGTTAATTTTGGCAGACAAAATAAACCCATTTGACCAGTTTACTAAGCTTGGAGGGAGTCGTATTGAAAGATCTGGTGATATTGATGAGGTCACTAATACATTCTTTAATGTATGCGATTGGAAGGGTCACAAGTTGTTGTTGAACCATATCATTTGAAACAGTAAAATGAATCCATTACATACTAATTATAAATTGATCTGTGTTTTATAAATTTTAACACAATTATTAGGGAATGAAGGAAAACCGTGCAACAAAAGCAAAAACACAACATGACAATGCACAGTATCAGATTTCTTGCTAATCAAGTTCATTCATTAAAATAAATCTCTTTGTTTCAGGCTATTGGAGATTTATTGGAATATTTAGACACCAATTTACTAACTTTAAACAATAATTTATTGAAAACCAACTTTGATAGAATATTGGAATCTATCTGGGTGGAAGTGATGGAAGAATTCCAGGAAGTTATGGAGAAGGAAGAAGTGGTAAGATTAAATCTTTCATGAAGAATCAATATAAAATCGGAAATGAATAAATTAATTACTCATACAATTTCTTTCATTAATATATTATATTGCATTCCTAGAGATTTGTGAATCCCAGAAATATATGTGTGCATAGCTTCTTTAGATTGAACCTTTTTGTTGGACATTAAGTTCTCTCATTATTTATTTAGTAAATAGACCGAAATTGTCACAGTAATTTAATCATTTATCCAAATTCTCAACACAAGCAACTTTTTATTTAGGGGATTTTTAGATAATCCTACTGTTGGAAATAGATCATTGTTTGTTCATCATTTTTGCTTTGTTCCAAATGTTCATTTATTAATTGTATACTGATTTTTGTTTGTATCATAGAGACCTCCAGTATTTTACCAAAGAATGTTTGATGCGTTGGGAGTATTGGTAGACTTCTTCCATGCCAGTGGTAAAGGTCTGTCTATGGATGAAATCATTACAGATCAATTTCAGGTACTAGATTGTGATTATACACTTACCAAGATTATGATAGCCTTCCATAGACTAGACTATGATAGCCTTCCATAGACTAGACTATGATAGCCTTCTCTAGACTAGACTATGATAGCCTTCTCTAGACTAGACTATGATAGCCTTCTCTGGACTAGACTATGATAACTGATGATCAGTGCTATATTTTGATTTTTGCCATGCTCCACTATAATATATTATAGACTTTCCTATACTAGACTACGAGAGCCTTCCCTAGACCAGACTATAACACCCTTACATAAATTATTATGGCCTTAACCATGTCTATGATACACTTACCAATGACAGCCTTGTTGTAAATTATACTGGTCATACCTTGATAATAATACCCTGACATTGGCCGTTTCTCACCACAGTTTTACAATTATTGATATTACACTTCAAACATGAGCTAACATATGAGAACATCCTCACCCAATTGACAATTTACTAAATTATTAGCTAGCAGTCATCTAAATTCTTGACTCTGAATTAAACTAAAGAAATAGTTTTACAACATCAATTCTCTGCTGTCCTTAAGGTTGTTTAAGAAACTATTTAAAATGAAGCCAATCACTAGTGACTTTTTTCTGGCAGCCAAAAATTACTGGTGAATTTAACTACTGGTACTAAGAATCTGTTTCAGTAATGTATCTCTTGTGTACATTTATAACAAAAAGTCTGTCTGATTTGGTGTTTAAATTATGTTTTATTTTGTTATATTTACAGAACTTAAGAGAACGATTGTCATTACATAAAATGGATACACCAACTTTAATAGAAACTTTCTTCAATAGTAAATGTCAAGATCAGGTAACTATAGAAACTGATATATCTATATATCTTTCTGAACTGATATTTTTAAACCAGTTGAAGGATGTTATGTAAAACATGTGTCCATTCAGAATCACCCAGGGGATTTTCATCTACCCACTCCCATTGTGAATATTGTATCTCTTGGAGACAATACATGAAACACAACTATATATTGATCACTTTGTCCACAAGCATCTGAATACCAATGTAGGATATCTCAAATTTGATACTTCAGTTTACTAAATCCTTATATATTTTATTTTCCTCTAGACTCAACTTGAGAACAGTGAATTTGGTATTTTAAATGTACGTGTCTGTTATAGAATGGATGCTCATACATTACTTGTAGAAGGTGAATATTTCTTTATTTTTTTCATCAACTTTCATAGAAAGCAACATCAGAGCAAGAGTTTTAGTGAACAAAAATAATCGCTGGACATCAATTGTTTTTACATTCATGATTCATCCATAAAGATATGGCATATATGAATAATAAATATTTTCTATGTGTATTTTATTCTGTTTTCAGTTCTTAGTGCCAAGGATATTATTCCATTAGATGCGAATGGTAAGTTGTAAGCCCAATATCTTGTTTTCAGTCTACACAGCAGGCACATAGGTGTCTAGATAAGAATTTGTAAAAGACTAAATGATTGTCTAATCTGAATTTTAAGTGTCTGAAATTCTTCTTGCATTACACCTATTAGATAGATAACTGTATGATTTTATATTTAAAAGTTCATGTATTCCTCTAAATTATAAAAATATAAGGTTGGTTGATTGATAATAGATATTTTGTTGTCTTGAAAGTTGAAATTTCTAACATCACATTAATATCATAAGTTAATAAGTATGTCTACAGGACTGTTAACAATTTTTTTTAATAGGATTAAGTGATCCGTTTGTTTTGGTTCAACTGGTTCCTGAACATGTATTCCCCAATATTCAAGTTCAAACAACCAAGGTCGTCAAAAAAACTCTCAATCCATTATTCGAAGAAACTTTTGAGTTGTAAGTTGTTCATATAATATTCATTATATTAAATTTAGTGCCATTATTTATTTAAATCATTAAATATTATTGATTTATTACTTTTGTACAAAATTTAATAATTAGCCATTAAGATCAACATGTAAAGTTTATATATAAAACATTTTCATGATGATAAACATTTTCATGATAATAAACATTTTCTTAATTAAAGATATACCATTTGGTGTAATTAAACACATACCATTTGGTGTAATTAAACACATACCATTTGGTGTAATAAAACACATACCATTTGGTGTAATTAAACACACAATTTGGTTTAATTTAACACATACCATTTGGTTTAATTTAACACATACCATTTGGTTTAATATAACATATACCATTTGTTTTAATTAGTTATATACCATTTGGTTTAATTAGTTATATACCATTTGGTTTAAACATATTCCATTTGGTTTAATTAAACATTATACCATTTAGAAAACAAAAAAGGGGGACGTAAAAGCCCTCAAGTTTCTACTTCCTTTATTTATAAACTATGTTTTATGTAATGGATTGAGACTTTCAAATAATCATATTTTATTTTATTTGCAGTACAATTAATCCTATACAATGTCAACGTCATGGAGCTACTCTACTATTTACTGTCATGGATCATGATCTAGTGTTCCAGAATGATTTTGCTGGTGAAGCTTATCTTTCTATGGCAGAGATACCTGGTGTAGATGGTTTAGAAGTTAGTGGTTATGAGGCGCTGAGTATAGTTTCCCTCCCTTTAATGCACCCCAAACATAAAGGTATGGCAGAAGAAGACAAAAGGAAAAAAAAGTTAAACAGGACATCAAGTATGAAAACAACATAAAATACATTATATATACCCTTAAATAGTTCACACACACCCTACTTTATTTATAAAATAAAAACAACAAAAACTCCACCCCAATCCTATTCTTACAGAATCAGAGATGTAGGCAATTATGCTGTACATGTGTAGTAATACCATATTCCTTTTATTACATATCAATACTAGTGTAGTAATTCCATAATCCATTTATTACATAACCACAATACTTGTGTAGTAATCCTAGAATCCCTATATAACATAACCATAATACTTGTGTAGTAATTCCATAATCCCTTTATTACATAATCACAATACGTGTGTAGTAATTCCATAAATATTCATTTCTAACATAACCACAATACTTGTGTAGTAATTCAATAATCCATTTCTTACATAACCACAATACTTGTGTAATAATTCAATAATCCCTTTATTACATAACCACAATACTTGTGAAGTAATTCCATAATCCCTTTAACAGAACCACAGTACATTTGTAGTATTTCCAAAGTTTCTGTCTTAACCATAATACTTAACCATAATGCCTCCATATTATTCCCTTTCTAGTTTTTAAAGAACCACAATAATTGTGTAGTAGTCTCTTTCTTATAGAACTACAGTACTGGTCCCTACAATTCAATGGTCCCTTTCTTAAAGAACTACAATACTGGTGTAAAAAGTCCATGGCCCCTTTCTTAAACAACTACAATACTGGTCTAATAATTCCCTGGTCCTTGTCTTACAGAAATACAATACATATGTGGTCATTATTCCCCTTTTGTAAAGAACAACATTATTTTTGTTGTATTTCCATAGTCCTTTTCTAACAGGCATTCATTTTGTAGTAAGTTTATAATTCCTTTTCTAACAGAACATTACAGTTTTGCACAATTTTTTGTATCACATATTGAATCAGCCCATATAGGAGAATACTTCTGGTAAACGACTTAATGGATTCAACCAAAACTGGTTTCTTTGTCTAAATGAGTTTGCTCAGATCCATAGGAGTAGAGTGGAGGTTTGCAGGTTGCCCGATAAGGCAGCTTTAACAGGCAAATGTAGACTTTTCTCATAGACTTCGGCTCTTGATTAAAAAGAAAATAACCTTTTTCTTGTATTATTTCTATATTGTTCCTTCATTCCATTTTATTACATAACAATTCTTTACTACATCTATATTATTCCAGAACTGTATATAAAACAATCCATTTCCTTACATGTCTGTCTGTTCCATCAAACCTTCACTTAGTCTATAGACCACTCCTATACATGTCTTATTATTCCTTTACTAACACATCCATATTCTTCCAATTTCTTTACCTTCGTCAATCTAGATTATGTTTTGTGCACATGTTGAAATGTTTTGATGTGTGTGTATATATTAAATTGTATCAGAACCTTGTAATATATAATTAATATTATTATCCACTATCTTTGAGAGCATTTTTATCCTAATTATTTTGTGATGGTAGCAGAGCAAATTAAGGTATTTTAAACAATATTGTCCGAAAATACTATATACCGGAAAACTACCGGAAAACACCATGTTAACTGAATACCGGAAAACAGCGGACAAACAATAAATACCGGAATACACACTACATACCGGAAAATACCCTAAATAGTTAACCCGGAGACTGGCACCCTAAATAGGTAAACCGGTTTATAGTATAGCCCTTCTCCGGTTTACCTATTTAGGGTGTTTTCCGGTATTTAGTGTGTTTTCCGGTATTTAGTGGTATTCAGTATAACATGATGTTTTCCGGTAGTTTTCCTGTGTTTTCCGGTATATAGTATAACCCATATTGTCAATGTTTCAAGCCTAGCGGTAGTACTTTTGAATGGGAGATCCACCTGTGTAGACTCAGTTGTTATTCAATAAAGAATAGGCACAATTCTTCTCACTAGTATTGCACATGTTAAATTCCATCCCATTTTTCCCCGCATAGTTTGCTGTGTTTTACTCTAATACTGGTAATGATGTTTCCAGATGAATAGAAGAAAGAGGCTCACACTTGTTTTAAATGCATGACTTTAAAATGTTTTTTACTTCTTATTAGTCCAGGGTTCTTTTATAAGAACAGGCCAGATATTTGGCTGAATCAATGTTAGGGAACAATTCTGTAATTTATGGCTTTCTATTTATAGATCATGCTGCCTTGGAAATACTGGGAAGAAGAACCTGGGATAAAGATGCTCAAGATTTTGTCAAAAAACGAAACAAAGTTCATGATCAAGCAGCTTCATCAATACCATAATCATTATATTATCAATTTCATCTGTCATGTGCTCATCATCTGTCAATCTAATGCTCACCGTTTGTAGCCTTGTTGACTCACATTTTATAGACTATTTTGTACATGTAGCTTACATGTGAAAAATTTTGTCATTCGTAACCTACATGGTGCATGTATAATTTATAATCTGATCTGTGTCAATCAAAATGGCGCTACACCTTTAAGCCATTCATAAATTATTGTAATATTTAAACCCCTTCTTTTTTGAACTTGAATTATGATTGCGTATTACTTAAGTATTTTTTTCTTGCCAAGTTCAGTATTATACTTAATACATGGCCATCTTTTTGGATTAAATATAGACTAATGCCAAGTCTGCTCTGCAAGATGATAAAACAGATTAAGTTACAGTACAAATAGAATTCAGTTTAGGCACAGTTCACACTGGCATCAGTCGAGCAAAATATAAGTAGATCAAACCAAATAGTTAGATAAATCAAAATTTTGATTATTGTCTTTACAAAAAGGCTTTCTGAAACTCTCTAGATTATGGCTCCAAAAAATGTTCTTTTAATATGGACACTGTGGCCAGTTCAAATGCCTATACTGGATGACAATGTTGTTTTCAATGTTCAATTTCAATGAGAACCACACTGAATTAACTTGTATTAGCAATGATCGGCCAAAATAAGAACATAGAATTGACTTGTACATTGTTTAGAGCAGTGATCAGACAGAATATCTGTAACTGCACTTAGGTTCCGTTCAAATGAAACCAGTTTTGTTTGATTGATGCAAGTGGGAATCACCCTTGAGAGGTTTGTTTTTGATTTGTCTAGAAGTATTGAGTGTAGGCTGGACAATTACCGACATTAACGAATCAACAACACACTAAGGCCGTATCAACTCAACTTTACAGTGAAACATAGACACAATTGGTCAAAATCAAAAGTCAGTAACAAAAAAATCAACAATCATATTTGCATATAGTTGACTTGGCAGTAATCATATAGAATTTGCACATTTCTTAATGTTTTTACATAGTATGATGATAACTTGGTTATAGATTTTAGTGAATAGTGACTGATTTATTTAGATTGTGTTCAAAGAATGGTAAGTCACGTTATATTATATTAATGATATATTATTTTATCCAGTATAACATTTTAATACATGATTTGTGTGAATTGTTTCAAGCGTTGTGTGTGTGTAGCCTACTAAGTGTGTATCATTAAAAGTAAATTAAATGAAGAATTTGTAACCTTATATCCTTTTTTGGGGCATATAAATATGTGTGAACTGGAACTGCGATTATGATGGAATTCATTCAAATTTAATTTTTAAAAGGTTTTGATTTTAAATAGAATAGCATTCATGAATGTTAATATTAGTAACCACCTATGGCCTTTATTTCATTTTTCCTTACTTGAAATTAACCATGCCACTTGACTCAATGACAAACCTTATGATTTAAGCGCATTGAACAATTCGACCACACAACCCATTCCCCACATTTTCAAACTGAAACAACTTTCAGGGATCAAATTAATGAATGAATTTAGCTCATTTGATATAAATTTAAATTCCTTGTATATTTTTGGGTTGAAATTTTTAAGAATGTCCTGATCTAGGGTTCCATAAATTTAACCCAGCTGGCATTTTACAAGTATTATGGAAGTTTTATTAAATTTATTGAAAGTAAAACTTACTTTGTGTATATAATCTACTTGTTCTTAGACCACATGTGAATGTGATGGTATTGTCACTATCCATAATTGTATTTGCAATCAAGTTCTCTACAGATTTTTGAGAACTTGATTTTGTTAGCCATTCAGAAGCAGATTATTTTGTTAGATCTTGCAATCTTTGTTCACATAATTCTTGTCCCTGACTTGGGAAACCTTGTACACACTGTAAAAATGGGAAGAAAAGTGAACAAGTTTATTACAGATCATGCAGACAAACTTAATCTTTAAGTGGCATTTAGCGATTGGAAAACACATTAATAGAACACAATTTTTATGGGAAACAATCACTGGTTTATTCTAAAAGCACGACGTTTCGACAAGTATCCTCTTATCGTTATCAAGTGCTTGATAACGATAAGAGGATACTTGTCGAAACGTCGTGCTTTTAGAATAAACCAGTGATTGTTTCCCATAAAAATTGTGTTCTATTAATGCAGACAAACTGTTTGTGGGATTATAGTGTTTTTACCTGGTAAGCTAAATTTTTATATATATGGCATTGTTACATTTATTTATGTCAAGTTACAAGTTTTTGGTCTAGTTATTAACTGATTTTGTTTTTGTTATAGATGTATTTGAAATATAAATATAATATACTAAGCCATACTGAATCATTCCAGATGTCTGTATTAATAATTCCACACAACATATTTTTACTTATTAAAGAATATAAGATAATATACTTTGTTATAAACCTTATTTTTGTTCATTACATGTGTTTTTAAGAGAAAAACTGTATACTTATTATGTGTGTTTTAATATTTTTGATATGCTAGTAACCTACAGTCTTGTTGATTTCCTCAGCCTCTGAATTTAAAACTTGAATTTAGAACTTTTAAAAGATTTACAATTCCTAATCAATTGACTTTTGAATAATACATGCACCACAACCAATTTTAAGTTAAATTGTTTAAGTGGCATTTATTAACTGGATGAGAATAACACAGGACACAATTATATGGAATACAAGTTACCGGTACTTGAAAGATTTATTTCTGGCGAGGTTTCAGCCAGGGTTCTCTCATCTTTATCAAACAAAGAATGACAAACATAGTACATGTACAATGAAGATGTGTTGCTGGTCATCTAATTTTTTTGGAGTGAAATTGTCCAGTTAGCTTACCCAGTATGTCACTGACTAGAAATGTTATATCAGACTACATGATCGACCATCAATTGTTTTAGTATTATTTAAAGATACATTATGGGAGATAAGATAAAGAGATGGCAGTTCTCGCTATAATAGTTAAAAACTAGATAGTGTAAAGGTAATTTGCTGAAAATTTCAGTCAAATTGATCAACTATGAGCCGAGAAAGAAGCGGGTGAAATTTTTGCATCATTACTAAAATCATTAATATAAACAGCATAGTCTCGATTATCCACTTTTTTTTTTATTTAATTATCAATGGCCGTTAGCGGCATATAGGAATCTAATCCAGCCAACATCGAAGGCTAGCCTTGACATCGAGAGTTTATTATGGTCTGGATAAGTTAATTAATGTCTAATTGATAATTTAGATAACATTTCAGGCCTAAAGAAAGACTTGTAATAAGCAGATTTTGCTCTTGCATAATGCATGTTTAAATAATTGTAATTGAAATCAGTGTTTTGTTATTTATTGTTTCAGTTTAATATATTAAAGTTCTTATTGTAGATTACTGTTATTACAGATTTTTATATTGCCACATTTTATGGAGTGGTATTTTGTTGTCACCCCTGTCTGTAAAATACTCTACAGTTCAAACATCCAGAGGAACCCTATTGAAATAGCTTTCTAAAAAATTTTTACTGCCCTTGGCAATGAAACTTTGTAAACGCTTCAGGCCAGGTCTTGAGATATAATTTTTAAACTTGCTAGGATTGGTCATCTGGTCTTAAGGTAGAAATCTATGTTGCACAACATACTATTGGAGAGTAACTGCTCTCACCAAATCTTATAAACACTGTATAATATGGGATTTTATGGGATTGTTTGACTAGTCTTAAGGACACACTAAAGACTATTTATAGAATAACAATTACTGGTTTATTAACATGAAAGGTTTTGATCATGATACTCTTGTCTTTAGCAAGAAAGCAAATGATGACGATATAGACAAGATTATCATCATCGAAACATTGCATGTTAATAAACCAGTAATTGTTATTCCATAAATAGTGTTTTGTATGTTACTAAACCCCACTTAAAGAAGGTAGTTTAAGGAGAAACTGATTACAATTCATAGTCACCAATTTTTGGAGCATTATTAGCCTGGCATAGAGACCTTGCATGCATTTTTTCAATCTTTTTGTCATAATTGTTCGTCTTGAGTGTAGTATCCACCCTTCAACATGCTGCTGGTGGGCATATAGTTGTTGCTTGGCAACATTGTGTTTAAAGTTTATTTGTGTCTCACAGAGGTTATTTACTGTTATCAACTCATGGTATTTTATATTTATGACATTTTTTTGCCACACAATATTGAAAAAATAAACAAATTACACACAAGAATTGCTTCTATTATTTAATTAGCGCAATATAGCTAAGTTGATGCTGATGTGCCAATAAACACCATTTCATTCATTACCCCCCAACTTTCGGAGAGAGAAGGTAATTTTAAAATTTCTCTGGACGTCATTCACACTGTTTGGGACACAATAAATCTGCTTATAATTGTTTAGGCTAAGCAGATATACGCAATTTGATTGGTTGATGCTTTGGAACTTGATAACTTTGCTTCTGATTAAGTCAGAGTGATGAAGTTTGGTGCATACATGTAGTTTCATTACATCAGTACCTTGACTAAATTCAATAATGAACTTTTTCGGCTCAGGTTAAGCAGAGTGATAAGCAATTTGATTGGTCAAGACTTTGATTCTAATTGAGTGACCGAAGTTCAATAATGAACATTTCCTACAGTTTCATTACATCGGTACCTTGACTAAGTTCAATAATGAACATATCAATTCAATGGCAACAATTTTATGCAGAGTTATTTCCCATGTCACTGAAACTTTTTTTTTTACAAGCTCTACATGTACATGGAAGAGATCGAGATTTTTTTCAAAGCTTGATGGCATTGGTAAAAGTTAAAAGAAGGAATCCTATCCAAATTCAGAGTAGTGCATCAATTTGCCACTGTTAGCAAATCTTGTAACTGCTCTACAGGTTAATAGGTACATGTAGCACACCAAATGTGTAAAAACAGAGACTCCAACCAAAAGTGAAGGGATTTGTGTGAAGACTAAAGAGGGACAACCCATTAAGCCTGTTTGATGTTGAGTATGTATACTACTAGCCTTAACAACTAATGGTTGGTATTTTCAGTTTCTCTTCTGCTAAAACAAAATAAACAAGAAGATTCAGATTTAAACATCCCAACACCCTTGCATGTAAACTATGTCAAATTTGTTTCCATGGAAACACAAAATTTATTCATAGAGTAACTTCAAAATGGCAAAAGGCACTACTATTAGAATAGGTTGATGTGTTGACAGATATCGTAACTTTAGATACTATACTATTCAAAAAAATTAGGGGATATTTGATTTTGGGGGCATAATACTAAAATATGCAAATGACTACGAAAAAAGTCACTATAGAACCTAACAGAAGAAACATTTCCAGTTACATGTGACGCCCAAACGCACCAATAGCTACCGCATGGAATGCAGGTGATGCTTGGGATCATCATGGGGGTCCAACCCAAGATTTGCACGACTCTGACTTTGAATGTTACAGTCATTGTGGCATTGAATTCCAGGGTGGAAACATCAGTTTAATTGTTTTAGTGACCAGAAAACAAATTTTGATATGCGTCGGCTTACCCAAAATGAAAGGTTACGTGCCCTTGGCATGCTACAGATCGGCACAACACAGGCGGTTGTGGTGCGGACGATGAATGTTTCTCAGTCTGTCATAAGCAGGCTATGGTCCAGATACCGTGATACACAATCTGTACAGGACAGACCACGCTCAGGTCGACCAAGGGCGACAACTCAAGCCCAGGATCGATTTATCCGTACCTTGGCCTTGAGAAATCGTGTCATCACAGCAAATCAGATCAGCGCTCGTCTTCAAACAGACACTGGTGTGAGAGTGAGTGGCCAGATGATTCGGAATCGACTGCATAGGGGTCACCTTCACGCCCGACGTCCTCGCGTGATCCCTTGTTTGAGAGATCATCACATTCAGGCAAGACGTCGTTGGTGTAGGGATCGTCAACACTGGGATAATCGACGCTGGAGCAATGTGATGTTTTCAGATGAGTCAAGGTTCACTGTTGATTTTTTGGACAGACGTAGGAGGGTGTGGCGTCGTCGAAACGAGCGCTTCCAAGACGTTAACTTCATCAGACATGATCGATTTGGGGGTGGTTCTGTTATGGTGTGGGGAGGCATCACTGTTGCTGGAAGAACGGCTTTACATGTTGTTGCAGGGCGTGTTACAGGCCAGTACTACCGGGACAACATCTTGACAGTCCATGTTGTGCCGTTCGCACGACGTCATGGCCGCCATTTCATCTTCCAGGATGACAACGCAAGATGTCACAGGGCCAGGATCGTTACAGGTTACCTCCAACAACAGAACATCACCACATTACCTTGGCCAGCACTGAGTCCTGACCTCTCCCCCATCGAGCATGTCTGGGACATGCTTGGACAGAGGTTACGTCAACGTCAACAACGTCCTGCCAATGTCCAAGAACTTGCTGCTGCGTTGCAACAGGAATGGGACAATCTGGACCAAAATGACCTTAGACGTCTCATTAGGAGTATGCCACGTCGGATCAATGCTTGTTTGGCAAACAGAGGAGGATTTACCCGTTACTGACTTGGTTGTGATGCTGTGGTAACTTTGCTGTTTGACCCCGGGTATCATTTTACCCTTATAATGGTCAGTCTGTGCCTTACTTAGTCTAACGATCATTTGGAATAAATCGATGAATGCGAACTTCATTTCATTTTGTCATTTGTTTCTTCGTCAGTTTCATTAGGTGACTTAAATAACACTTAAAAATCAAATATCCCCTACTTTTTTTGAATAGTATATGAGTGTCCTATCCTGAGATATGCTCCCAAAACTGAAGGATGGACAAAGCCTATTTCAACATCCCACCTAGTTTGAGATTTGAGTGCCCCTTAATACAGAAATAGGATACAATCTGATTAAAATACAAATCTATATTTCGTTTCATTTTTTTATACTTCCGATGGCCTGTTTTAAATGACTTCAGGCTGGATCCTACTCACTGCGCTATTCTGACTTCAATATAGATATAATATATTATATGCAAGTCAGAAAAGGAGTGACGTAGGAGCGAGTCTGACGTATTAGAGCAGGCTATCCAGTCTAATGAAGTCATACGATCTATGATGAAGTAGTAAAGACAAGTAAACAAAATTGTGAACTATAAAAACAAAACGAAATAAGAACTGTGTTTTAATCAGATTGAAATAGGATAGGGCTAATATTTAATGATTGCTATTATGTGCATTACACTCCATATAATTCCGCTATAAACATACACCCATATCAAATTCTTCTTCAGTAGTTTTTCTCAGAAAATTAAGATAGATTAAGATAAAATAAAAATCAGTATTTAATCCTGTATGTAGACATGTCAAGAACATATATTTTAATATAATAACATTAACAATGGCAATATAAATAATGATTTAATTTAGGTGGGTGATGATGTAAATACATGTACATAATAAAACAAAACATTTTGCAGGCCTTTATTATATTCAACAGAATAGGTGTATAAGCATTTCATATATTGGGAAGGGTCAAGTGACCAGCACTAACGGGACCAATTCTGGAGTCTATACCCAAAAAACAATAAATAATAAACCACAGCTAGGTAAATATATTTTTAAGCAAGAAACAAGACAAGCAAAATTATTAAAAGTAATTTAACTATAGGTAACATGCAAAATGCAAAAAATAATGTGAAAATCTTTCGTAATAAAAACCAACCAATAAAAATAAGTATTAGAATATCTACCTACATTCAATAGTAACACAAATTTTAATAAAACATTTTGTCATATAAGCAATACAATGGTACAACAAACAGTTGAAATCAGGTGTTCTGGGAAGAGGTAAGCACACCCTGTCTCATGCATCACACACATTACTACTAATACAGCCAACAGAAAAATCATGTCCATCTATGGCACAAAAACGGCTGATAGACATATTAGATACCCAGTAATTAAAGTATGGGTGCATAAAAAAAAAACCTGGTTAGTATTAAGTATTATTATGAAACCAAACACAAAATAATCCCTTATATATGTTACGATGTACCACACTAAAGCTACACAGAAGACTAACATTAATCCAATTTGACAAACACAATACTCAACAAATTGCTGCCTGTCTGTTTCCTTAAGTACTGTATATTTTTTTTAATTTCAAGTATGTTTATTTCTACATTTGTTAGAAAGAATATATTGATTGTAATTAAAAGTTTTCTTTGTTATAATAAAATCTTGTCCCTGTTGACTCCGACGAATTTTCGTTACAATGTCTATGTAGTTTAGTTGATAATTCTTTTGATCCACAAAAAAAGACACCTATCTTCATTCCTTTATGAGCATTGGCTAAATCACTGAACACTTTGTTCCACTGTGGTCTACCATAATGTGTTTTCTGTTGAAGACCAGTAACTACATCTCTTTCACTGTTGTCATGCAAAAAAATATTTTTGGCCTGGTCAAAGTCCCAGCCTGATGTTAGGTATATATTATGTGTAAGAAAATCAGCTTTTCCTATCTGGGCCATTTGCATCTCTAAAGAAATCAGTAAATCTTGTAACCATTCAAAAGAACTGGTACTTGGGCAAACCCAGTAAAGATGAACATTCTTTAGCTGAAGTTCATTTCTTTTGTTTGAGTATTTATGTGATATATACCTTAAGACAGAGGCAAATGGTGTGACACCTATTCCAGATGCAATTAGAACAGCGATATCAAAACGGAAGAAATCCTCTGTTGCTGTGCCGTATGGTCCATCAATTGCTATCTTTGGTAACTTCCATGCCTCCTGGAATTCCTCTTCATCCACATGACATTTTTTGGCTAATTCTTCTGTCCAATCACCAGCCCGTCTGATATGAACTGAGATATGGTCTTCTCCAGGAGCTGATGTTAGTGTAAAGGGATGCCATTCCAGCTGAGATATACTTGGGCAATGTAGAAACACATATTGGCCTGGTTCCGCATAAAAACCCTTCTTTTGCATCTGTAGTTCATAAACATTGGACGGGTGCTTAACAACCTTGGTAATGACTACTTTCTGGAATGATCTTACAAATCTAACTATTCTCTCTATTATGAATATTATGACTGGTATTAAAATCCATATCCATGACTGAGGTGGAGAGCCGGAAAACTGTGGTATTGGACACTCCTTGATGGAATCCCACTGATCAAATTTTTTATAACAGTTCTCTGGATTATGACTAGATATATTGGTTTGTTTGTGTATAATTTGTTGTATTCCATGTATACCAAGACCAATAAAAAATATAATAAATAAATGATGCATATACCAGAACAGTTCAAAATACCATTGTCTTATTGTTTCTGCTGATGAAGATAATATAAGTATCAAACATAAAGTTATGATGATACCAGAAACACCGGATACAGTGCTAACTGCTTCTCTTGTAGCATCTGTGCTTGGATTTCTGACGGGATTAACCCATGTTCCATTGGGTGTAGTAGGTAAATTACTAACAGCTTGTATAGATTTGTCAGGGTTATCATAGGCTGTAATCATGCGCTCAAAATCAAAACAATGTGCTGATATATGTATAGCTGTTTGAAGGCATATCATATAAGCTGTATATTTATGATATGTTATTTGCCTATCGAATTGACGACGAACTCTGTGACACCTCACGCATGCTCCTTTAATAAAACCCACAAAATTTCTACAGACTGGTAACAACACTAGCAAACAGTTAAAATTAAGACATGCGGCACTAGCTCTTGCTACACATAATGCATTCCCAACTATAAGTCTCAAGTAAAAGTATTCTGCACTGCTTTGGTAGGAGAAAAAAGTTGCCAGGAAAATAGCCACATTAATTATCAACCACAGACTTACAACAATCCATTTAGGAAGCTCATTAACAATCAATTCTCCCATTTCAGTACTTACATAAACGACACAAACATATAGTCTACAATATATGTTTTGAACTTCAATTCGAGTCTACCTTAATCTGTGTTTATGATTTCTGTTATATTTATTGCGTGTTTACATTAATACTTCAACTTCATTACTTAGCGAACTACTGGGCAGTTCCTTATAAACATGCCTCGTTTATCCAGGGACCCATTATATTTCAATATTTGGTCTAGGTCACCAAGTCGTTAATAGCAAAGCAGGTAACAGTACAGATTCTATACAATGAAGAGACAATCTAGGCGTCAAATTGCATTCTATCATGTCGTGAATACAAATATACAAAAGGCTGAGGATTCCTGATTTCACCAGAAAGTGTAGTCTAACCGAAAGCCACCAAAAGCCACGGGTCTGAAAGTCGGAAGACTAAGGGGAGAGAACCTTCGGGATTAAATGGAGTTATTTCCCTTGACATAATGGCGACTTTGCAAGTTCTGTGTCCTAATGGACGAAGACAAAATGTTAAAGTAACTCCGAATTCTAAGTTATTACAGGTATGAATTTGTTGTCATTCGAAGATAATGAAAGGTACAAGATTTTTGAACGATGTAGAAATTGAATGTTGGTGTCGGTTGCTCTAAACTCTATATGATTAAAAGAGCAAAATCATCTTTTATTTTACTTTCGTTTTCCCCATTTTTGTGTTCAACCATTGCTGATTGCATTGTGATTGTCGAATCATAACACTGAATTTTTATTTTGTAACAATCAAGTTTGGGTGGATTTGGGTAAATCAATGCTACCATCAGCAAGGTCATATTTTCTCAATCAAAAGTTCCACTAAAATTTACTGAGGCGTCAAAAAAGTTTGACAAGGACGAAGGAGAATATAAAACGAGACTTATGCTGTCGATCACTGGACTTGCGACTAGAATGCCCTGGGTTCGAATACAACATGGGCTAAGAAGAACCAACAGGATTTTCAACCTCAGCCTTCACTTTAAGTAGCTAAGTCTCTGACTCAGTATCATCTAAAACTATTGACATTGAAAACACGAATTATTTGTTTATTTTAATCAACCTTGATGTTGTGATCTTACTGGGAAAAGATGGGCTTCTGATATCAAATATTTAAGACAAAATAAACTTTTTACATTTGGTACACGAATCGTGTACCATAATGCGTTTCAGCGGAATTTGTAACAAGCGACCCGAGGAACGAAGTTAGACATATTCCACAAGTCATGTCAATCGGTGACTCCCATATTCTTATCTGGAGAGCATGCACAATAAATACTATCGGTGTAGACTGGAATAACCAGTCGCTAGAGATTGCCATTCGATTGAGACTTCTGGCATATTTCGCGGAATGTAACTGATTTGAAATTAGAGTAAAAAGGGAAACAATAAAATTTAAATCAGTTTATTTACATTCATATTACATTACTATATACGTTGTGACCCATTTGTCTCAATTTGTAGGTCCAAAATAATAGCGATTTAGCTCCTATAAGCTTGTTAGGAGTAGCTAGTGCAGAACGTCATGGAAAGTGTGCCATGTCGTTAAGATGAAACTAGAGGGTATATTAATTTATTTGCAAGATATTCATTCAGACAAATAACAAGAGGTACATTGCATTTACTGTGTGAGGTAAACATCTGTTAATACCTTTTTTGAATTTACTGCCTATTTATGAACATGTGTAGAATGGTGTGGTTTGTAGACCTACAGGTTTGCTTATGTGGTATGTATCGTATGCACAATGATATATTTGTTTGATTGAAGGTTTTAGAGGAAGTTTGTCAAAAGCAGGGATTCTTGCCTACTGAAGATTACAGTCTTTTGTAAGTTTGTTTTGTTTTATATTTAGAACTTCAATGTAAGGAGTTATTGTGATAGTGAATTTATTCTGTTCAATGTGTCTGTAACGTAACACTGAAATTACATTTCTTCTTTGCCTTACTGCAATATAAAGTTATAGAATTGATAGAATTTTAATTTATATATTTATAACTGCTTTAGTCTCTTTTTTGTATATCACCAGACATGTTAATGGAAGAAAAACAGTAGATCTTACACTGGCATACAGATACTCTAATCTAGCAAACAATGCTAAATTAGAATTAGTTAAAGCTAAGAGTTCCAGAGCAGAGGAAGAAGTTTTGATAGCACTACAACTTGAAGATGGAAGTCGACTTCAATCTGTTTTCAAACCATCAGTTACATTGTGGGATATTTTATCACATTGGGAGAATGAGCCTAACAGGTGAATAATTTATTAAAATTACTATACATTTTTACAAGGGTGTATATTCATTCCAAGGCAACACTAACATTACCATTTAAGGCCATACCCCTAATTACCTCATGTAAATATTTTCCCACACTTACAAGAAGCAAAAATTTTAAGAGAACACAACTCTGATAAATTTTACTGGCACATTCCTCTAAACAACATGTGAGAATTCATTTAGCACAGTAGTGATCCTTTGACAAAAAAACCCCACAAATATAAAAACCACCCTCCCACATCAGACTTTTTTGAAGAATTGTCCGAGAACCAGAATATTTTTTGTTTGGCCTAAGTAATAAAAAAACTATCATGAAAGTTCGGGTTCTATGATCAAAATGAAAGGGACATAATATATTTTAATCTTATGTTTGTTCAAATTTAGTTCACTACATGGTAAGCTGACAATGATTGATACTAGTGTAACACCTGTTAAACATCCTGTATGTATATATATGAGAGAAGAGGTAAGCAATTCCAGGCTAAATCACATCCACCATCTTCGTATGTTCAAATGTTGATTCTTCAGATCAACCCCTCCAAATTCTCTGGCATGGTTTGGAGAAAAATAACCCCTTTAGAGACTCTCGAACACAATATTCAGTGAAATCATACGGTAGACCATCAGTAAAACACATGTCAAACATTGTCAAATACAGTACCTGTCCATTTATGGTGGTTCTGTGAGTAAGACGGCTCGCTAATCTGGAGGTCCCGTATTAGATCCCTGCAATAGCCGAGGAAGTTCATCAGGATTATCCGGGGTGGTCCTCCCTTGTCATTGGTGCAGGACAGAGTACACCATATGGTCGTTTGGATGGGATGAAAGAACGAAGCCCCATGTACACATAGGGGTGCATGTGAAATATCCCTTGACTATTGAATTTGATATAAAAGAGTAGGCCAGGGAGCCTCTGTCCAGCCAAATTTTCCCTCATAGTCATAGCAAACTGTATGGCAAGTCGGACGTTAAACCCCATTTCATTTCATTTCATTTATATTGTTAACAAAAGTCTGCAGAGCAATATGATATAGAATAAAATATTTAGTGTATGAAATTCATTAAGTACTAATACAATTATCAAACTCTTCGTGTTCATCCTGATTCAATAAGTCGGTTATTAGCACAACACTATGCTTGATTACTATTTGGTAGGACATATAGTAGATATTGTTAGTGATGCTTTTGGTAAGACAACTGTCTAGTTTTATGTTAATGGAAGTGTATGTAAAAATTATGTAGATAATCAGAATTTTTAGGAATAGGCTAATTGCTGCAATATATATACATAAAAAAAATTTGGGGGAAATATTAATTAAACTGTTGTTTGTTTTCACTATGCGGTCAACAATTATGTGAAATTACTAGTCGAATTCTTATTAGAAGTACCTGCTTTATAATTTTTAGGTAATTGGTGAAATGGCTTTGAGGAATACAACTTTAAGGAAATTAGCTTTAACTGGTGGTAAAGCTGCTATAAGGTAGGAAAGGTTTTTAACATCATTTACTATATCTCTATAAATATAAAAGGTAGATTTTCTTTCTATACCAGTTGTATACATTATTTAATTCAAGAGTTTCACAGTACCATCCTTTTCAAATTCAATAAAAGTTATGGTTAATACATGGTAACAAAAATTTAAATTTTTTAGATTGGTACACAGATCGGTTGATGATGGAACATTGGCCAAAGTAATACAAGATGTGGAATTAACAAATGCTAAAAAAGCTAAACTTGAGGAAATTGCATCTCAGAAACTTATAGAACAACAAAGTGAAACAGAAAATATGTGTGTATCGGTAAATAGTGGTTCCACAGCATCTAAGTTAAATGCGGAATGTAGTTTGTCGCATGACCAGCAAGAACCAATGGAAACAGATTCTGGATCTAATACCATGCAGACATCATCTAGTGATTCATTAGCCAATGTAAATGACAGACAAACAAACTCTTCCGATTCCAATATGATAGACAGTATAAACAGTAATCAAAGTGACAGTACAATTTGTGTGCCTGATAGTCGTCCAGTTCGTGTTAATAGGGACAATAGTATCAATAGGTTATGTGAAATGAATATTCCTGGGGTTGAAATATTTACACCTCAAGATTTTGCGGACCTTACGCCAGAAGAACAAGTTGTAAGTATTTAAAGCTGTTGTAATTTGAAGGTTAATTTCAAGTCAGAAACATGCAATTACATGTACTGTTAATATGATACAATTCGAACACAGCATTAACAATAAAGGTTACTTTATGATATTAAATTTTTACAGCACAAAAATATTGTCAACTGCGGTATAAAGAGCTTCTGTGTTTTTCTAAAAAGTTACTTTATACTACTGTATGCCAGAGCTGAAAATCTACTTTGAAGCTATTAACGCTTTCTTTTCATTCAGTAACATAACTGAGTGCTTATCTTTGTGTTACTTCCAGTAGCTTCAAACCATAATTACAGATTAATCGTAGCAAAGATCTCAGTATTAAAATTATATTTGGAATCTGTTTAACCAATTCTTTACATCACATATGTAAAAAATCTGTGAATGCTGAAGTGTCTTTTAATGCAGTTTAACTGTTCATGACACAGTTTAACTGAGGACAAATCTTTTAAGTTTCTCTTCAGGTACATGTATCTCGAATTTCCTTTTAAATTCTGAATGCATGCTGTAAGCTTATTTTGTATATATTTGTAGATTGCTACAAGGTTAGCCCAGAGATTTGTACCAGGTTTAATGAGAGGTAGTAATACCAGCAGTCAGTCAATAACACAATCCAGACCACGGTCTAGTCAATATCAACCTAGTCCACAACAAAATTTTAATGAATTTAAGGTAAAAGAAGTAATAATAAATTCAAGAATCATTAAAAAGATTTGTCTATCTGTGTAAAATGGTATGAAAGCATTCATTTGAACTTTTTGAATTGAAATTCTTCTTTTCTTCCAAAAGAAAAAATGTTACTGAGTTTGCTAACTAATTAATGATTAAGATGAATTGTTTCTACAACAATAAAAATTTATTTATTAATTTTTATATTCTAGTTTCCTGAAGAGACAAAGGGAAAAGAAGTTTATAAAAATGAATTGAGGTGAATATTTTAGAGAAGAGAATCTGAATAAGATACCGTAATCTAGTAGTTACACCATGATTGAAATGTTTTGGGGGGTTTTAAATAATAAAGCCCATTATTAGTTTGATTAATATGTTTTGTATAATTCTATTTCAGTGAAGTGAAAAGAGAAGAATTTCAGGTAATTTAAATTAAGTGGCAAACTAAATAGGTTGCCTCTCTAAATAAAGGGGGGTTGGGTGGCCGAATGGTTAGCGCGTACACGATTCCCCGGTTGTACATGACAAGGAGTAGGGTCGCCTGTCCAACCTTGTGGGTTTTCTCTGTGTCCTCTGGTTTCCTCCCACTGTTAAAGATCCCTACACGCAAGTAACTTAATGAAATAAAATTGAACCATGTGTTAGTCCCGAAATGACCTAGTTTTTGTCAAGTGGATGTTAAACCCCCTTTCTCTCCCTCTCTCTCTAAATAAAGTATTATTATTATTATAATAGTTGATTTAAAATAAACTATTGATGAAAACTTGCCTGTGATTTGTTGAAAATATTACATTGTCTCCAATCAGATTAGCAAACAATTATTTGTCCACAAATGGATAATAGTCATTTGGTAGGGTAGCGTGGATTTAAGGTTTTCATTTTATTGAATACCTTTCACTGCAATGAATCAATTATTATTAAATCTTCACATAATAAAAAAAAGTATAATTATAGACTGAGTGGTCGAAATTTCAGTGAATTCTAATGAAGAGTTTTTAAGGGATCATGTTATTTTTTTCCAGTTTGATGTAAACTATTTTTTCTGTATGTTTTATAGCCATGTGATAGAGAAAGTGTATTGTATTGTGTAGAAGAAACTCTTCTTACTTCTAAAAGTGCTAGTCAAGGTTAGTAAAGATTTGTTACAATGATTGCATGCTTTGCTTATTTTGCTTACTATATTTTCTCTTGATCACTGTGTCAAATTTTATAAATCGTTAGTCCACTTCCCAAGGTCGTACGTATTTCATGGTACTTCTGAAATACACTTTCTTGGATGAAACAATTCTACATTATTTTGTCTACAATTTATATATAGTTTTTGTATCTAATTCAACCTTGCTCAAAGTATTATACATTGAGTTATGAAAGTCAAGAAGTCTTATATCATGGTAAGATAAGACAAAAATACACATTAAGAAAAAAGGCTAGATCGGAATATACAAGATTTTTGTATTTTTATCCAGATATATTCTTTAATTCTTATGATCAGTTAAGCATAATTGATTTTTTATTTCTTATATAGAATTACCGGATGATTTCTTTGAAATAAATGAAAATGATTTACGCATTATGATGACAGATCTTCAGAAAAATGTGTGAGTAAGATTTTAATATTTATTTACAGTAAAAACAGTGTTTCAGCATGACAATCAATACAAATAACTTTTTACATATTACATGATCCGTACATGGCAAATCCACACATTATTGGTGTGGTTCCTTTGTAGTCAGATCTCAACCACAAATCATGTAATCCATGATCTGTTGATAGATGACAGTGATTGGCGTTTGACGAAATAAACAGGTGGAACTACAGATTACTCAGACAATCCTTACCAAAAATCTGATGTGGGAGGAAGGTTTTTATTTTTGTGTTTTTATTTTGTCAAAGGATCACAACTGCCATACTAGGCTAAATGACTTCTCAAATACATCAACTTTCAAAGCACTACATTATCTCATCATGTTGTTTGTAGCAGTGCATGATTATCTAGTATCATTTACGATTTTTATTATCAGGGTTGCATAAATGACCCTACGCCATATTTTCTGGATTTGTTCAAATTTTGTTACAGAGCTACTGCCAGAGTTATGGCCCTTGATCACTTTGAAAAATCTTATGGACGGTCTAGAGGCTAAAATTAATATCTGATTGACTTTAAATTTATACGCAGTGTTTAAGGTCATGAGACGAAGAAGCCTATAGATTTTCAATAATTTCCAATAATTTCTGCCAGAGTTATGGCCTTTGATCACTTTGAAAAATCTTGTGGATAATTTAGATACCATAGTTATCATCTGATCGATTTTATGTTTATACACCATGTTTACACCTATATACAATTGTTTCGAACAAGTATATTGATATTCAATGATGTTTAATAACTTGAACAGCTAAATCCATGATATTAAATGTTTTGTATACTAAACGTTAGCATGGGCCAAACAAATTCTAATGATTTTCTGATAATTACTTAATGAGTTTTTACTCTTAATCAGATTTTAATGTATTATAAATGTTTCATACCAACAAAAGTAAAAATATGCGACAACTCTTGTTGACTGCCCGGATGATTTAGCTGCTGTGTGTGTATGTTTCGTTGTCTGGCAACCTATCTTTTATATATGGAGTTATGTTTCATAAAGTCCTTCATAGCTGTATTACTACTACAGAGCTCAACTGCCCACTGGTAGGGAAATGGTCAATCATACACAGAATTAGATTGGGGGAATACTGTACATGTATGTTTGCATTGTTAACTTTTACGTAACATAGTTGTTTACATTAGTGAGATGAAGAAGCCTATTTAATTTCAATAATTTCCGTTTATTACGTCTAGAGTTATGGCCCTTGTTTCACTTTGTTGAATCTTGTGAACACTCTAATGCCAAACGTTAACATCTGATCTTTGTGAAATTTATATGCATTATTTAAATTAGGGAAACAAAGAAGCCTATTGAATTTCAGTAATTTCCGTTTATTACTTCTAGAGTTATGACCCTTGTTTCACTTTGTTTAACCTTGTGAATGCTCCAACACCAAAAGTTATCCTATCTTTATGAAATTTATATACATTATTTAAATTAGTGAAACGAAGAAGCCTATTGAATTTCATCAATTTCCGTTTATTATGTCTAGAGTTATGGCCCCTGTTTCACTTTATTGAATCTTGTGAACGCTCTAACATCAAAAGTTATCTGCCAATCTGCATGAAATTTATGTGTCATTTAAATTAGTAAGAAGAAGAATCCTATTGAATTTCAGCACTTTCCGTTTATTACGTCTAGAGTTATGGCCCTTGTTTCACTCTGTTTAACCTTGTTCATGCTCGATTGATGAAAGTTATCATCCGATATGTATGAAATTTATATGCATCATTTAAATTTGTGAAACAGAGGTCTATTGAATTTCAGCAATTTCCGTCAATAATTTCAAGAGTTATGGCGGTTGTGAACCTTGTGATCATCTGATCTGTATGAAATTTATATGCATTATTTAAATTAGTAAAACGAAAAAGCCTGTCAAATTTCAACAATTTCTGTAGATTACTTGCAGAGATGAGACCCTTGTTTCAGTTTGTAGAACCTTGTGAACCCTCAAATGGCAAAAATTATAATCTGATCTGTAGGGAACTGTCTTGTAAAGGCCCCCCAATTACCTACAAAAGAATAAATATGCAACAACCCTTGTCAACCGCTCGGACGATTTAGCTGCTTTGGGAGTATGTTTCGTTGCCTGGCGACCTATCTTTGGACTGTGCTAATAGTTATGTTTCAATGATTTTGTTATTTATTTAGAGAAAACATGGAAGGTCAAGGTTTGATGACAAAAGCAATGAGACAAGCGGCGTTAGAAGCTAAATATGAAAAATATGAACGGGTGGTAATCCGAATACAATTTCCTAATAAATTGGTTCTACAGGCATTGTTTAGACCTAGGGAAACTGGTAAGACACTAAAGTTATTCTGTACACTTATTTCACAACTGTCAAAAGAAAATGGACTTTGAATGTTTTCGGTAATTAATCCATGATGTCAGAAAGTTTCGTATTATTACAGTTACTAAAAAAGTTGATTACTATTGCAATATTTGTATCTCATTTATTTCAGTTTTTGCTATTCAAAAATATGTAAAAGAGAACTTGGAAGATAAAAATATGCCATTTTATTTATGTAAGTTAGTTTCAAATTTGTCTTATACTCATACTACAGCACAACTTCATATAACCAAATCCTCCTTCAAATGCTGCTATTGGTTATCAATGTATATGAATTTGTTCTTAATGTATGTGTATTACCAAAGTCTTCACACCCAGAGTATGAATTGGTGATTAATGTATGTGTATTACTAAAGTCTTAACACCCTCAATGTGTAATGTGTGTGTATTGGTCTAGTCTAGTGTGAATTGGTAATTAATCTCATTGTCAAGTATTAGTTCATTGTCATTTTGATACAACTCACTATTTTGATACAACAAAACTATTTGATAACTTGGCAGCATTAATTTATAAAGAATTTAATTTTGTTAGAGATACCATTCCTCCTAAAAATATTTAATTGCTCCTAAAACTATTTAATTTTATTACAGACACCACTCCTCCTAAAATTATTTTAAAAGATAAAAGCCAGACATTGTTGCAGGTGAGTACTTGAGTAGAATTTATTATCACGGAGAAATGGATTGAAAACAACTTTAACCTTTTCAATATTGAAGTTTGATTGACTGTATATTCCATTTTATGAATATCACCATGACAATAAATAGTAAACTAGGATTTTATAAAGATGAAAAGATAAAGTAGAATGTTCAAACTTGAAGATTTTCATTAGGTGAATATTTTGGTTGAGTTTGTTTATACACATTTTCTGCGTAGGCTAAGTAGAGATTATCATTTAGAAGATGATAACTTGCTATAGATCTTCATTCGGTGAATATCTTGACCGAGTTCAAAGATTAAAGCAATTTGAGATATTGATACAGTAACAGTAATGAGAATTTTCTGCTTGGATTAAGCAGTGATAAATAATGGTGATGCTAGCTGCTATATAACAAAATAAAGTAATTAATGAGTGTCAGCTATATATTTGGGGATTAAGGTGAGGAACATCAAGCTCACTGTTGTTCTTAGCGTTTAACGTCCGCTTCCACCGAAGGTGATATCGCAGACAAGTTCATTTTAATGATCTTAGCGCACGCGCAGGGGTCTTTTGCTGTGAGAGGAAACCGGAGTACCCGGAGTAAACCCACGAGGTTGAGAAGGCGCCCCTATCTCCAAGCCACATACGCTCACACCTGGGATCGAAACCACAGCCGCAAGCCAGAGGTGACCGGCCAACTAGAGGTCGAAGCGTGACACTCTAGACCACTAGGCCATCCCAACCCCCCTCAAGCTCACTGTCAGATTGTTACTCTTATGGTTAAATTAATGAATATCTTAATATTTTAGTTAGAAAAACTTGTTTGCTTTTTTTTTCTCCTTTAGGCAAACCTTGTTCCAGCAACTTTGATATATTTTGGAACTGAAACAGAGCATGGTATGCAATATTTCTTTAAATAATATTTTGCCAAACCAGCACTGAGCTACAGACGATTTAAATTTAAGAATCATACTCATTGTTTAGTGGTTTTCAAAAAGTTTAATGATCCATTGTGCAAATAAGTTTGATAATTAGATGAGTTTAAGGTTACTTCAAATAGGAAATTATTGAAAATTAATTGCATTTAAGTGAAAGAAATGTTCCCAGCTGTAAGAAATATAAAGATAAAATAGTGTCTTGGTGCAAACTTTGTAATTATTTCCCTTTATTCAACTATGGCAGTAAGGTGAATGGGTTATAGTTTTTTTATAGCTATACATTCACTTTGAGCAAGACAAGACATGTTTATATATATATATATAGATATCTGCTTCTTGCCCCTTGCCCTCTCCCCTTCCCCCCTCCTTCTTTTCCCAAAACCTTGTGAACACAACAGAGGCTACAATTTTTAATAGATAGTTTTCATATTCGGTGTGAAGCATGGGAGGATAAGCCCTATTGATTTTCGATGTTCTTTGTCCATCTCTTACAAATGTAGTTGTATCTTGTATTGCAAAGGATTGTTTTATTTTATCATCAAACATTCTTGGCAAACTCACCATTGGTAAACTAGTGGTTTTTACACCGAGAAACAGGGTAAATGAATCATGAGAATATACCAGTTAAAGCATTGTAAAATGTATATGTTTCAGATAATTTTATAACTCCAGCTATGATAAGTTCTATATCACCAAGAATAAAAGCTGAAGAATTGGCAGCCAAATGGTAAAATATCAATTACTTAGTAGTATTGTACTATTGATACTTCACTATGCAACAAAATGTAATAAAACCCTACCAGTTAACAGTGAACAATTTAAAAACATGCCAGATTAATTTTCTCTGCATTTTCAAACAATCAATGCCTTGTTCTATAAATGTTGTTTATATCAATCAAACTTGGCAAAATATTCTATGTTCAATTTTTTAAAAATTTCAGAAAACAGCCATAGAAAAAGTTGAAAATAATCACAATTTCTTAAAATTAAATGAAGTTTGTCTGTTTTAATACTGTGTAAATTGTGATTTGAATCACATTAACAATGCAAAATGTCTTTTAAATGTCACATGGTGTATCTAGATTGGTGTGTGTCTAGACCAGTACTGTGGATCTAGAAATGAACTGTACGGCTGTTTAACCATTACTCAGTGAAGATGCATATGTTGTAGTAGTACAGAAAATAATATATAATTGCTGTATTTAGGCCATATGTGACAACAATTAAGATTTCCTTGGGTGTGTGTTTTTAATTCATCTTTTCTAATGCATTGTCATGGAATTATGTTGTCTTTATTTACAGGTTACAATCAGACAATATGTCATCCTCATCAAAAACTGAATGGAGAGCTCGTCCTTCAACTAGTTCTACTGGTGGTGCATCAACTAGTAGTACTGGTGGTGAAGAAAAAAAGGTGCCAAAATGGCTGAAACTTGGTTAGTATCAGTAGTAACAAAATAAAAATGTCTTTCATTAAAAAAAAAAAAAAAAAAAATTAGACACAAATTAAAACAAACTACAAAATCTGTTGCAATGAAAAATGCCATTCAGTCTTGTTATTGGTCTATGCATCCATGACACTTTTTGCATAACTGATTCAAAAACTGATTCATTTCTGATTTTATTTTCAGGTAAAAAATGAGTGAGAAGAAGACGGGATCCATGAAACGTAACATTAAGGCTTTCGAATTTGTTTTTATTAAAGGAAAGAGAATTATCAACTTTTTATATTGTCCAGCTTCATGTAATTATGTTGTACATAATTAAAACGAACTATGACAGCCTAAAAGTTTTGACTATTTTGGCTAACTTTCTCAAAAAAAGCTTATTCAAGACCTAATTGTTATATTGTTAAATGAACTATTAATTATACTGTATGTTATTAAATTCAAACTGCAAATATTTGTACAAAATGGAAATAAATTATGCTTTCAGACTTATTTCAGATTATATTTGCAACTTGTGTAAAGAATTCTTCATTAGTCAAATAATCCCTTGAATTAATGTTGATTTTTTAACAAGGTATTCCAAAGATAACGGCAACAAATTTGCATACTAGTCAGCTCTCGCCATTATTCCTTGATTACAATATGATTAGGTCATCAAGACTGTTCTGCCCCGACAGGGCTAATGAAGATGGGCATATGCCATACAGTGTGCTGTGAAGGAAATTTTGCCCAAACAGCAGCACTACAGCCTACTCTTATATCAAATTCCAAGTGTCACAGATTCTCTTACGTGCACGCCGGTGTGTACACAGGACCTCAGGGGAACCACACCGGAAAATCCAGATGAAGTTTCTCACTGAGCCACTGGGCTCCCCTCCTTTCCTGAAAGTAAGTTCCTGTGTATAAATTGGTTGTAGAGATAAAAGATCCCTTTGTAATTGGAATTTGAAAAAGAGCTGGAAGAAATTCCACTGTTCAAGAAAAATTCTTTCCCCCACGGCCCAACATTTCACAAGTAACCATAGAGAGAGAGAGAGAAATGGGGTGTAACGTCCTCTTGACACAAACTAGGTCATTTAAAGAATAACGTGGAGAATAATCAACCTATTACAAGGGGTTTTTTTTCAATTTTATTTATTGGGCACATGGGAGTTAGGTAGCCATATGGTCTAACATATGCACTTTAGATCATAAGGTCTGTCAATGAGTGGCTTGGTTTCGATTCCCAGCTTGTACATGACAAGAAATAGGGTAACCTGTACTACCTCATGGGTTTTCCCTGGGTTCTCCGGTTTCCTTTCACTGCTAAAGAATTCTATGAGCAAGTGAATCATTGAAATAAAATTGAGCCATATGTTAGTCCCAGAATGACCTAGTTTGTGCCAAATGGACAATAAACACGGTTTCTCTCCCATGGGGCCCAAATACAAAGTTGTATTTGCACTTACATGGTAACCTGTCCAACCTCATGGGTTTTCTTTCCACAGTTAAAACCACACTGACCAGCAGTGAATATTCGCTAGGCCTCTACAATCACTGATAAGGAAGACATCTATGCTACTTAATGAGCCACAAATATTAACTTTTTTCCTCCGACCAATTAAATTCCAAAACATTTTTTTTTATGTAATAGAAAAATAAATAAAGACTTTGACGTATTTGTAGGTAACAATTATTTCCTATTTAGTGTAAATGGGTATTAAAATGAGTAAACGACACCATTCTGCCTGAAACAGTAACGTCTTATGTAAACAATGCATGAGCCAATGATTGACGCGGTGTGATGAGACGTCACATGTTGAAGGTATTCATCTTTTATAGAGATATTAGAAGACTTTTGTAATCCTCTGTGAAACAGGTGGAGTTACAACCCCTTATGCACAAGCAAATCTGAAATAAAATTGAGCCATGCTAGTCCCAAAATTACCTATTTTGTGTCAAGTGGACAATAAACACAATTTCTTTCAAATTAAAATCACTTTACAAATTTACTTTTACACAATATATTGTAATCTAACCAACATTTTTTCAACGCAATATTCTTCCAGGATGAGTTACATTTACATCAACAACTGTATTCCAAAGGGATATAACCCTACATGTATAACCATCTTGTCCAGAAACATTCCCAAAATCGTTTTTCATAATCCACTACAATACAGATCCCTGTATACTAATATAGACAATTTGAATTAGTTATAAAGTTCAGATGATCTAAAAAATAATGCCAACTTCAAACAAAATATGTCTTATAACATACAAACTAAAATTTACATTAATTACACATTTTGTATAATAAAAGTACTCATTTTCAACATATTCTATTTACGTTATCTATTCTTTATACGCCCACATTTTCATGCGGACGTATTATGCCGTCGCCCCTGTCCATCCGTCCACAATTTGTTTGTGGACACTCTACAGGTCACAATTTTTATCCGATTTTGTTTGAACTTGAGATATAGGTCTATCTTCTGAAGATCTCAGTTCCTTTCGATATTGGCATATGTATCCGAACATGACTTCATGGATTATGGCCCCAGATTGTATGAAAAACCACGTTTTTAGCTTGTGGACCCTCTACAGTTCACAATTAGTATCCAATTTAAAAAAACATTCTAATATATCACCGTTACATCGTAATGTCGGTTGAGTTCCAATTTCATGAAAATCTGACAAAAACTGTAGGAAAAAATGGCTGCCCCTTGTACGCAAATCGTGTAAAAGTATATACCTAGCAGGTGGACACTCTAGAGGTCACAATTTCTATCCGATTTTGATGAAACTTAAATTAAATATATCTTTATATCCCAAGTATCTCATTCCCTTTCGATATTCGTGCATTTCAGACCATAACTTCCTGGATAATGGCCCCTGATTGTACGAAAAATCACTTTTATTTTTAGCTTGTTCTCTATCCATCTCTTGCAAAATGTGGGCGTATCTTGCCTGACAACTGCTGGTTTACCATTATAGCGAGAACTTTCAACTCTTCATCTAATCGCCCATAATGTATCCTTAATTATGGCCCCTTTTTTAATCTTGTGAAGGCTCTATAATAAATTGATGTTCACTGTTCAGATTAGAACTATTGAACCTTTAAGCCTTAACAGTAGGCTTTACAAGTCCTTCTCATTGTCTACGATATATCACCCTTGGTGGAAGTGGAGTAAACTCTAGGAATGAACAAATGAACCAACAAGTCATTCTCCCATCCACTTTAAATTTATGTTCATTGTTTGGATTATTACCTGTACCGGTATGGTTTTTTGGGGGTTTTTTTTTATTATTAGGCTATTATTATTTTGGGTGATTGGCAAGCGCAACCCATTTTTTGATAAATAAAGATGTGACAGATATCATTTTTATTTAAAGCACAAATATAAAATTTATGTGTTTGTAATCCATTTGATCGATACCTTACCACGATGGATTTCAAATAATTTGGTAAGAGTTGTACTTGTATATCTCCGCATTTTAAAAGATTGAACGTCACAATTGCTAGGTCATGCTATGTGAAACAAGAACTGTGATTTTCCCGTCTTTCACATGGAACTGGGTCTAATTTTCACATGTCGGAAGTTGCAGGAAAGATATTTTTAAATATGGCGGATTTCGAAAATGTTAATACTGGTACCCGGGTTGTCAGATTTCGTGTATTCTAGCTGTTCTATGGTAACACAGAAGGCATTTATAATAATCAATAATCATGGAGTCCAATAAACACTAGGCCTATAGTGTAACGTCGACTTCACAACGTCAATGTCAAAAATGAAAGATCGCGTGTCACCGAGCAGGCGACGTCGCCATAATGACAATGTAATAAATAAAATAATAATTCTTGCTGTCTAAAAGTCCAATGTGAAATATTTAAATACTGTGGCATATCTCATCAATGCCTTAAAGCGATAATTTCACATTTTTAAGTTATATTTTTAAAATGTATTAAACTAAAGCCTTAAAATAGATGGTATAAACAGTCCAACCCTGTTAAAGAATAATCCTATAATTCACTATTGCCAGTTGAGAAATTGGCAAAAATATCATTTTCAACCTCAAATTCAAACGTTTGAAGATAGCTATTCCATTGGGGGGTGGGGGGAATAGAAAAACAAGGGAGGTAATTGTGTTATTATTTCCGGGGTGAATGATTTTTAAGTGTGAGAATTTCACATTTTTAAGTTATATTTTTAAAATGTATTAAACTAAAGCCTTAAAATAGATGGTATCTATAAACAGTCCTACCTTGTTAAAGAATAATCCTATAATTCACTATTGCCAGTTGAGAAATTGGCAAAAATATCATTTTCAACCTCAAATTCAAACGTTTGAAGATAGCTATTCTAGCTATTCCATGGGGGGGGGGGGGGGGAATAGAAAAACAAGGGATGTAATTGTGTTATTATTTCCGGGGTGAATGATTTTTAAGTGTGAGAATGATACCTATGACCGTATAGCCTAATAGTCGAGTTGACAACCTATTGAGCAAAAGACATAGAAATAATTATATTTTGACTTTCTTAGAAAATATGAAATTCTCGCTTTAAATGTATGACAATGCCTGCTCTGTAGGACAGAAGAGTTCATTGACATTTCTGTGATTTTTTTTTGATTTTTTTTTTTTATGAACCATTACATTACCGGTACTGCGCATTAGGTAGGGTGTTCAGATATAAGAAGAATGAATTTTATGTCAAGATCCCCAACTAATAAAAGACCAAGTAGAAATACATTTTGTATGAAGCCCTAGTCCAATGGGTATGCATTGTGTACAATGGCTGTTCTACCACTTAATTTCTACAATTTCAATAAGCCTGGTCTTTGTATTTCATGTTTAAATACAATCATCATTGATATCTATACACTAAGTGTGAGTGGTGTCTTCTGTAATGCATTTACTTAATATTTCTATAGAATATATAACGGAACAATAAAGACCAAAGTGTGAGTCTATATAGCAGTCAAATTTGTGATAAGTATTTGCTATATCAGGATAAGCTGATTTATTCTGATAAATGTGCCATCAGATATTCAATCATTTCTCATACTATAGTAGACCTATCTATCTACAGTGTACTTTTATTTATATCCTTGTTTGACTCCCACATCACGTTAAATATGAATATGATTTTTTTTTTATTGCTTTCCATGAGAAATGAAAAAAGAAACAATTTGTTCTGAAATTGATTATCGTTGGTCCAGTGAAGTAGGATGTTAAACCCCATTTCATTTCATTGCATTCATTCTATCTTTGATCAACAGGTAACTTGGATAAAATCTAATCTCAAGTACCTGATATTATTTTATTAGATATTAGTAATCAATATGGTTTATTGATCTTTTTCATGAACTTTTATCTTTATCGTGATCACAAACATCCACCAGAAATATGTTCCGATAGAACAAGTACTTGTAAATAAGTCTAGTCTTAAACTATTTTATGAACTATGTACTTGGTGCAGTATGTTATAAATTTTAATCCATTTTAATCTACTCTCAATAATGATAATATAACTGCCATGCTGAAGAATTAAATTTACTTTTAAAGAGAACTGGGTAAGTAGTGTTCACGGACTTCAAAAGTAGATATTAAACATATATAAATATATATTTTTAAAGTACTTATATTATAATGACAGGTTTAGGATCTTCTGGGTATAGCCATCTTTTTCTTTTACATCAGTATTGACCTTTGATTTACTTCCAAGAGCCATTGATAATTGACAACTAAAAAAATGTTAATTAATTGTACAAATTATAATGATTGTAGAAAAGTGTAAGCACTTTAAATTGTTCAGATCGGTCTACTAAGATCTGGTACAATACTTAAACTTCTGAAGGCTTTAAAGACATTTTAATCCATGAAATATTACTGAAAATACTACCTCTATAGTAGAGTCTATACATCGATTTTTATCAGAATATGTTGTATTTGCCTTAGCAAACATTTATAGAAAAGGAAATCTAAGTCAAGTATTGGAATAGAATGACAAATGCATTAGTGTTTCTGACCCATGATCTCTTATTTGATAAACTATGGTTCCAAATAAATAGAAATGACTTTATAGAGATATTACTTATATATGACCAGTTATAAAAACTCTATAGAATTTGTCTTTATTAATAGTTGAGGACTAAATATTTGTACATGTCAACATGTACCTATAGTTACAGTCCTCCATACTAGCCAATAACAATACCACATTAACAACCAAATTTATGGCACATTTTTACTATGTTTATCTTTTATTTTTAAACATTGAATATTGGGTTTTAAATTTTAGAGGTAGATGTTCAATTCGTGGAAAATGGAATTGATAGATAAGTGAAAGGTAAGAATAAAAATCTTATTAATGTGATTTATGATTTGTTCTTTTATTTGTGAATTATTTATTTATTCACAAATTGGGTGAATAACTTATGAATGCACCAGTATTTCTATCAAACACTTGAAATAATGTCTGAATTATTTAGAAAATTTAGTGGTATATTAGGCCAGACTTACATTGCCAAAAGATAATTTCCAGAAAGGAAATAATTATAGGTAAAGCAATATACTGACAAAATACAATGGTTTTCACCAACATGTGACATTTGACAGGAAATTACTTATAGAATCCAGTTTGAGTTTTGTTATAATAATAAATGGTCTACTTAACATCCACTCGACACAAACTTTTTGCGACTAACATATGGTTCAATTATTTCAGTAATTCGCTTGCACGTAGGGATCTTTAGCAGTGGGAGGAAACCGGAGGACCAACCCTACTCCTTGTCACATACAACCGGAGAATTGAAACAATGCCAGTTGACTCAGTAACAGAGCTTATGATACAACGTGCACATGCTAACTATTTGGCCATCTAGCCCCCCCCCCCCCATGGATAGGAATGGAGTTAGGCATCTCATCAACACAATACTTTGACCATTTTGAAACCAACATTTGGTTAATGTTTCTAAGGTCATGTGTGCCATGCTAGTAAAAAGAATTTGGCCCCATCAGAAGAACTTCTAACTGTACAGGGTTCTATTTGCGTGGCAAATCCAAATCCAAATCCAAATGGCTAGGCAACTGCTGAAAAGTGGGACCCAAGTTTTAAAATCTCAAGGTTCTATGCTCAGGGCAGGATTCAAACACAGGACATCCTAGTCAAAAGCACAGTACCCTTTACATGCAACTGCTCACTTACCACAAATTTTGAAACTGCATCCCTGCTGTATAATAATCTAATTATGTGAATAGGACAAAGACAACGTTCCACCCTAGTTTTATACGTTGGTACCAACAATGTACATAAAAGTTATCATAAAGTTACAATTTCATATTTTCTAAGAAAGTCAAAACATAATTATTTCTATGTCTTTTGCTCAATAGGTTGTCAGCTCACTATTATACGATCGTTGGTTATCTTTCTCACACTTAAAAATCTTCACAAACCGGAAATAATAACACAATTACCTTCCAATTACCTCCCTTGTTTTCCTATTCCCCACCATGGAAGAGCTATCTTCAAACGTTTGAATTTGAAGTTGAAAATGATATTTTTGCCAATTTCTCAACTGCCAATAGTGAATTATAGGATTATTCTTTAACAAGGTAGGACTGTTTATAGATACCATCTATTTTAGGGCTTTATTTTAATAAATTTTAAAAATATGAAATTGTAACTTTAATAAAATAAGTAGAGATGGAACATGTGGACACTGGAACCTCTGCTGCATCTTTCCCTCTCATTGCACAGACAACCATAGGCCATAGGAGAAAAGAAAAATATAGGCCTATATTGATTTCAAAATGTATAATATTGACAAGATATTAAACCCCATTTCATCCATTGTATATTTAAACAATATTTTAGTACCAAATAATTAATTGTTACTATAAATCACCAATACAAATATCAATATATATTTCAATTTTGCCTTGGGTGAAACGAGCTTGCCTTTATCAGTTCTGTTTACTAATATTTTGTTATGAATTATAATCATGATTTATGTTATAATATTTTATCAGGTTGTTAAAATCCCAAAATGGGCATCGAGAAGAAGGTGTTGGATTTTGAAGTAGAAATCCATGATGCCCAGTTTAATCACCAAGGACGTTATTTTGTCAAACTGTCAATACAGAGTTTACATACAAGAGACTATACATCTATACAATTAAAGAAACCATTGAGTATTGAATATCTTTATGATAACGAAGGTTTAACTGATGTTACACAACAAAATGGAAATGCTGAATTAGTTTTCTTTAAAGAAAAGAGATTTGTGTTCAGATTACCAAGAGGTAGGTTTTTATCTTATATGAAACCAATGAACATAGTCTCAGATATAAAAGACACAGTCTCAAATATATATGAGACCAGCAAACATAATAATAGTCTCAAATATATCAGACCAGCGAACATAACAATAGTCTCAAATATATCAGACCAATGGTTATGCAATATTCTTAGGGCAAGAAAAGTAGGGGATATTGAAATGCAAATACCTATGCAGGTTGTGATATGATAAATAGTCATGGACACTTGACATGCTTTGAGAATATGTTCACAGATGAAGAACTTATCGCCCCAACAGAACCACTGAGCTGCACCTGCGACATGCAATAGCGCCATACACGCCATAAGATTTACTGTTTAGCGTATCTTTGCTTTATTGTGTTATGTTTAATTTGCAATGAGACGTCTTCAACATGATGAACGTCTACATGCTATTGGGATGCTTCAAATGGGTTCTACACAGCGAGCAGTAGCCAACATGCTTAATGTTTCACAGTCTGTGATCAGCAGACTGTGGAACCGGTACCAACAAACACACAATGTTGATGATAGACCTCGTTCAGGTCGTCCTAGAGCCACTACACAAGCCCAGGATCGATACATTCATACACAGGTCCTGCGAAATCAAGAACAAACAGCCAATCAGCTTTCTGTAAACTTGTACCAAGTTACAGGAATTCAAGTTACACCCCAAACGATTAGAATCGGCTACATGCAGCCCATTTGCAGGGGGTACGACCACGTGTTGTGCCTCCATTAACTTGTCAGCACATGGCAAACAGGCGTCTATGGTGTAAGCAGCGTAGAAATTGGGGTAATTGTCGATGGGCGCGTGTCCTTTCCCCTATAGAGTATGTCTGGGACATGATCGGGAGATGTGTTCGTCGACGTCAACGTCAACCGACAACACTGCAAGAATTGACTGTGGCACAGCAAGAGGAGTGGGTCAGATTGCCCCAAATCGTGATTGTACGGTTGATTAGGAGCATACCACGACGAATTGCTGAATGTCTGAGGATTGGTGGAGCAATTACTCATTATTAAGACAAAAATCAAAAACATCCATTTTCACTTTTGACGGTGAATCTCTTTGCGAGTAAAATGGGTCCGTCAGATAAGCCGCCCAGATGAACTGTTTATGTTCATGTGTAGGCAATTGGCCTGTTATTAACATACACTGGTTATCTCTAATAAAAACATCAGTGCATTTCCGCAGTTTTGTATTGTTTCTGAATATCTCCTACTTTTTTTGAAGAGTATATATAAATGGCATCATGCTTGTCCTATTTCTTTCTATCCATTTACTCACAGTCACCCTTACTGATGATCAATTGTACGTATTATTTATCAAGATTATTTGGACCGAGAAAAGATATTTCTTTATCAAGAACGATGCATCAAAGCTGTGATTTTCTCAAATTTTTGACATTTTTATTTAAAATTTTATTTGAGAAGTATTAAATAGGGCTTAACGTACGCTTCTGCAGAGACTGATGTCATAGACTAGGTAAATAGACCTATAATACTGAAAATTTTATAGATATTGACTTCATGTGAGATCAAAAGATCACTCATAAAATGAATCTCATATATTGTAGGCTTGTAAACCTATTGAAAATGTATATTAAAATGGAGTAATATATTACATCTCGAGTGTTTATTAAGATTCTACACTAAATACACAACTCATAAAATAATCCAATGTATATTATGATAAATATATATATATACCTACATGTAGAGGTATATAATGAATATGAAGGTTTAATATGTATGTAAATTATACTAGATGTAAACATGTTATTACAATCAAGTGTGTTATAAATTAGTCATGTAAGAAAAGAAGTGTAGTGTGCATTGTTATTTATAGGGTTATAAAAACATCTGTTGTATTAAAAAAAGATATTAATTTCAATGTAATGGAAGAAATCATCAAATACACTAATACTTTATTCCAAAGTGACAGCTTCATTTTATAAAAGAGCAAATTCGTATTTTAAAGTTGAAATTTAAAAAAATTGCATACTGAAATTAGCTTTTCATATATATAGCCTCTCCAATCTCTTTATGACTGTCACTATATTAGTGCATTAAACATACATTATGCAAGAGCAAAATCTGCTTATTACAAGTCTTTCTTTAGGCCTGAAATGTTATCTAAATTATCAATTAGACATTAATTAACTTATCCAGACCATAATAAACTCTCGATGTCAAGGCTAGCCTTCGATGTTGGCTGGATTAGATTCCTATATGCCGCTAACGGCCGTTGATAATTAAATCAATAAAAGTGGATAATCGAGACTAAGCTGTTTATAATAATGATTTTAATAATGATGACCGAAACTATGCTAAAATTTCACCCGCTTCTTTCTCGGCTCATAGTGGATCAATTTGACTGAAATTTTCAGCAAATTACCTTTACACTATCTAGTTTTTAACTATTATAGCGAGAACTGCCATCTCGTTATCTTATCTCCCATAATGTATCTTTAAGTGTGAGTCTATCCAGAGGAAATAATGTTGATAGTTTGGTAAATCCTCATTGTAAAATGTGGGGCAGAGGGTGTTATATGATTTAATTGATTAGCTTTGAATTTCAGTGTGGATCAAGAAGGATTATTCAAACTCAGTCTAGTTGTTTGGATAGGAAAAAAAATTGAGGTCCTGTATAAATTAGCAGTGCACATAAAAGATCCCACTCAAAATGCTTCTTTATGTAACCACAGAAATGTTAAATAATACTGCATGTTGATTTCAAAATGACATTAGTAATGTCTCACCGAGATAAAACCCTTTATTCCACAATCTTAATATTTATGAACGTTTATATTCTGAATCACAGATTACTTAACACTGTTGTTCTGTGATTGGCTTATTTCAATCTAACATAAGTCATAATTTGTAATTTCAGGTTTTTGTAAGAATGATAAGAATCATGATGTATATTTATTATTGGAGGCGTTTACTTTACCAGATAATGATCAGGATATGGGTAAAAAGGTTGGGGAAGGCAAGTTCGCCATTTACCCTCGCACAAACGCTCCCAGAATTAACATGAACGTAGAGGTCAACGAAAACATGTATCACTACACCGATGTTGTCTCACTACTCAGAACTATGTCAACAGATAATGCGACAATGCATTGCGGGAGGTTGCGCTGCACGTTCGCATTGAGGGAGGTTATTCCAAAAACAACACGAAGAACCCCTGTACCTGATCCTACACCTCGTCCCTCTCCACGCTATGTACAAGTAACAGATAGATCTGAGAAAAAGAAAGTAGAAATAAAAACACCCTCGCCAACACCATTACCAACAAATAGACCAACAGCTAGAGATAACCCTCCACCACCAAAAACAAAACCCACACCGGTATTAAAGAGAGCATCACCTAATGATTCATGGGGTGATAATCAATCAGTTAATTTACCTAAAACACCACCTAGAACCCAGCCACCACCACCAACTGATACTAGAAGGGTAAGATGATGATCACTATATAGTTAAAAATGTATTATGTAAGAGCTAAATCTGCCTATTGCAGGTCTTTATTTTAGCTTCAAATGTTATGTAAACTATTATTTAGACATTTCTTCACATGACAAGAATATTTTTAACTGATTAACTCAATAACTGGGTAGTCCGAAATAACTGATTCTTTCCCTATACAGCTGAATTGATTAGTTACCATCAATGAATAAGTTAAAAATAATCTCTTACTAGCATAACATAATTCCTGCCTGTTGAGTTAAGCAAAATCTATTAACTTTTCTGCTTCTGCTTTTCATCTTTGTTATTTACCAGTACTTAATAATTATAAAATGTTGATATTTATTTAAAGATGACAGAATCTCCAAGACCTAATTTTGATCACACCACATATACAGCTAATGTACAGAATTGGAGACATGTATCTAAATCTGGTAAAGAACAGATTGATATCATATTACATGGTGCCAGTGCTGTACCAGCTACACAAAAAGGCAAGGCGCCATTACCATATGCTTCCATGTAAGTATTCTTCATCTCAAATTTTACAGCTTACACCATTTTCTTTACTTGTTAAAAATTTGAATAATACTTATGAAATGTTTACAGTAAAACCAAGTCTGATTATTCTGGTAATGATGCCACTGCCCTAAAGACACATGCTTCTGCTCGACCTACATCAGCACCATCATGGGAAGAAATGTTAAGCATGGAGATAGATGAGAAAAAATCAAAAGATGAAGGTAGTTATAGCACTTTCGGTTCATGACAATATTTAGATGACAATAGAATTCTTCTAAAATATTAAAATATGTCATACTCATTAAACCTAAATTAGACCTGGTGAGGCCAAAAAAAAAATATTGATATATTTCCTTGAAAATAGATTCATAAAGCTTTCATGGAGTTAGATAAACATAGCTATTATGTTTTGATAACTATAAATATGGAAGATCTTTTCATCATAATTTAGGTAATGTTGTTTAATATTAATGTTTTTGTGTTATTAATTTCAGCATTAATGTTAACTATTGGTGATTCTACAAGTAAAAGTCGTTTAGTTAATTATGAACTACCTGTCAATCATCTTCAACCATTTCACCAATATCATCTAGAAATGGTGGTGGTAGGTTTTCCTCTGTTCATTTTATCATGATTTATATAAAATAGTACCGTCCATCATAAAGGGCAGTCAGATTCAAAGTGCATAGATAAAAAAATACAAATAAAATAATAGTATGTGGATTTCACCATGAGAATGTGACAAAGTTACTGCAATTACCATGACAAAGTAGCATCAGGGCTTACATGGAAAAATATCTTAACTTCTTCTGATGAAAAATAATCTGATAAAACTTTCTTCGAAATTTGAATTTTGTTAGATTTTTTATTATATGTAATTTTTCAGCCAAATCAAACTAAACCTGATGGTGTAAGAATGTATGCTAGTATTATGAGGAAGCTTAGTAAATTACCACTTGATATGTCATCTCCAAATTATTTAGGTCTAGAGGTAAGTTTCATATAGCACCACCCTCTACACAGTACTCAAAGGAATTTACTGAATTTCTTTATGGATCCCCTAGAAAGGTTAATTTCTTTCTTTATATGTTATTAGACTGTGCTGCAAACAAATTAGATTGCATTAAATGGGATCAATCTACCAAAATATAGCACTGATTATTTTCTCCAGGCCCATTTACAAGCTGTTCAGAGACCTATACAGAATCCAGTAGGACCACTAATAGCAGTAGCTAGAATAGTTCCTGATTACTATAATTATAGGTAAGTCATCAGTAAAGTTTGCTACCTACAGTCATATCAATAGACCTGTACTGTTAGTTCAATATGGAATAGATAGTTACAGATTGTCAACAAATCATCTGTTTTAAGCTGTACTTAAATTAAACAAAACACAGATGTTTTTTATTGCCATTGACCGAGAGGCATGATCTGTAGATAGACCGTGAAAGATGATATCCATTCCAAAATTTACATAATTATTTGAATTAAACTCAGATATTACTCTCAGATATTTGAATGGTAAAGTATTAAGTAGTTAAAACACAGAAATTATATAAGATATTTGATATTAAAAACATTTGTATCTTGGAGAGTCCCTTGAATATTTTTTTGTATTGTTTTTTTAATTTGACAGAACGGATAATTTATTACCACATCCCCGTACAGCAGGAGTTAATATGACCAGTGTTACCTTTCCACAACCTCATCCATCTTCCTTTAAAGTTCCTGAAAAATCATCACAAGGTTATCCACAGGTAAAAGAAATTATTCGTACTGTGCAATGTGAACATCATATATCTATAGTTAAGCGGATGAGATGAATTTATATAAGTTTTGGATTGTTTTCAAATCCATTATATCAGTATTTATATTCTCATGTCATACTCCAAATAGGGGGTTTGGATGGCGCTCAGTATCATAAGGTCTGTCATTGAGTCAACTGGCGTGGTTTCGATTCCCCGGTTGTACATGACAAGGAGTAGGGTCACCTGTCCAACCTTGTGGGTTTTCTCTGGGTCCTCCAGTTTCCTCCCACTGCTAAATACCCCTACGCGCAAGCGAATTATTGAAATAAAATTGAACCATATGTTAGTCCTGAAATGACCTAGTTTGTGTCGAGTGGACGTTAAACCCCATTTATCTCTCTCTCTCAAACTTGAAATAAAATATTGTTTAAACCAGACTAATTTTATAACAAAAAAAGCACTGTCTTAATTATTGAATGTAGTACAAAGTGTCTGAATTATTACTTGTGTTCAATTATTTGTTACATAGATAAGTTTACCAGGCCGTCCAGATGATCAACCTGTATGGAATCATCCATTTCTATTCTCTGAAGAAAAAGATAAAGCTACATTATTTACACCAGGAGCAGCATTAGTTATAGAATACTATGTAGCTAATAAAGGTTAGTATTGAAAGTTCTTTATTTAAGATTGATTAAATTGGATTGGTTGTTCCATGATTTGGAAATTGATTTGAGGATTCCTTGTTGAAGATGGTTTGATGAGCTTCCTGTTAAAACTGGTTAAACGGTTTCCTTATTGAATTGAGACTAACTTGATGATCTCCCTGTTGAGATTAGTTTGATCATCCCATGTTGAGACTAGTTTGATCATCTCCCTGTTGAAACCAGTTTGATCATCTCCCTGTTGAAACTAGTTTGATCATCTCCCTGTTGTGACTTGTGTGATGATTTCCCTGTTGAGACTGGTTTGATTATCTCCCTGTTGAGATTAGATTGATGAACTCCCTGTTGAGATTAGTTTAATCATCTCGCTATTGATACTAGTTTGATCTTCTCCCTGGTGATACTAGTTAGATGAACTCCTTGTTGAGATTAGTTTGATCATCTCCCTGTTGAAACTACTTTGATGATCTCCCTATTGAGATTAGTTTATCTCCCTCTTGAAACTAGTTTAATGATCTTCCTTTTGAGACTAGTTTAATGATTTTCCCTTTGATACTAGTATATTGACCTCCCTGTTAAGATTAGTTTGATGATTTACATGTTGATACTAGTTTGATGATCTCCCTGGTGATACCAGTTTAATGATCTCCCTGGTGATACCATTTTAATGATCTCCCTGTTGAGATTAGTTTAATGATCTCCCTGTTGAGACCAGTTTAAAGATATCCATGTTGAGATTAGTTTGATTGTCATGTTAAGACCATTTTTAGTATCCTAGTGGTATCACTCCATTCTACTCCACTAACCCCTGGGTCCATTCATGGGGGAGACACATAGTCAAATTATCTGCCCTTGATAATTGTGCTATTTTTATCAACCCATCAAAAAATTCCATAAATAGAAAGCAAGTTGTCGAAGGTATTAAAGTAACTCACATTTTGTTGAAACTAAGATCGTGGAATCATTGTAAACTTTGTGAAAATACTTTTACTAATCTTTTAGGGCATCTTTTTGTATGCATGTCACTTCTTTGATATTAAATTTCTTGCAAACTTTCTCATAATCGAATGTACAAGCTGCTGTATTGTGGTGAACATAAACAATGATGCTAAGACTGGTATGTAATCTGTTTATTGATTCGTTCGTACGTGGCCAATGAAATCATCAAAGGAAAATGATTTGAATTTGTGAATACCCTGTGAATGGACCAAGGGGTTAGTGGATTAGAACGGAATGATACCACTGGGAATACCTAGGATGTGTTACTATGATACCCCACTGACTCCCAGTTGAGGCAGATTTTGTGGGCTCCCTTTCAGTTGATTCTGATTTGGTTTTCTCCAAGTTTAAATTAATTTGATGGTCTCCTTTGGCTGATTTGAAAACTGTCATCCATACCTTTTCAAACTAAAGAAGTTTGAACTGTTAATATATTTTAGTCTTTTGAGTTTCATTTATCTACACTTTGTGACTGGTTTTCTTATACATGTAACTATCTTTCATGCTTAAATTTTGTAGCTATGAATGATCAGTTTTGGCGTATGGAGAGTCCAGTGGGTTTTTCATCTCTACTATTAGATCGTACTATGTACTCACAATTAACAGCTGATCAAGCTAGGATGGGATTACGTATTGAAGGTCTACCTATACAGGTAATAATAATACTGTAATTTACTTGACATAAGTGATGATTCTTATTAAAATTATACAAAGTAAAATTTTACATGGTTTAGGAGTGAATGAAAAACACCAATATACTCTCAGATCTGTCATCCATCAAGAAAATATATACAATTTTCTATATAACACCTTATTATATCACTTTCATTATGAGAAATTAACATAGCTATCACATTTTTATATGAAAATAAATAATCTTCTAATCTACCTATATTTATCATAAACTTAATTGAACAGATGTTAGAATTAAAGAATTAGATATTTAAGAAGAAGAATTAAAGAATTAGATACAGAGCTGGTTGTTCTTGCTATAATTGTTTAAAAATAAATAATGGGAAATGAATATATTGAAAATTTCAGACAAATTGTGAAGTTATGAGTGTTTGAAGTTTAGATAAGATAGTCTCGATTGTTGAGCAACATTGCTATGATAATAAACTAAGTCTCGATTATCAATTTTATTGTTAAATTATAAAATGGCGAAGGCGTTCCAATCGATTCAATAGCTAAGCCGTCTGATCATCTAGAGAGTTGATTATGGAGTTGTCATGTGAATAATGTCTAAATAATAAATTATATAACATTTGAAGCTAAAATAGCCACATTTAGCTCTTACGCAATGCTTCTTCAGTGAAGACATAAAAAAATACTTATATGAGTTTAAATCTTTTTTTTTTTCAGGGAAGTAATATGATGACAATAAATAATAGAATACCTACAGTTGGTATGATTCTACGTCTTATAACTTCAGACGTAAGTTTATAAAAAATACTTTGATTTTAAACGAGACATCAGATATGCAAACTGTCGAATTCTTACTGGTTATTACTGGTTTAAAAAATTCATGAGGCAATTATTCAAAAAGTTGATCTAAAATTGCTATTCACAAAATTCTCCAAATCATACTTTTAGGCAAAAAATTGTAGAATTTAGATACTTTTATGATTTGTTTGAAAATGTTTCATTCTAAACATGTCTCTAGAACTAATCCCCCACACCCCTTTTCTTAATATAACTTCTGTGTTGTCAAAATTAATATTACAATTGATTCTTTTAGTTTTATATAATTAAATAAAATATTAGGTGACCTATGTTATTCACATAAAATTGAATATTTGTGGATGTTTTCAGCAACCTAATACTATGGTATCATACAGTAATAAAGGAGATTTACCATTAATAGATTTAAATCCTATAGATCCATCTTCTGTACATGTACCAGAAGAACCTGATGTATTAACTGTCTCTCATTCCGATTCAACACCACCAATATTATCACCACCTATAGATGTGACACCTAGACAAAAGACAGGTAAATGGGTTCTACAGAAAGTACCAAAGAGTGGATTACCAGTAAGTATATTCATTATAATTTAAATAATTGTGATTAAATTTTGTGTGCCTGCCCTAAATCCAAGAATCAACTAAAACATCTTGATATGGTGTAAAATGTCATTTATTAATAATAAAACAAATAAATGACTGCAACAAATTTATAATGAAAACATTAATCAAATGAGCATTATAAATCAGCAATAATTAAAATGCATACCCTGCTATCATGTTGGGCTAAAGTTTTAAAACACAGTCAATTCTGTTTTACCAAGTTGTTATCATGTGTCCATTTCCAGCTTCTTTTACTACAAGAAAACTGGTAACATATTTTAACAAATCCTCAAATAATGTATTTGTTTGAAGGTTCTTGGATCCAAAGAAGTTATGTTCAAATTTAGAATTATACTTTTAAAGTATAGCATTTATGCAAGACAAAGCCTGTGTGTAATTTTGCAGGATACTGACTGCTGTTATTTTTATTATGAGCTTAGTAAAGGGACATATTCCAAAAAAGCTTAAATTGCACTGACCCACGAAGATTGTCGATCCCATCATATACTAATGAAATCTCTTAGTTAAATCAACAACTGGTGTTAACATGACTAGACCAAATCTTCCAGTCTCTTCCAATAGACAATCTGCAAATGAGTCAAAAAGTCTTCGATCATTTTATATCCAGTCCAATGAGTCCATCCATGTATTGAACTGTTTTAGATAAAATTTAGACATAAGATATAAAATTAAATATGGCAAATGATGAAAATTCTGATACTATCAAACTGGAAGTGGACATTTAATTAATTAAAATGATTTTATATTTGACTCTATTTATTTCTGTAGTATGATAATTATTTATTTCTGTTTATTTTCTTGACAAATCTGCCAAATCATACTAATTAGTAAGTATTTGTGTTCCAAAACCATCAAAATAAAGATTTACTTGCTGGACATTTAATGCAAGTTATTCATTTCCAATTATTAATAATATTGCTATCTCTAAATTAAAATCAGTGATAGCATATTAAAAAATGTAACCGGCTTATACAGTTTTTGCTTTGTTTTTGAAATGCAATGAAATAGAGTTCAACATCCTACTTTTCTGCATCAACTGGGCTATAAATTCTAACAAAATTGTAATAATTTATTATAAACTTGTAATTGTAAAATAGTATGTTTTTAACTGAATTCCTTTAATGACGTAATAATAAGATAATAACTAATTAACTCATAGAACACCTGAATTTCAACTTTGCTATTTAATGGCAGCCATGGTTGCTATAAATAAATCCACACAGTATTTAAACATTGTTATATAAATAAAGCAACAATATACATACCGATATATATATATATATATTAATCTTAACCATTTAGTTAAAAGTTTTGTACTTTTTGTATTGAAATAATTTGATTACATATGTTCACATACTCATGTAATTGAATGGATGCAGTCATGCAGTATTTGATATTAACAATGACCTTTTATTAACTCTACAAGCTTCATATTGGATTGGATATGCATGTAAACATCCATGTCTCTAACTAGTGTAGGTGTGGTCTCTGTGGAGTGAGGTATTAGGATTCGAATAAACTGACCAATATTATAAATGTATTAAGAAAACTTATGTTTAACATTAAGTAGTGACGGTTTCAGTATGTACTGTAGGCTACCAATAAAGAGGTTGTTATACACACCATGAACAATACACTACAAGATATAGGTAGTCAATTCAGGTGGCCAATAATACTCACACTACTCTTAGTTGCCTGGCTACATATCAACAAAAGTTTTTCACCTTTATCTACCACCTGTGTCAAGTTAGGGCTTGATGTTTATTATTTGATCTTTAACACTAAACTTTACAATTTAACGGAAAAAAAAGTGATCAAAAATCTTTTATGAAGTGATAACTAACTAAAAATGAGAGAATTAGGATTTAATTGTTAATCAGTCAGCTAAAAATTGTTAAACTTGTTGACAAGTTAGAGGAAAATGGCTACCAAATATTACAGGCCTTATACCTCAGAGGTAAGTAAACCAGAATGAATAATAGGTCAGTGCATGTAAAGGAATACTTTACTTTTAAATTTGTCAAAATTACTTTTAAATACATACATGGTTTCACATTATATATCACAATATAATTGTATTTGTATTGGGGATTTTTTTCTGTCTTTTATAACCCTTTAAAGAAGATTATGTTTCGTTGACACATGTAGTACAAATGCATTAGTATTAGGCCTCTTCATGTTATTTACACATAACTGTATTTAATTCATTGCTTTTTAAATTTCACAAAAATAAAGTATTTTTAATTGCTACAAACAACTATTCTTTAATTAAAAGTAAAAAATGTTGAATATTGAAAATCAATTTTTCTTTCCCCCCAATTATATAGACCTACCATTTTTAGTTTTACATATATCTATTGTAAAATGTTATAAATAATTTTTAAAATTCAAAATTAAACAGGTGTATTTGAAAATTTCAGAATATATTATTTAATTTGGGAAAGGATATACCAGTTTTTGAAAATCAATATGAATAAATTACCTTATTTGGGGTAGGGGATTAAAAATACATGATTAAGAAGAATTCAACTCTACACTGACATAATAACGTGTGTGGTGAATATTAATATGATAAAGTATTGTTTTTAATTAACTTGTCAACAATAAATCTGCTAACCTGTCATTGATCTTACAAACTATTCAATCAGTCAATATTGATTATATGACATGATATAGATTTTATTACCTTCTTTTATTAAATCAGGTGTAATAAGACTAAAATTACAAGTGGATCCATGATAGAAAATACCTAATAAACAGATATGAGGTTATCTATTTTTCAGCTGTCTTAGGTTGTGGTCAACAGTATCATGGGGGAGGGGGTATAGCTGGTTCTAACCAGAGATGTTGAGGCTCACACTCAGACTATGAGACAAAAGTCAGTTACTTGTGTCGGAGCCATTACCTCCCCCAGAAAAAAATAAAATTCTGCCACAAAATTAGCGCATTCTGGCGTTATTTCAGTGAACCAATCCATGCGAGTGCTATGAAATGATGGCATTTCTAGAGGAGGGGGCTGGAGCCCATTGAGCCCGTTAAATCCGCCACTGTAAATGAGCAGAGCTACATCAAACCTTATTTTGAAGTCGCTCAGGGATAAATAACGGGGTCACTTGATTCGGAATCGTATTATATCCCCCACGATGATTTGATGAATGGAGGCCGTAACGTTACGACCAAGCCGGACTAGATTTTTGACGAACGTCGAAAATATGAGGCGGCATCACCGGATTACACCGAATTCTCGGATGTCGATCGCGACACACCATGGATTGAGGGGGCCCCAGGGACTTCCGATGGAGGGTCCTCGGAGCATCGGAAGTCCCTGGGTCCCCGTCACTAGGTCACCGGCCGTTGGGGTCCTCGGTCCGACCATGCTCGAGGTGCGCAAATGAGATTTTTGTGGGGGGCCCTCTAATGTGCTGGGGCATGGGCCCCATGATGCCCCGTGGTTAATCCGGCGTTGTTTATACCTTATCCAAAACCAGGTTTTACTGAAAATTACTTGATTAGTTCTATAAAAGTGTTTGATTTAAGTGTTCCCGCTCGCAGCCAATTCTATTCTAAAGCTGTGATATTATGCTTTATGTTTAATCCATGATTTATGAATTGAAAGTCCTGCAGTGATGCTCCAAATGGGCTAATGAAGTGGGCATGATATATGACCTATGTCCTGGAAATGAGCTGAAACCAAAAATAATTAAGTATTAATCGTTTGAATTTGACATTGAAAACCATTCAGTATTCTGAAACAAAAATGTGATTTTGGTCAGAATAAATTGAATCTGTAAAGATAAATTATAATTATTGTCTGTATTTTATGAAGTTTGTATATATTTTCAGGCATTAAAAGATGGAGAATTACCACCATTTGATGCTATGGATTCTGTTTTACCAGAATATCAGTATATATTTCAAGAAGAAGAAGGAGTACCATCTACCATGGGTAATCCTGTACGTACAGAACATAATAAAACAACCACAACACATGTTATACAATCTAATACAGGTGATCAATTACCTAATGTGTAAGTACATAATACTCTTATATATTTATGTATATTCCATGTATTCTAGTGATACTGCTCGCTCTTTCGAGAAATTGGCTAGTTCAATCAAACAATGTATCATTATGTTTTGTGTTTGTATTATTTAATTAGGGACAAAAATGGCCTTTCACTAGTTCTTCGAGATTAAAAATCAAACTTTCAAAAGCTTTATGTATAGTTAACAATTTCACTTGAGATGTGCCATTGTCTGCTTTCTATTTTGTCCATTCATTTCATTTAAGAATGACCACTGTATTAAAGTTGAACTGTTGTGCTGTTTATAGGCTATGAACCAAAATTTGTGCAGAAAGTTGTTTTGTCACAAAGTGGAACCTATCACAATTTCAAATAATAAAGCATACTTGCGAGGCACCTTTGTATAACATTGCATTTTACTTGATCTATAGCATGGATGCTGTTTGGTGCCTATATGTTGGTTGGCAATTTTCAGACTGAGAGAATGGCCAATCAGACATCAAGATATGGGGAATCATTCAACCAGAATAAAAAGAAAATGAGTGGCATTATGTTTCTTTAAACATCATTCCAAACCCTGAATATTATTACATCATAAGTTTGATGACATCATATTCTTAGTTACGGCAATACAAAAGGATCTAATCTAAATATTATTTTAAAGTCCACTCTCCTTTGAAAAACCCAAATTTTGATTTATTTATTAGAAGCAGTAAAATTTACAACTATGATGGGTATGACGACCCAGATTACATGCAAGTTATACAACGACAAGATCAAGAACTTGGTAACTATAGAACACAATTAACAAAGATGGGTGGAGAAATGGTTGAATTACGTACAGCACTTGGTAATTACGAGACAGTACAGAGTAATCAAAGAAGAGATGAAACAACTAGAATACTTATAGATGCTCGAGATCTTGATGGTTTATCTAAAGCAGATCTAATGGCTAGATACAGTAAGACTTTATATTTTTGATTTGACTTTCAGCTTAAAAAATAAAGGGCAGAAGTTGGTTTTATGACTCATTTTTATGCATAAATTTTCATTTTATGAATCAATCAATAAACATTTAGCAATAATAGTTTAATATTGACATATTGTTTTCCTCCAATAATCGTATACTTGATATAGTTAAATAGTTTATATATCTTCAATAGTTTCATCTAGTAATAGTATTATATCCTTATGTTATACTTGATAATGATATGATTAAATAATTTATATATAGATAGTTTCATCATATTCATAATAAAATATGTTTATATTATTTACAGCACATTTAAAACAGAAATTTGCTCGAACCTATACAGAATTAAAATTATATAAAGATAAAGTACAGAGATTGCAGAATGAATTAATTAAGGTAGAGGATTTAATTTAGTATAGTTTAGAAATCTTCACCTTATGTCAAATTGTCGGTCAAATTTCCAAGTGTATTTTATTATCTAACTTATTTAAGTTATTTTAGAATTTATTCAAAGAATATGATAATTTTAGAATTATCTAAATATATAATTTAATTTTTTAAGTATTTTTGCTAATTAAACATACATTATGCAAGAGCTAAATCTGTCTATTGGAGGTCTTTCTTTAGGCCTGAAATGTTATCTAAATTATTAATTAGACATTAATTAACTTATCCAGACCATAATCAACTCTAGATGGCATCGCTAGCCTGCGATCTTAAGTGGATTGTGAGCCGATTTACTGCATAACTTTCCTTCTCGATTAAACGATTAAATGGATAATCGAGACTATGCTGTTTATCGTACTGATTTAGTAATGATGACCGAGGCTAGGCAGAAATTTCATTCGATTAGTTCTTGGTTCATAGTGGATCAATTTGAATGAAATTTTCAGCAAATTGCCTTTACGTTATCTAGTTTTTAATTATTATAGTGAGAACTGCTAACTCGTTATCAAATCTCCCATAATGTATCTTTAAACTATAAATTTTCCTCTATAGTGATTTAATGACAATGTCCCATTTTTAAAAATATCTAAATTCTATGGCATGTAATTGACTGACAGGAAATTCTCCTGGCAGTCAGTTTCAGACCGGCAAGTATGGCCAAATAAGAACCCTGTATCATACCAAAAGAATGATCATAGTCATGCCCTTTTAGTCATTACATAAGGTCCATGGTTATTTTAAGTACATGTGCATTGCAAAGATCTCATAGTCATACCTCTGCATCTTCTTAGATAAGAATAAAGTGATTGAGATTTTAATTTGTATAATTTCAGAAAAATGATCAACAGAAAGCTTATTTAAAATTAACTCATGCTCATACTGGTCAACAAGAATTATTACAGAAATTACAAGCTAAAGCTCAACATATAAAGAAATTAGAAGATACCATCAGAAAACAAGAACAAGTTATAGATAAATTAGAACGAGCTTTAGAAAGAAGATTTAGTAAAACACGTAAGTAAATAGAATTACTGAAAAGGATCACTTCTTAATGGTGAAGAAGGCTTGATTTTGAATAATTCGTAGTATCAGCTTGTCTATATATTTCTATTAATGGAAGGACAATATTCCAAAGTACATAGAAAATATAGATTTTCAGACCATATACAAAAAACAGTATAGATAGACACAGAACTAATACACAACATATGTGGCAACTTCACTTTCTGTTTATTTCACAACATAATCTTTACTTCTGTAGGTGATAATGTTGTAGGGGGTCAAATATGAAGTAAATAACCACACCAAGGGTTCAGTAAAACAGCAATTTATTACCTTATAATAAAAACCCTGAAATTATACAATTACAGTATAAATAACATAATCCAACATATAAAATCAATTCATTCATATTCATTAAAATAATATATTACATATTAACACTAAAATCTCTATTCTAACTACTACTTTTATATATACTTAGTCTATATAAATACTTTAAAGGGAAACTACCTCCTGTTAACCCGTATGAAATATACAGGCATAATTTAAATAATCTTACTAATAATAATAATGTTCTTACCCATGAAGGGGTTTTTAATAAAGTAACCAGAGTCTGGAACAAGGTGAAGTACCTTATAGCTCTGTCTGTAATAAAATATGGGGTATTTGATATTAATTATATTATTAAAGCGAAATGCTTTAAATAGCGTTACTATTATTACTATTATAAACTGTATGCCTTGTATTTGCAGAATGTAATTAACAAAAACCAACATGTCCGCCAACTTTAACAAAGACAAATAAAATATATATAAACTTATAAAACTGATAAAACAAATAGCCACACATACCTTTAAACTGTAAACAATAAATCTGTAGATAATAATTCTTCCAATACCAAATACACACAATTGATACGAATAAATGAAACTATTATTATAACTATTGAAACTTTAAATATAAAATCACTACCAAGGTTGAATGAAATATTCAACCTCACACTACAAGATTCTATAAGTAAGTGACCAGGGAGATAGGAAATACAAATCCAAGAAACCTTTGGGTCAAAGGTGAAAATTGAATCCCAGTGACCAGATGATGAACTCGAACTCACTGGTTAGAAGAGTGTACAGAACAGGATAGTTTAAAGATGCATTGATGTGTGACATATTACTTAAAATTACATTAGTATTGTGATCATATTAAAATACCCATAAACTAAATAAAATCACTCTACCACAATAACAAACCTAAAGAATTTTAGACTTTGTTTTTGTTAATAATACAACACACGTTCATCAGCCTTCTGCTGCATTGTTTCTTGTATGTGTTTCTGACTAATGTGACTACTTCTAGTCAGTTTGATCCAAAACAGTTTTACCTGTTACTTATTACAGTATCATTGTTTCCTGGAAATGTTTTGGATAACCCCACAAAAACTCAGTTTAAAGATGTGTTATGTAAGATTTAGATAAAGAGTTGGTCATACTTGCTACAATAGGTTGAAAACAGATAATGAAAAATGAATATATTGAACATTTCAGTCAAATTACTTTATTCTGAGCAATGTTATCAGTGTTTGAAGTTGAATCTCGGCCATCCTATGGTCTAGAGAGTTGATTATAGGCTTGTCATGTGAATCAATTTCTAAATAATAGTTTATATAACATTTGAAGCCAAAATAAAGACCTGCAATAGGAAGATTAGTTCTTACATAATGCATCTTTAATAACCAATATCTTGATGATAAGATATATTATAGATCTATTGAAAATTAGTTTGATATATATTAAGACTTAGTATTTTAAAAGAGCATATCTGTATTTTTCTAGCTATACCTAGTAATAATGCTGGTGAAATAAACTCAACTTTAAGTGCTGAAAATCGTCATCTTAGACAACAAATTGAAGATCTTAAGGTAACAATCAGATTTCTTTTTCAAAAATGTGTATTGAATGGTAAAAAAGTTATTACTGCTTAAATTTTGACCAAGAGTTTAATGCAATATTTGCCTTAAATGCAATTTTGCAATTATTAATGACATTGAATATTAATCTTTGATTAAATGTATGATCAAAATATTTTCTTGTGCTTTCTAGGAACAATTAAGGTTAGCTGGTAGAAGTAATAATGATGATTTAGAGAAATTAGAACTATATCAAGCTTTAGAGAGAGCTGAGGGTAGAATAATGTCTTTGGAGAGACAGGTTAGTGATGATTTGTTTTTGGAGGGACCCAAGGTGAAGAATTCACTCCCTTGGCACACTTTTTAAAAACTTAAAAACCTCTGTTCACAATACACTATTCATAATTTTGATATTTTCAATATATGATTCTATAGATATCTGCATATAAAATTGATTTTGATTTTGATCAATATCATTTTATTTCTAAACTTGACATTTATTTGATTTCAACGTCAACCATAGATTTGAAGTAACTCCGTTACCTTCCTTTATCTTATGAGAATCACATTTCTGAAAACTGTTATAGCAATAAAAAAGGAAATGAGATGAAATGAAATTGGGTTTTAACGTCCTACTGTTCTGCTCCAACTGGGATAATGAACGGCATATGCCATACAGTGTGCTTTGAGGGAAATTTGACCCAGGCAGGGGTGCTGTGGCCTACTCTTATATAAAATTCAACTGCCAAGGGATCTTTTACGTGCTGGGACCTCAGATTTCCGTCCGATCCGAACAACCATACATTGACAAGGGGGAACCATGCCGGGAAATCCCAATGAACTTTCACGACCAATGGGGCTAATGGAGAAGGGCATATGCCAAACTGTACTACAAGGATATTTGGTCCGGACAGTGGGGTAACGGCCTACTCTTATATCGAATCCAACTGCCAAGGGATCTTTTACGCGAACGTCAATGCATGCACGGGACTTCAGTTTTTCGTCGTATCCAAACGACTATACATTGTCCCTTGTCAGGCCCTCTGTCTTGCGCCAATGACAAAGGGGCACCACGCTGGAAAATCCTGATGAGATCAAACCCAGGATCTCCAGGTTAGCAAACAAACGTCTTACTCACTGAGCCACCATGGCTCCCAATAAAAAGAAATAATATAATAAAATCAGTTACAAATACATTTATTGTATTAATGAAAAAATTTATGAAAATTCTTTTTTACAGTTAACTGAAAATTCTCGCAACTGGGGTAAAGAAAAGGCAGATTTATCTATTAAAGCTAATGAAGTAGAAAGAGGATTCCGTCATGGTGCTGGAATGATTTTACATGATTATCCTGTTCTGGTGAGTAAAACCATAATTTATCCGTTCCACAGGGGAATAAACTTTACTTACATTAACACTAGTCTCAAAAGTAAACCAATTTAAGTTGATTCTCTAAAATTAATGTCTTTGATAATTTAATTAATATTTCTATATTAAATTTGAGTATTTTTTCTATTTACAGGATGAAATTTGTGCTAGACCCATAAGAAGAACAGGTTGTTTATCACCAATTCACTGAATACCTCTTCATGCCAATTACATATCAGTCAAAATAACAGAATAATTACATGACATATGAATGGAAGAATGATTGTATTTGTCTCAGAATTTGTTTTCAAATGAATTTAAATTCCTTTATTAGATCTGTGTTTTTAAACCAATATTTACCATGCTGTTAACAATGTTGGAATTACAAATAGAAATAAAAAACGAAGAATACCTTTTAAAGTCATGTATTGTTGTTAAATTGTAATTTGTTTATATGAGGTTTATTTATGCTATTTGATTTGTACCAATAAAATAAAGATCTACAGCATTTACTTAATTTAGTATTTTAGTGCTTCTTGTTAAGAATATATTGGTAACAGTTTTATTATCTAAATGTGATATTTTAACAAATTTGTTATGCCATGCCTACTTGTAAACAAATTATAATATTGGACATGCATTGTCTATTGGACATGCAATGTCTTGTTGAAATCTAATCATTTTACTTACTGTGATAGTCTGTATATAAAAGTTATTTTGTTAATAATTGTTTTATAATTTTATTTAGTAATGTTTAGAATCTCACTGTATATAATCCAAACTACATTACAATCACTATCTACATACATGTTCTACATATGATCAATCAGTCCTCTACGGCGAATTATTGAAATAAAATTGAACCATATTATATCCAGTTTGTGTCGAGTGGATGTTAAACCCCATTCTCCCTTTCTATCTTTCATTAACTGAACATTGACAAAAAATACTTTCTACAGTGATCTAGGGCAATCAAACAAAAAACTGAAACATGTTTCAATTTATTTTCTAGATATGTTGTCTTTTTAAATTACGCCTAGTTTGCTTTAAAAAAATACAGACATTGATGATAGAACCAGCGATCATTTATAGAACATGGGGAACGTTCAATGTGGTTGTATTATATGGTTGTTAGGGTACTTTATGTTTCTGGAGTAAAAGAAAAATTTCCAGGACTAATTGAGAGTTGTAGGAATTATTGGTTATGCTTTGCTACTATCTCTGAAATGTTTCCATTTCATTATACTATTATAGAACAGGATACATTGAATTATTGTAAATCTAAAATAATGTGAACATTGAACTTTATAAAACTCAAACATCTTGTAGGTTTGTTTGCCAATACAAGACTCATTAGGTTTGTTTTCAAATACACGATTCATTTGTATATATTTCATGCTTAAATGTAATTACTTTCAGGTTGAATTCATTCAATAAAACTTTCAATTTATATTAATACATAACCCTGTATATAGAATTGTATATATATTGAAACTGTACATTACATTTCACAATAAAATTAATCATCAATAATACTGTGGAATATAAACTGTAAAAGGTTAATTAAATTGCCATAGGTGTATGGGCTCGATGACAGTTTGGAGTTGGGGGGGGGGGGGCAGAACTCGAATTGCCCGAAAAAAAATTGGGTTGCAGACAGCTGTGCCGATCATCAGCGAGAGGCAAAGAAACAGAGCTTACCGTAGAATATTGGAATATTTGATGGACGCAAACACGTTTTCCTGCTTTTCCAGCCCGGTAACACAGCAACTTCAAAGTGGTCTAATATAGCCTAATTAAGGTGACTGACCCGAATTCCAATCAACCAGTCAATCGTATACAGTTCATGGAGAGGGGACAGTTGGGAGAAAATTTTGACAATTTAACTGCCGCAAACACGTTTTCCTGCTATTCCAGTCCGTGATTACAGCAACTTCAATGTGGTCCAATATAGCTTACCTTAGGTGGCTGACCTAGTGTATTATTATATTTTGGGCACTTTAATTTCCTAACTAAGTACATGTAGTAGAAATAATAAAAAAAAAAATTAACTTCAACCGTCTACCGGAAAAGTCAGATTGCCTGAAAGTTAGGGAGGCAGATGACATCTCCCCCCCCCCCCCCCCATCTGGCAGAAACAGATGTGGAGGATACCAAATCTTATTTTCTGATTTGTGAGATCCAGCGTGATGAATTCCATCTTGAATATCCACCATCTTGGATTATAAAAATTCAGTAATACACGAAGCCCCATGAATAACACCTTACAAGCTATTACTGGTAAATGGTAATTATATGAAAAATCAATCATTTTGGTGAATTTTGCCGCCGTTTTGAATGTCCGCCATCTTAGATTTTCAAAATTATTTTTTTAAGCCATAATTGAACTCATTGATAATAAAAACTATTTAATTGACATAATGAAATCCATATCTTCAACTATATTCAGTGGCTATCGATAGCTTTGGTATTGACCACTATTTTGAAACTATGTGAAAGATTAGCCATTTTGGGAGAAGTTTGAGCCGCCATTTTTAATTTCCACCATCTTGGATTACGAAAATTCATTTTGAAGTTTAGTGACACAAGAAACCCTATAAATGACATCTTACAACTTATATCACACAGATTGTACGAAAATCACGTTTTTAGCTTGAAGTCACAATTTACATCCGATTTTGAGGAAACTTAAAACGTTTGTTCATAAAGATGTCGGTCCCCCTAGAGATCACATCTTTTATCCGATTTTAAAAACCGTTTAAAATATATCATCGTTACACCATAGTGTCACTCCTCGTACGCAAATAGCGTAAAGGTATTTAATAACGAGGTTGTGGACCCTCAGAGGTCGTAATTTTTATCCGATGCAGATGAAACTTAAAATAATTATGTTTATAGCCCAAAGCCCTCGATTCCTTTCGATATTCGATTTTGATGAAACTTAAAACGTATGTTCATAACCCAAAGATGTCCGTTTCTTTCGATATTGTCGCATGTCGGACCATAACTTCCTGGATTTTGGCCCTGATTGTACGAAAAATCGCGTTTTTAAATTGTGGACACTGTAAAGGTCATAATTTTTTATCTGATTTTAAAAACTGTTTAAATATACCCGTCACCGTTACACCATAATGAATGTTGGATTCGAATTTCGTAAAAAATCTGCTCGAAACTTCCCGTCAAAATGGTGGCTCCCCGTACGCAAATAATGTAAAGCATCAGGCCCGGCGGAAAAGTGTAACGTTAGTTCGTGTGCTTTATCCTTTATCATCAGATGGTGGGATGGTATTGGCATTCAAAGCGCGAAATAATGGTATAGACATGTGTGATATCACAATTAATGCTTTGCATCAATGAAATTGAATCACAATTTGATCCTATTAATTCATTATAAAGATTAACGTCAAACGGGGAGTTGGATTTCTCTCTTTAAAAAGCTCAATGTGTATGTATACCTAGGTAATTTAGCGACGATGATGGCATCGTGCATTGTCTAACAGTACTGTCAAATTTCCTTAACAGGAGCCTTGCAAACCCCCTCCTGCAAAAATTTATGGATTCGCCCCTGGTAACGGTGATATTTTTTAACAGTTTTAAACAAAATGTGACATCTAGAGGGTACAATCAGGGGCCATACACCAGAAAGTTGCGGTCCAATACGCGCCAATATCGAAAGGAATCCGGGTCTTTGGGATATAGACATATTTTTTAAGTTTCATCAAAATCGGATGAAAATTCTGACCTCTACAGATGGTCCACAACCTTGGTATTACATGCTTTTACACTATTTGCGTAAAAGGAAGCGGCCATTAATTTGTCGTGATGAGTTCAGAGCTCAAAATGTGAATTTTCGTACAAACAGGGGCCATGATCCAGGAATATGGACAGGAACCAATATCTTTGGGTTATAAACATACATGGTAAGTTACATCAAAATCGGATGAAAATTGTGAAGTCTAGTGGTCCACAACTTTGGTATTATTATGCATATATCTGTTCAGTGGGATTTAGAAAAGAATTAAAATTGCTAGCTAGAACCCCGGGAGCGCTCAGAAAGCACCTCCGACCCTCGCCTAAAGTCCTTGGATGGCAGCCCCCTCCACCCCTCCCCAATCATGAATTGCTTCCGTCGGCCCTGTAATACCAAGTTTTTGGAACCTCTAGAGTTCACAATTTTTATCCGATTTCGAAGAAACTTGAAATAAAGTTATAGCTTTATATCCTAAAGATCTTGGTTCCTTTCGATATTGTATCGGACCATACTGCAAATCATGGCCCCTGATGGTACTAAATATCGTGTCTTTAGATTGTGAACACTCTAAAGAGTAAAGTTTACATTTTTTATCCGATTTGGATGAAACTTTAAATGTATGTTTATATCCCAATCCCATCTTGAAAATATATTTTGATATAACAGTTCAAGGGACTAACTCAAAAAGGGCATATTTCAAAATGAAATGAAATGAAATGAAATGGGGTTTGACGTCCTACTGTTCTGCTCCTAGCCTCCTATACTGGGCTAATGAAGACGGGCATACGCCATACAGTGTGCTATGAGGGAAATTTTGCCCGGGCAGCGGCACTATGGCCCACCCTTATATCGAATTCCAACTGCCAAGGGATCTTTTACGTGCACGCCAATGTATACACGGGGCCTCGGATTTTCGTCCCATCCGAACGACCAGACAGCTGCCCTTGTCAGGCCCTCCGTCCTGCACCACTGACGTGGGGAAACCACGTCGGAGGGCATAATATTTTAATGTTGATTTTGACTCCTAGTCCATCAAGACCACCCCGAACTAGGGTATTGTGCCCTTCTTATTGACAGATCTATAGAGAATATTTCAGGTTCGTAATAGTTAAAATTGGGCACTTATTTTCAAGACACCCACCTCCACTCTGGACCCATCTTCTCTACATTATTTCATTGAGAATAACAATTGATTAGATTTGAATACGTTTCTCTGTGGCAATGGATCAAACATCATTGATGGGGTAATTTGAAATTGGAGACTACCGAGGCAGGTCATAATGATAAGGTCCTACTTTTCTGCACCGACTGGGGTAATGTCAAGAAAATCATTGAAATTGATGAGATAGGGGTGAGTTAATTTACTCTCAGTATTTACTTTTTATTCCTATCCAAATTAAATTCTAAAACAATTGTTTAAATTATTAAGGAAACAAATGTATATCTGGATAAAAATGTATATCTGGATTAAAATGTATATCTGGATATTTGTGTAAATAGGTGCGCAAAATAGTATACTTTTTGCGTAAAATGATAATAAGCCAAGCCACCAGTTCTGCTCAGATCAGTTTGTATTACTACGCCCCATGTAAAGAACGCACGTGCTATCAAGGCCGTGTGTTGTGACGTCATGTGTGGACCTATTATAATGCACGTGAACTTAAAAAGTCAGACATCTTTTACGGAGTAAACAGATTAGGACAGTGTAGATACCATTCGACATCTGATTGACAGCCTATCAACATGAAAACACTACTTGTTCTGACCATCTGTTTTTCAGCAGTGTTTGGTCAATCTTTGAATCAACAGTTATTACGAGTTTTAGCTAAGTTAAGAGAACGAAGTATAAGTGATGCTAATCCATCTTCAACACCGCCATCACCATCACCATTACCATCACCACCATCATCAACATTACCATCACCCGGTTCAGGTTTTCGTGGAGAACACCCTGTAAGTTTATCTTTAAGTGTCGTTTATGTATTTTTTATACGCCCACATTTTCATGTTGACGTATTATACCGTCGCCCCTGTCCGTCCAGACGTTTAATTTGTTTGTGAACACTCTATAGGTCACAATTTTTATCCGATTTTGACGAAACTTGAAATATAGGTCTATCTCCGTAAGATCTCGGTTCCTTTCGACGTTGGCATGTATCGGACAATAACTTCATGGATTATGGTCCCTGATTGTACGAAAAATCACGTTTTTAGCTTGTGGACACTCGAGAAGGTCACCCCTCGTACGCAAATAGTGTAAACACCTGGTATATCAAGGTTGTGTGTCCTCTAGAGGTCACAATTTTGATCTAATTTTGATGAAACTTGAAATACATGTTTACAACCCAAAGATCTTGGTTCCTTTCGATAACTCAAAGATCTTTGTTCCCTTCGATATTCTAGCATATCGGACCGTAACTTCTTGAATTATGGCCCTTGATAAGTCGCGTTTTTAGCTTGTGGTCTCTTTTTTTTTAGAGGTCACAATTTTTATCCGATTTCAGAAAATATATCACCGTTAGACACTAATGATGGTTGAGTTCGAATTTTGTGAAAATCGGACCAAAACTGGCGACAAAATGGCCACCCCTCGTACGCAAATAGTGTAAAAAATATGGTATATCAAGGTTGTGGACTCTCTAGAGGTCACACTTTTTATCCGATTTTGATTTAACTTTAAGATCTTGATTCCGTTTGATAATCGCGCATAATATACTGCTCCACGATTTTGCCAAATTCGTCGACCGAGCTGTGAATATGTGTCTCATGATTAGTCTGTGTTTGACTTGATCTAGAGCTCTATGTATCTAATTTACTAGTGTTTATTTCATTGCAGGAACCGGCATCTATAACAGTTGAAGAATTCAAAGATACGCTTAAAGGATGGGGAAATGTTTCTAATAGATTTATTAATCATGTTAAAGAATTGAAACCTATGGCTCTGCAGACTTTAACTAGAACCCTGTGTAAGTTTTGAACCTTCTGATATATTTTTATGCCAGAATAAAAAAACAAAAACATTGTCTTGATTGAATTGTGCACTTTTTGTATCAAATGATAATTATTCTGACATCTTTTTTAATATGTAATCTTTACCTTACAGTCTTATACATATTTGATTAATATATATATTTTACATTATATATTTTGAAACCAATCCGTAATTTCACCATTTAATAATCTGGTCTTTTCTTGTAGCATGGGAAAGTGTTGTACAGAAATTTGACGAAACATTCAGACATGGAGGAAAACTTTACGAAAAGGTGTTAACTGAAGCTTTGGATGTTGGACACAGACTTTTTGAAAGTGCGTTAACTTTGAAACTTTAGGTGATATTCGCATTATATTAAGAGTTCCTTTCATAAGACAGAAGGTGCAACTTGTAATTTCAACTAAAGATACATTATGTAAGATTTAAATAAAGCACTGGCCGTACTTTTTATAATAATGCAAAAGGAATATATTGAAAATTCCATTCGGATTACTTTATTCTGAGCGAAGTTATCAATGTTGTAGTTTTGACAAGATGACTTGGCCCTATTTCACTTTTCTTTAATTCATTAAATGGCCGAACCGTTCTAATCTACTTAAAATCGAAGACACCGAGAGTTGATTATGGTCTTGTCAAGATATTAAATGTCTAATGATTTATTTAACATATAAGGCCTAAAGAAAGATCGGCCATAGGCAGATTTAGCTCTTGAATAATACCTATTAAAACAAAAGGGTCGAAAATTAAGTTGGGTCGAAAATTAAGTTATTGTTACTATTTTAATAGATACAACTCGATCATATCTGCAACCTTACAGCAACATAAAGATGGCGGCATTAAATCCGTAGACACTAATGTAAACTTTAAACGGCTACAAACACAGTACTTGACTATTATTTTGGCTTAATCTCGGGGTGTCTTTTTTTTTTAAATGATATCATTAAATTGCTGAATGAAACTATTATGTATGTTTATTTTACTAGATGCTGAAGGTTTTGGAGAATCCGGACGTTGTAAAAGAATGATTACCCTGGCACAAACTTATGGTAAGATATCTGAACTATTATTAAAAACGTAAGAGCCATAAGAAACACTTGGTTTACATGACTAATTATGGCGGAACCATTCTCGTTCATTATAGATCCTTCAAGAATCCACGACACAACGTTCAACACTTTACCGTTTATCGCCCCTTATACGGAAAACGCACTTTTAAAAAAAAATAAAGGGTTTCGATTTTGTGCTTTTTTGTTTTTTTGCTTTTTTTTTTAATATATGCTCGTGTTTATACGCGTTTTTTCATATACAATACAAGCGATAGAAAATGTAATATCTGTAGATTTTATTAATTTATTTTTATATTAATCTCCAGATCCCGTAAATGATCCATTAGCAGAAGTAAAAAGTACGGAAGCTCTTGTTTCCGACTTGGATTGTTTTGCTGGAGAATTACAAGAAACCATCAGTACATTAAGTTCCATGTGTGTAGAAGGTATGGAAAGGCAGAACACAGCAATAACACTTTTGTTAAACATACATTATACAAGAACTAAATCTGCCTATTGCAGGTCTTTCTCTAGGTCTGAAATGTTATATACTATTCAAAAAAAGTAGGGGATATTTGATTTTGGGGGCATAATACTAAAATATGCAAATGACTACGAAAAAAGTCACTATAGAACCTAACAGAAGAAACATTTCCAGTTACATGTGACGCCCAAACGCACCAATAGCTACCGCATGGAATGCAGGTGATACTTGGGATCATCATGGGGGTCCAACCCAAGATTTGCACGACTCTGACTTTGAATGTTACAGTCATTGTGGCATTGAATTCCAGGGTGGAAACATCAGTTTAATTGTTTTAGTGACCAGAAAACAAATTTTGATATGCGTCGGCTTACCCAAAATGAAAGGTTACGTGCCCTTGGCATGCTACAGATCGGCACAACACAGGCGGTTGTGGCGCGGACGATGAATGTTTCTCAGTCTGTCATAAGCAGGCTATGGTCCAGATACCGTGATACACAATCTGTACAGGACAGACCACGCTCAGGTCGACCAAGGGCGACATCTCAAGCCCAGGATCGATTTATCCGTACCTTGGCCTTGAGAAATCGTGTCATCACAGCAAATCAGATCAGCGCTCGTCTTCAAACAGACACTGGTGTGAGAGTGAGTGTCCAGACGATTCGGAATCGACTGCATAGGGGTCACCTTCGCGCCCGACGTCCTCGCGTGATCCCTTGTTTGAGAGATCATCACATTCAGGCAAGACGTCGTTGGTGTAGGGATCGTCAACACTGAGATAATCGACGCTGGAGCAATGTGATGTTTTCAGATAAGTCAAGGTTCACTCTTGATTTTTTGGACAGACGTAGGTGGGTGTGGCGTCGTCGAAACGAGCGCTTCCAAGACGTTAACGTCATCAGACATTATCGATTTGGGGGTGGTTCTGTTATGGTGTGGGGAGGCATCACTGTTGCTGGAAGAACGGCTTTACATGTTGTTGCAGGGCGTGTTACAGGCCAGTACTACCGGGACAACATCTTGGCAGTCCATGTTGTGCCGTTCGCACGACGTCATGGCCGCCGTTTCATCTTCCAGGATGACAACGAAAGATGTCACAGGGCCAGGATCGTTACAGGTTACCTCCAACAACAGAACATCACCACACTACCATGGCCAGCACTGAGTCCCGACCTCTCCCCCATCGAGCATGTCTGGGACATGCTTGGACAGAGGTTACGTCAACGTCAACAACGTCCTGCCAATGTCCAAGAACTTGCTGCTGCGTTGCAACAGGAATGGGACAATCTGGACCAAAATGACCTTAGACGTCTCATTAGGAGTATGCCACGTCGGATCAATGCTTGTTTGGCAAACAGAGGAGGATTTACCCGTTACTGACTTGGTTGTGATGATGTGGTAACTTTGCTGTTTGACCCCGGGTATCATTTTACCCTTATAATGGTCAGTCTGTGCCTTACTTAGTCTAACGATCATTTGGAATAAATCGATGAATGTGAACTTCATTTCATTTTGTCATTTGTTTCTTCGTCAGTTTCATTAGGTGACTTTAATAACACTTAAAAATCAAATATCCCCTACTTTTTTTGAATAGTATATAAACTATTAATTAGACATGTATTAACAAAATACCAAAATCACCCGTTGATGGCATTGGATACTCGAGATTTTAACTAGATTAGAACGATTCGCCATTTAAAAATTTAATTTAAAAATGGGAAAGCGAGGCTAAGTCTCGAATATACCAGTGCCCTGGTTACCACAATGCACTCATCTTGTCCAAACTACAGTGATAACCTGCCTCAGAATGAAGTAATTTGAATGAAATTTTCATTTTACATTATCTATTTTTGAGCTATTATAGCGAGAAGACTCAGCTCTTTATCTAATTCTTAGATTTTGCACGTCATCGAAACAACGTTTTCCAGCATGACAACGCCCTTGCCCACACCGCCAGAGTTACTCGGGACTTTCTACAGCAGAACGATGTCAACATTATGCACTGGTCAGCCCTTAGTCCGGACTTAAACCCGATTGAACATCTTTTCAGAGACTTACTAACATCGTATAGAGACCAAACACAGCCGATGAATTGCGCCAGGCTTTTCTGAGTGGGATTCCAGGAGTCAATGGCGTTCATCAATCGTCTGGTCCACTCCATGTACAGACTCTGCGCTGGTGTTATTGACACTCGCGGTAGACACACCAGATACCGATGTATAGAGTGTGTACAGACTCTAAACCTTCTCGTAATGTCTTGGAATTGTGATGAATTTATCACGAATGTGTCAACACACTGTTCACAAAAAATTGCTTTGATCCTTTTAGTGAGTCGTTTTCTAGAATGATTTGATTAAAGTGCCTCTCTAAGTTTTTTTGCTGTTTAATTATAATGACAGTAATAACCATATACATGTACTTTCGGTATTTTGACCCAGGGTAACAAAGTTATAATTTTATTTTATAGGACAACATTTTGGTGCTGATAAAGCTATAGGTATGATAGGAAAAGTTATTAAAGTTCTGTACAGATTCAAACATGATGGTGAACGGTTTGGAGAAGGAGGGCAGATTATTGCGGATAAAGCTCATGAAGGTTAGTTTGATAAAATTAACATTTGTAATAAAAAAAATATTTTGAAATAATGTTTATATCATACTTTGAATAGTATTTCTAGTTACAATGAAGTATTTGATTTTCATTTGGAATTGACTTATGTTCCCTTTGCTCTGGAACTTTAAATATGTTAAATGTAAGCTATTGTATATAATAAAGGATAATAAATATAGGTGGGCCTATACTCGATCCCCCTTTATACGTATAATTTAGGTTCCTGCAAATATTATCCAAACTAATGAAAATATGAACTGCTGACAAGGGTAATGTCCAATTTTTGAAAAGTTTTCTTAAGTTTCATGTGAATAATACAACATAAAACATGTTAACTCTTTATTTCAGCTTTCAAAAACAAGATGTCCGAAGATCTCGGGAAAAGACTACTAGAAAAATATATCTCAAAACTATAAAACAGTGACATGATTCTGGTGATGGATAACTTAATGTTCATACAATATGTATTGCAATTTATTTTCTCAAATACTGTTTGAAATAAACCACTTTTCATAATTTTAAGAGTTTTAATTCCTAACTTATTCTCGCATTAGAGGGTAAAATATTACGAGTTTATATGATTACGAGCAAAGAAAGTAACTCAGTTTGCAATGACAGCACAAAATTGGCGCTATTCTGTAGTCATCGAAAACATATGTTCAGTTAGGTCCGTCGTGGTTAAAATGAGGAATTGTATAAATGCTTATAACAGGCGCCGCTGGTCCGAAATATGACTCTTTCCTGGTCTTTTCTGTGCATGTCTATTTGTAGGACTGGCGACCAGGGGAAGTCCAAAAGATAAAATTCTGTCTGGTCAGTTTCCCAATCCTTCGAACGTTTTTGAGACTTTCAACTGATTTCCTTCTTGAAACGCCGTACAAGGAGGAAATACGTAGGTCCGGATTAAGCTTGCGGGGGACTCCTGTTGGTTTTTATAAAGAAACGCGTAGTTGATCACACATACTTCCAACAGGTATACTTTATAATCATACCCCTCAAGGTGCTATCGTCCAGAATATTGAACAAAATAAAAGCGTTTTATTTTTTATAGATATACATGTAGATAGATATTGGGAAAAGCATATAATACCTACTTATCCATATACAATATAGGATTATCTACATATAGCTAATGAACCTTAGTTAGACCTTGAACAGAATAGCTCAAACTTGGCAACTACTGTGCCCCTTCCCACATTGTAAATCCATTAGAACATACCGTTACATAAAAAGTATTTATGTAATATTTAATCGCTCATTCAAAATGGGCAAGTGTTTTCGGCTTGAAGTTAACTGACAAGGTCAAACTACAATTACCTGAACCATACGAGGAGCCTTGTGTGGTATGCCGACGCTGCCAAATAAAGATAGTTATACACAAATGGCACGTAGGTAATTAAAGGGGAATATACAGTATTCACATCAATTGAATTGTGAAATATGAAGTGCAGTTAGGTGCACTAATTCTAATGATGAAACATTTCTAAGCTGACCACTTTTGAAAATCATACCCACAGCATCATACATAATCTTGATGTTAGACATTTAATGGAATTTATATCGCATTCAGTCATTGTAAACCAGAAATTAAAGAAATTCAAATTGTTGGTTTCCTTTTAGCCTGTTATTTTCAATGAGAACATGTCAACCATTAAAGATTGGATAATTCAGATCGATTATAATAAGACCCCCTGCTGCTAAAGATAATCCATCTTAATAATAAGAACCAGTAATCTCTACATCACAATATAAGAAATCGACGGGTATAAATCTCATTCTCTGTACCGTGTAGATCAGTCAACATCTGATTGACAGACCGTCAATATGAAAACTCTACTTATTTTTACCGTTTGTTTAACAGCAACTTTGGCCGATTCACTGAATCAACAATTACTTCTAGCAAAACCAGAAGAACGAAGTATTGGTGATCAATCACCACCACCACCACCACCACATTCCGTAAGTTATTATTCGTTGTTATGGCTGTATTTTGTTGGGGGGTTTTATTTTAGTCTTTTTTTTATATAGAATATTGCTGTTTTCGCAGCAGAATTCTGCCGAGACAACCAGTAGATCATCCAAATACCAAATCGTCTACCCGTGTACTCATTGGCGTGCACGTAAAAGAAACCTCGACAGTTGGAATTCGAAATAAAAGCAGACCATAGTCTTCATTAGCCCAGTAGGTACAGAACAGTACCACATTTCATTTCATTTCAAAATCGTCTACCAATGTACATTTTCCCACAAAATGACGAATTTTATGTGACATTTTTGAAAATAACATCGAAACTTCATAACAATTGTTTTCCGACGTGGTTTCCCCTTGTCAGTGATGCAGGACGGAGGGGATGACAAGGACAGCTGTCTAGTCCTTCGGATGAGACGAAAAACTGAGGTCCCGTGTAAACATTGGAATGCACGTAAAAGATCCCTTGGCAGTTGGAATTCGATATAAGAGTAGGCGATAGTGCCGCTGCCCGGGCAAAATTTACCTCATAGCACACTGTATGGCGTATGCCCGTCTTCATTAGCCCAGTATAGGAGCAGAACAGTAGGACGTTAAACCCCATTTCATTTCATTTCATTTCATTTCATAACAATTGATTACTTGCAGAAACCTCCACCTATAAAGATTAGTGAGTTTAAAGACACGCTTGAAAGATGGGAAACTATTTCTAATAGATTTATCGATCATGTTAGAGAATTGAAACCCATGGCTCTACAGACTTTAACTAGAGCTCAACGTAAGTTTTTGATTTCATCTTTTGCTTGATTACACACAATAAAATATTCATGTATCTGTGACATGTTATCTTTTCAAAACAATTGAAAAGTTTTGATTATTCAGGTGGAAAAGCGAAATTGTCTATTTTTTAAAAGTAATAAAAAAAAAAGAACCGCCTGATTTTATTTAAACTTGTATAGCCTAAGTGTACGCAAATAAGGTGCCCAAAGTTTTGACTATTCGGGTGGAAAAGCGAAATTGTATTTTTTAAAAATAAAAAAAAACCGCCTGATTTCATTCAAACTTGTATAGCCTATATGCGTTTCAGAAGAAGGCTAATAACCTTGCAACTTTGTAAACTTCTTTAATGGGGAGTGATTCGGTTGATCTAGAAAGATGGTTCCTGTAAGGATTGTAATTTCGTACAATAGACTTATTTTGGAACATATATGTTAGGGTTTTTGAAAATTATTTTTAGTTAATGTTATGGTTTCCTTGTAGCATGGGATAACGTTCTTTCTAAAATGGAAGAAACATTCCAAAATGGAGAAAATCTTTATGAACAGATTTTAGACGAAGCTTTGGATGTTGGACACCGTCTTTTTGAAAGTAAGTTATTCTGGAAGTTGGTTTATGAATTTATTTTTCTTGTAAACATGTTATTGACCTCTAGATAATTCACACTCACATTTGCGTTTTCGAAATATGTTAATGATTATTATTCTCCCCGAGTGGACGGTATCAGAGTTGTGTTTATATTATTTGTTTTGATTATGTAAATAAATTAAAATGGGGGCCAGGTGGTTCAGCGAGTAAGGTGAAGACGCTCTAACCAGGTCCTAAGTTCGATCACGGTGATGGCCAAGAAAGTTCTTCGGGATTTTTATGTCTGGTTTCTCCCTTGTCAGTGGCGCAGACACAGGGTCTGGATTTGACGAAAAACCAAAGTACCGTGTACAGGTTGGCTTGTTTGTAAAGAACCCTCGGCAGGTATAAAACTATGTAGAGTGAGCGGTAACACCCCTGCCAGGGCGAAATGTCCCTGTGCAGAAAAGTAAGACGATAATTATCATTTATTTTCCAGATAAATTACTGTTCTTACATGTAGCTATAGCTTTGTGTCTTATAGAAGTATGTTAATGTAATTTCAAATGACATATAACATTATATTATTTTACTAGATGCGGAAGGGTTTGGGGAATCAGGACGTTGTAAAAGAATGTTTACCCTGGCACCAACTTGGGGTAAGTTATCCGGTATTTTGATTAAAACTAACCTGGTAGAAATTGAAACTTATTCAATCACAGAAGCGTCATTCCTTATCATTATTATAGTATTCTCAAATCTTGGTGATGAATAAGTATGATCTTTGAGTTTATTTGAATGCTCAGTGCATCAACCATACTGCCGAGTTAGTCAAATTATTACGATTCACCATTCGGCTTTGAGCGTATTCACAACGTTAAAAACCTCATTTTGTATCACGGAAATTGTTAAGATAGCGTTCATTCACATATATCGTTTTAGTCTATATGCTACCCCTGTCGTAACAAACATACACATTTCAATAGCAGAATTGCATAAATCTGAATTTTGTTTTATTTATTTATAATTAATTATTTCGTTAATATTATAATTGTAATATATTTATTTGTAGACCCCGTAAATGATCCATTAGCAGAAGTAAAAAGTGCGGGAGCTATTGTTTCCGACTTGGATTGTTTTGCTGGAGAATTACAAGAAACCATCAGTACATTAAGTTCCATGTGTGTAGAAGGTTAGAATGTTAGAAACTCGTGTTATAGTGTAGCATATTATATCATAGAACTAGAATAATGATTATATGTATTATTAGTAACTATTACAGAATAATATAATTTGAACTTTATATTTTACAGAGCAACATATTAACATTAGGACATGCTTACATTGTATCATAAGATGGAACATATAATAATATAGCTGTTGTTCCTTGATGTTCCCGGGGGACGGGTGGCGAATAGTTTAACACGTGTGCGTTAGATTATAAGGGTTGTCATTGAGTCAAGTGGCGTGGTTTCGATTTCCCGCTTGTACATATACTAGTGCAAGAATAGGGTCGGGTGGATGTTAAACCCAATTTCTATCTGTCTCTCATTATTTAACTTTATGATTTGTATTATGTTACATATAGTTATAACTTTATAATTCATAATGTTAATATTGTTAAAATGAATATAGTTTTATATTATGTTACAGAATCACATATTTATGATTTTATGTTTTATAATATGTTATAGGACAACATTTTGGTGCTGATAAAGCTTTAGGTATGATAGGAAAAGTTATGCAAGTTCTGTACAGATTTAAACATGATGGAGAAAGGTTTAAAGAAGGAGGACAGATTATTGCAGATAAAGCTCATGAAGGTTAGTTTTGTGGAATTATATAAATCAAAATACAAATATGTTGAAGTATAGTGAAATCATTTTGGAAATTGAACGGTTGTAAGCATTTTGCAACTGGCTGGAAGCTGTTTTGAGATATACGGAGCGGAAATGTGTACATGAAAATAGAGATAATGTACTTATTGTTTGTCATTATTTGTTTATTTAGCTTCCAAAAGGACGATATCTGGAGATCTTATCAAAAGATTATTAGAAAAATATGCTTCACAAGATTAAACTACTACTAATGATGATGATGATGATGATGATCACTGAATGCCGAAGATATTTTAAACGAATTATTTACATTTCTTTCTAGCAAATATTTTTTTTTTATATTCAAATTGTTTTATTGACTTAGTTCTTATTCTCGTATGGTATTTGAAATAAACTGCTTTTGAATATTTTAAATGTTGACAATTGCTATTTAATCATACTATAGCTTAGCAGTAAATGGGTGAATCTAGTCTGATGATGGTATGCTTACACTTTCTAGAACACATGATATCACTCCTCACAGTGCTTACATTTTACTTTGTATTTTTGTATATACATATTGATACCATAAGGTGTTTTGGGTGGGTTGTCAAAGGTGAAAGGGGGGGGGGGGGAGCACCCCCACCAACACCTGGAGATCAGAATTTTCCAATAATTATATTTCGATCGATTACGGCAAGCTAAAATTTAATGTTCTAAATCAAAAGTATTTTCTATCTTTCTGCATTGGCTGCCCCAAGTTCAAGCCTCAGGTAATTAGCAATTAATGGTAGTATTTAGTTCTATGGCCAGCTGGAGGGCCTCCAGTGAAAACGTATTTCATTTGTGAATGATGAATCAAACATTGAATAGAAAAATATCCACAAGGTGTTCAGTATGCTTGGTTTAAGATGTGGAATATTCTTCTCAAACTATGCATGAGATATCTGAACCAAACACTAAAGGGAGCAAACCTTTTTCTGAATTACATAAATACAGTCAAATCCCGCTTAACGACCAACTCAGAGTATTACGGGCAACACATGTATACGACTACATTTTAAAAGAACCATTTTTTTTTCTTCTATATTCCTTATAACTTGAGCTCAGTAATACGGGCAGCTTACTATTATGGATAACGATTAACGACCACTGCCAATCAGTCAATTTCATTGTTTTTGGGTTAGGTCTATTTGATAAGGCCAACTTCAAGTTTCAAAGAACACGAGATGTAAACGAGGCTAGAGCTAATCCCAATCAAGTTCACTAATCCCAACCCTAACCCTAACCCTAGCCCTAATGCTTACCCTAACCCTACAATCTCGCCAACAATCACGTGCCCTAACCTTATTTACATCTCGGCGACCTTGACGGAATTGAGCTGGCCTTAACAAATAGATTTAGCTTTGTTTTTGTGACGTGCTATAAATATATATTTTCACACGCAAAAGAGTTTAATTATAGACTCTTTAAAAAAAGTAGGGGATATTCAGAAACAATACAAAACTGCGGAAATGCACTGCTGTTTTTATTAGAGGTAACCAGTGTATGTTAAAGGACAATATTGGTGCCAGTCATTATCACATATGTGATAGAACTAGTTAAACACGTTCCAAATATTATTTTATCACAGATATCATTGCTACGATAGATGCGTAATCAATATGAACAATTGGAAGTGACGAACGCAAAAGGAAAACACGAGTTATCCCTCTATATAACTGACTGAAGTGACGAGTGATAAGATACATGGGCGAATTTCGTACATTAATAATTCTTTCGAAGACCAAAAGTTGTTATATGAGACTGTAAGAGTATATCTGACAATTCAAAAAAAAGTAATTGAATGTCATTAGATAAGAGAACACGAGAAAAATAGAAACAGTCTGTACATTCACGTGTGTTTATGCATTCTATACTTATAAAAACATGGTAAGGCACGGACTTTTTCTATTTTTCTTTCACGTTCTCTTAGCTATACAATGACAGTCAATTTTTTTTTAATGAATTGTCAGATATCTGACGGCCCAATTTCACTAGCAAAGCGATACACTGTCGAAAGTGAAAATAGACGTTTTTGATTTTTGTCTTAATAATGAGTAATTGCCAATCCTCAGACATCCGGCAATTCGACGTGGCATGCTCCTAATCAACCGTCCAATCACGATTTGGGGCAATCTGACCCACTCTTCTTGCAGTGCCACGGCCAATTCTTGCAGTGTTGTCGATTGACGTTGACGAACACGTTTCCCGATCAAATTAACCGTAACACACTAAAGCAAAGATACGCTAAACAGTAAATCTTATGCAAAAACCGATAGGAAAGCAACCATGGATAGGATAAACCAGGACGCGACAGTTTTCATCAACACTTCCTTGAAGTGTCAAATTTGACAATGACCCCCCCCCCCCCCCACACACACACACACACACACACACGTGTACGGCGCTATTGTGTGTCGCATGTGCAGCTCAGTGGTTCTGTTGGGGTGAAAAGTTCTTCATCTGTGAATATACTCTCAAAGCATGTCAAGTGTCCATGACTATTTATCATATCCAACCTGCATAGGTATTTGCATTTCAATATCCCCTACTTTTTTCGAAGAGTATAATACGCCGTTTAATTCTAGAAACCATTCACATTCCAATCTAGTCTTAACAAAAGATATTCCAACATAAGGAAAAGGGTAATTGATACCATCTATCATACCATCGACATTAGTGCAGTCTTCTTTTGATGATAAATTATTTCACCGTCAAAATTTGAATTTTTTTTTTTTTTTTTTTTTTCAATCATCGTTCAGATCAAGTGGTTGTAGTGAATAATGGGAAAACGTACCTGGGAATTATTCTGAGTGGCTATAGCAATTGGAATAGGATTGTCTCCTAATGAATTAGAAAAAAAATAACTGAAACGAAATTGTAATTCTAACTAGAATGGCAAATCTGTTATTTTTTTCAGAGATCTCATTTTAAATTCAGTTTTCTGGCAAATTGTAAATCCACCAGAATTGCTAATACCTTGAAATAGCCTTGCCCTTATGTCAACAGTAGAGAATTAAAATGAGCTGTCTTTGTCTGTTTTATGTAAGATCAAAACAATAAATATTAAGATATAATATCTAGGATATAAGCATTTTTTATTAATTAAGCAATATAAGCTGTTAGTCATAGATAAATATACAACAATATGTCTACAATAAATTAAAATAAATAATTACAATTTTCATGATATGGAATGTATTTCAAATAAAGACTTATTTAACAAGCTGAAATCCAGTGACATTTTGATGTATTTTTTAAATTGCACCATGTACAGGTTTCCAATATATTATTTTAGGGCTATACAGTATACTTGTTCACAAACATAACCAACTGGAATCAATCATTTAAATCCCACACCCTTAAACAGGTTTCAGAGATAAACAATCTCGGGAGTTATTGGTAATCAACAACCAGTACTAGTATTAAACATGTTAAAATTTATAGCAAATAGTATGAGGCATCTCAATTATACAACTTGGAATCAGAGGGGGGGGGGGGGGGGTCAACCCCTCACCCTGCTCAGCTACAATATTTATTTTTTTGTAAAACAACACTTTTATGAGAAAAGTGTCACAGTCGTGTGCTTTATCCTTTATCATCAGATGGTGGGATGGGATGGGCATTCAAAGTGCAATATAATGATACTGACATATGTGATATCACAAATGCTTTGCATTCATAATAAAAACTGACTTCAAAGCTCAGTGTGTATGTATGCCTATGTAATTTGGAGAGCCATCATCATACATTGCCAACTGTCAAATTCCCTTAACAGGAACCTGGCAAACCCCCTCCTGCAAAAATTCCTGTATCCGCCCTTGATAGTTCAATTACAAATAACGAGAAAAGTGATATGCTCAGTTATAGATGTATAAATGAAAACAAAATTTCATAAAGTTTGTGAAGATTTCTTGAATGGTTTCCGAGGTTTGCTTTTGAACAATAATTGCATACCAAAATCAATTGTGTTCCACTGAACTAGTATATAGTAAATCGCACAGCTACTACTAGCTAGGTTGTATGTACATAGTTTCATACAGATATCTTGAAACAAAATCGGAATGGAATAATAGATGAACAGAAGGACAGAGCCCGTTCAATATCTCTCTCTAACTTTGTACACAGGGCTACTATCATAATATATGTACTTCTTCACTAAACATTAATTTTTTCTTCAATAACCATAATATTAAAAAGGGAATGCTTCAAAAATTGATTACAAATTAATGATTACATTAATAAAATATGGTGCTAACTAAATGAAATAAAAATTGTTTGTGATGTTGACAGTGAATGCAAAGATATAATTCATAGAAAATATCACAGTTTAGTAAAAAATATCTTTTTCAAAAATGTTTAGGTGCAAAGTTGGCTTTAAAAAAGCAAGAAATAATAAAATTTAAAATATATTATTAATACAACATATAGTGCTCTCTGATCACATTATAAGACTATTTACAACAAATGAAATTAATAGTATTTATGATATAGATATGATTAAGTTAGTTTGATAAGATAACAATTCAACAAATTTAGTAAACAAATGTAAATTACATTAGGCACTCTTATGTACTTATGCTGCCACTCAAGAACTTACATAAACATGGTGCCTTTATACCAAAATAAGGCTGTAAAAAAACTGTACTTAGTATTATCATGATTATATAGGGCTAATCCTGGGCTTACCAACCTGGGCTAAATTTACTCCCAGTGAATCAAATTTTGCATACCCATGGGATAAAGTAGTTGATACTGGATTTGTACATATTTTTTTCCCAATTATGTTTCTTTTTAAAAATCAGAAATTGAGAAGAATACAAATGAAAGAACAATGATATATACTATTGTTAATTGAACTTAATATAGTTAAAAACAGTATTTTAAAATGTTTTCTTCATCGGTTTCTTATCGTGATAAAAGTGTACACTCAAATTAATGAGAAAAAAAAAAAAATTGGGGGTAAATATACTTTTTGGAAAAAGTTGCAAATTGTTAACTGGACCAAGAAGGTTTGGTCCCCCTGGGCAAATCAAATGAACCACTTTGCAACAATGTGCAAACTTGCATTATCATACCTAATTAACTTAATACAACCAAAGTAGATTCAGTTCAGACCTGAGAAAAAATTGGACTTTATCTTCTGGAAATGTTTGTTTACCTAAATTTATTTTGAAATAAAATGCGTAGGATATACGTATGTTAGAATAAGATAAACATTGAAATGCAATTATTCTATGTGTATATATATTACAAATAATTGTTAATCATAAAATCAAAAACAAACAAAAAATATCTGAGAAAGGACAATAAAACAACAAATAATAACAATAGACTAAAGAATATACATTAATAACATGGAGAGATTTCAATATTACTAACTTTAACAGGAAGGTTTACTCCCAGCAGTTATAAACTAAGATATTTGTATTTACATAGTTATGAAATAAATAAAGAAAATGATAAAAACTAATTTTCAGATCTCAATATAAATCAATATAAATGAGATAATTGTTTGAAATTAAAATGAGAATATTTATAAACATGCTTTATTTTCAAATTATCATTATTTACAATAGTGGTATACCTATATATTTACATTAAGCACTGTATTTATTGGAGAGGGGACAAACATGTAGATATGGGGTGGGGGGGGGAGACAAATATTTACAAATTTGATGGCACTTTGAAGTTCATGTTACTAAATTATCAGTAAAATATGTCAAAGTAACTTAAAGGAGAACTCCAGTGTTTCCGAAAGTTATTCATTATATACCTAGAATTAGTATTATTAACAATATGCAACCTAAAATATAAATTGTTTTGTTTAATAAACAAACTAAATTGTCGACTGTAACATTACGATGGGAATTAGTCATCACTGTAAATAAACAAAAATTCACTGCATGCTAAAATACTATTTCTACATAGCTGTATGAATACAAGTCATTAGATCAAAAAATGTTATAGCATATACTGCTTACTCTTTATTTACAGTAATTAACCCTTCCCCTCGACATGGAGTTCTACTTTAATAAATTTAAAAATCTCTGATTTCATAGAAAGGATAAGATGTTTTGTTCAACTAAATTTAAGCCTTCATTTACATATTTTTTTACGAAAATCGGACATATATTTGTCTCGGTAATTATATTATTTCTTTCAAAATCTACAGAATATGATAACAGTAAAACCCATATATATATATATTTCTTTAATCCAGTTGAGAGATGATTTAATATCTATAGTTGACACCATAAGCAACCCCTGTTCCAGTAATTGTAATATCCCCCTTCCTATAAGAAGGGATCGAAGGAAGGGCTTTACGGTTTTTATTTTGTTGAGGTGTGCTTACACTAGATGAATCAGATGCATTTTGACCTGGAAAAGAACAACATAACCAAATCTTAACTTCATTAAATAGTTTAATCACACAAAAAAAAACATAAACACAAACATTTCTACTTTAATGACTGTGACTTGTCAAATTTATTACAAAAGATTCTATAAGTCATTCCTCACCCCCCGCCCCCATCCAATGGTTACTAATATGTGTAACTGAATATTCACAATAACAACCCACAAAATCATGCTGTTTATAAGTATTTATGTTGTGTTCCTTCTCTAGGGTTCCTTATCCAGGACATAATCCAAATCTCTCTTTTAAGGTCTGTGAACACCCCACCCCACCGCCAAATCTATTAAAAAACAGTAGCAGAGGCTGGGCAGGTCGGTAGATCTGTGTAGCTACTGGATCAAACGATGATGCCAGTGGTGAAAGTAGACATTAATACATATTTAAAAATCCCAGCACAACAGCATTACAAAAACAGACTTAGATTGAAATGAGAGGTGGTTTATTCATCTTGATAAAGGGTGTTTTAACCAATAACTTTATGAAGATGAATAGACCACCTCTCATTTCAACCTAATGTCTGTTTTTGTAATGCTGTTGTGCAATGATTTTTAAATATATATTTATATCCTATAATACTAAAAGTCTAATGCAGGCAAAATAATGTGCTAATAAGCGAAGGGTGAAAGCATGATAATAATAGGTGACACTTTCATTGTCTAAATCAGATACCAAAAACAATACTTCATCTGGGTTATATTTGTCTTTCAAAGAGCAAAAAATTACATTTTATTTTTAAAAAACATTAAAACACTGTTTTAATCATTCCATCAAGTTTAGAAAATGATGTCAAGCTTTCCATGGGTAAGTACTTCAAGCTTTCATGTCAAGAATGTAGCCTGGGAACTAAAACAGGTATATCAAATATATTCTTACAATATAATATCCAACTAATCCTTAAGTACAATAAAACACAGCAACCAATATATTTTAGAAATGGAATACAATCAATTGTTTAATATAACATGGTGCAACATTTCAACAAGTATTCTCTTATTGTTTTTAAGCTTGAACCACTACTACTAGATGGTGGTTAGCATCCACTTCTACAGACAAAACTTGATCCAGTTACGCGAATGGTTAACACTTGCGCGTTGCATCATATGGTACATTGAGTCAAGTGGTGTGTTAATTTTCACAGCCGGCCCAATCACCTATTGGAGGGGGGGGGGGGTAAAAATATAAGTGGTATATAAAATACATCTATGATTTTATAACTATAAATTCTGTGTTTAAATAATGACATTGGAATATAATTATGCAACAGACAGACATGCGATGAAAAATACTAATATATGATCAATATATAGGTTATTGTATAAAGGGGGGGGGGGGTCCTTTATCTAGCGTGCTCTAAAACCATAGCAATATAAGCTGATTTGTCCACAACAGTTTCCATTATATGTGCATGCCATGCAGTATGCAAATTGAAAATGACCTCACGTTGGAACCTCCTGTCTATGTCTATTGAAAAATAGAAATTATTTTCTCCAATTCCAGAACTCACTTCGATATTTTCTCCTCGGTTTCTCTCTGCGTGGTTTAACTTCTGGTATACCTTCATCAATTTGTGTGATATTTCCTATATAGAGTAACAAGTGATTTTGTGCAATGAAAGAAAAATCAACCAAAACATGAAAGAAGAAAAAAATAATCATAAATTATAAATCATAAAAGAACATTCTACAAAAATCAAAGTAAACAAAACATTCTGTGATATTTTTTTCTAGAAATAAAATAAAACACAAATAAGTGCGTGTTTTTGGTGTTCTTTTTGCAACATATGTTCATATTCAAATGTTGGCACTTTAAAAGGTAGATAATAGATCTGTAACAAGTTTCCTCTCATACCAATTGCTTTCATATTACATTCTCAAAATGTGACATCATTGCTTTTAGGAATATATATCTCTATATCTCTAGACAGTTCTGTTTCTTTGCAAGGGAAATTTAAAAAAAAGTCTTTAGATCGGTCAATGATTTTCATAAACTGAACCAATTACCTAGCCCAATCTTAGTTCTTCTGATAACCTGGATAATCTTGGGTGATGTTACAAAAAGCAACATAGCCAGGCATGGAATTTGCTCTGAGGAGTTCTAATGCATCTAAATTTGATTAATTTTCAAATCAACAAAACAGAATCATTTCTGTCCTTTGGATCAGTTCTCGCTGAAATATTACCTGAGTTTTACTTAGCATGTTGATGCTTAAGGTTAAAGGAACTAAATCGCTATTTTTTTCACCTAGAAATGGACACAGTGTGTCTCAACACATAAAATAATGTAATATGAATGTATATAAACTGATTTACATTCAACTGTTTCTGTTTTTACTGTAATTTCTAATTAGTTGTATTCAGCGAAATATGCGAAATATTCAAATTGAATGGCAGTTCAAATTCATGAAGGGGGTTGGATGGCTGAATGGTTAGCGTGCGTGCGCTGTATCATAAAGTCTGTCATTGAGTCGACTGGCGTGGTTTCGAATCCCCGGTTGTACGTGGCAAGGAGTAGGGTCGCCTGTCCAACCTCGTGGGTTTTCTCCGGGTCCTCCGGTTTCCTCCCACTGCTAAAGCCCCTACGCGCAAGCGAATTATGTAAATAAAATTAAACCATGTTAGTCCCGAAATGACCTAGTTTGTGTCGAGTGGATGTTAATTAAACCCCATTTCTCTCTCTCCCTCAAATTCATGAGCCAATTTTAAAATTTTCATTTTGTCTTAAATATTGGATATCAGAAGCCTATCTTTCACAATAAGATAACATCAATGTTGATTTAAATTGAACAATAAGTCCTTTAAGAATGTAATATGAATTTCGAAAATTTTTTGTGATAGCAGGTTTGAGTAAAGGCCACATCTGATCCTAAAGGTTGTGATATCTATTACAGTTGGATTAAAATGTTATAATTACCTGAAGCTGATATATCACCAAGTTTAGTTCTACTAACTCTCGGTTTACCTACTGATTTGCTACTGGTCTTCTTCATATTCTATAATAATAATAATAATATCACCAGGATTACATTATATTATCTCTGTCCAATTTATATAACAGATCATTACATAATCCTACCAGACCGTCACTCTCGAATCTTGGAAGGTATGATTATGTTTATGACTATGTGACATCAGGTAGACTAGGCCAATGCTAGGTTCCCATTATCATGATTCTGCTATGACTAAAATCATGATTTTAATTGTGGAGTATTGAGGTCAGTAGTAGCAATCGTGTTGATCGTATCGAAACGTATCCGAGCATATCTCCACGTAGCAGATCGTAGACTCAATATGGACCATCCTATCATAATGCATCGCACGACAGTGGGAACCTAGCATGTTTATAAATATAGATCCAAAATCTTTTCTAGTTATCAGTTTTATTGGCATTTAAAATCTGATCTTAGCCATGGAAAGAAAAAATTTGAGCATGTCCTCAGCTGGTTTTATTCCAAACAAATTGTTTGTAATGGACATTAAACAATCCCACCAAATTTTAAATAAATTAAATTGAAATTCTCTTCTCTACTGTGCTCATCTAAGTAAAAGAAAGGCGTAAAATGGGTAAATAAAAACAAACTTACTTGATTCGAAATAGTTCCTTCATAACCTTGCTGACTTCGTCTTCGTCGTCTGGCTTCTGTTTCCGTTTGTGAAATCTTCCTCACACCACCCTTATATTGTTGTTCATTTAATGGAGGCAGGCTTGTGTCTGTATGAATGCTAATTTTTTCTACAGCTGTTACTGATGAAATATTATCATCACTAGGTGGTGTACTATTAAAATGAAAGGTCCCTTCACCATAATCTTTATTATGTTTTGCCAAACGGCTTGGAGTTAAAGCATTTGGTGCAAAGTCACTGGCCGAGTCATTTGTTGGTCGATACAATGTTCGTGGTTTGTCCATTTTATCAGTTTGAAGAAGAGTATTCTGAACCCTTGTCCGTTTTTTAGCTGCAAGGGCAGCAATGTTCCGCGTATTTGAAACAATGGTTTCTTTGTCATCGAAGGATTGTCGTGATTTGATACTAGGAATAACTTGTTTATCTGATATCATGTAGGAATTGGTCTTCCATTGGGCTTCAATTTGCTTTAATTTGGCACTTCTAGTAAAAACTTTGGTATCATCATCATAACTGTAATTCAAAAAAAAAAAGAGGAGATATTTAGTGGATTGATTACAATGTAAAATTACATACAAAATCGTTAGTGGTAAAAATATCAGCTTTTATAAAATAATTGGATATGAAATAAGAAACATCATTTCCTCTGTGAACATAATTTTGTATCTATAATTTTTAAATTAGAAGTATAAATTATTATGTTATTATTATAAAATAATAATTTCTTACGAATTTAAATCAGTCAAACTACTCGGTTGTCTGCCATCACCAAATGTACTTCTGGCACCACTTGCTGTTAAAAACTATGAACAAGAAAAAGATTAATCAAAGATTATAGTTTTTGACAAAATTTGACAAAATTTTACTACAAATAAATTTAAGATATGACTAGCTGACATAGATATGATCAATTGAAATTTTCATAACATTCTACAGATATAAGAATTGCATTAAATTTTTGACTGGCCTCTTTTTAATCTGTTTAATTCCAAGCCGGGAAATTATCTACCATAGTTAATCTGAGTGCAGTGAAAAATCAGATTTGTCAAAAATATACACAATTGTGATCAATACAAAATTTAAAATGAAAGAGTTCATTTTGTGGGAACAAAAATACACTTATACAAGAAATGAGCGATTGAAACAAAGTTTTTAAGGGAGAATCAGAAATCACTAACTTTTAATGTCACCCTTGTCCATAAAGAATAAATAAGAGAGATGTATATATTAAACAGTAGCTACTTACTTTAAGACTAGGTGTTTGACTGTTTGATTCATCACCTTTTAATATTTTATCCTGTCTCTCCAGTTTATATAACTCATATAATTCATCTAGGTCTTTAGGACATGGTACATTATTATCTATAAAAACAAAACGAACCATTTTAATGCATTTTTTCTTCATTTATTCTTCATTCATCCAACTTGTACTGTCATTCAAAAAGGGATCGCAGATTTTACCTAAAATGTACTCTGCTTAACTCTTTATAACAATTACTATCATATCAATAATGTTTCATGATTTTCTTTTATTTATCTAAAATGTAATCTGTTCAACTCTTTGTACCAAATACTATCATATCGATAATGTTTCGTGATTTTCTTTTATTTATCTAAAATGTAAGCTGTTCAACTCTTTGTACCAAATACTATCATATTTTAGGTGAAATGCATTCTAAGTTTCCTGTACCCTAAGAGCAGCATAATAGTACTGTGCTTGTTTCTCATATTCAGATTAACCAATACACTCATTATTAGTCTAACAATACACCTGTGAGTAAAATTCATAATTCAGTCCTAACTTGCCAGAATCAAGGTTAACCATACAACACCAACTCAATTTATTGCCATTTAAAGTTTACATTGGTCTGGATTGATTTCCGAAAGACAAATAAAGTAATCATAATTTTGCTAACTTTTATGTACAAGTCAGCTCATGAATTCTTTTTTTAATACTTGGCTATTGCTTAACGACATAATAAAATTACTTTTCACATTAAAATAGTACACATATTTGACTTTTGGGACACATTTTAACAATCTTGCTTTTGCCTTTAATGGTAAATCAAAGGAAGGGCTAGTCATTCTTCAAGTAGATCAACCAAGAAACCTCAGCTTCAAACAATTAATAGCCAGTTTAACTATTTTCTAATATCATATAAGCAACACTGATTTTGTTCATACCATCGATTAAATCTCTCTGTTGTTTAATAATTTCATCACATAAATTACGATGATGTCGAAATCTTGTAATAACCATGTCCTTCTTTTTTATCTCGAAATCTCTCATTAAAGATGCTGCAATATTCTGTAAGTTTTCTATTTCTAGTTCATGTACTTTACACATTTGTCGTATGATTTCTTGTTGATCAATATTACTCACTTTTACTGGTATTAACTGAAATAATATTTTCATAATTATATATGTTACTGTGTCATTATTAAACATGCCATGATATGTTTTGTTATTTATTTTGTTATGGTTCTTTATTCAGGTAAATAAGTAAATAATTTAAATGACCATTATTTTATATGTCTGTCTACCTGCTACAAAGGTGTATAATGGAGTGCATTTGAATGCCCTTTTTTTGCGACTCAAGTTAAACACCAATAAAATCAGGTACACAATCACATTTGATGGATGCACTGTCAAAAGAAAATGAAATGAAATGAAATGGGGTTTAACATCCGACTGTTCTGCTCCTATACTGGGCTAATGAAGACGGGCATACGCCATACAGCGTGCTTTGAGGGAAATTTTGCCCGGGCAGCAGCACTAGAAGAAACTATGGACAACCTCAACACTCAAAAATAAAATTCGCTAGCGACAAGTATTAACAATACGACATATGTAAACAAGAGTAATCTTGTAAATATTTTTTAAGATAAGATACTCTTAAGGCAAAACTGAATCTTTAATTTGAACAGCCCAAATACTGATCTTATCTAAGTAGGGACACATTTTTTGATGTGCAACATCTGGTCAAATAACTTTGGGATTAACACGTGATTAACTAATTAATATTAAGAATAAAATGGTTATCTGCACACTAACCAGGTTATTTGCAGACCAGCAAATTAATATGAGCCTAGTAAAATAACATTGAGACTAACAACTATAATTGTGAGACAAATAAGTATAACTTTGAGACTAACAAGTATAATTGTGCGACTGACAAGGTAATTTTGATATTAAGACTTCACCTCTTCTAATTTCTTGTGTTTTTCTTTAGCTGTTTCAAGCTCACGCTTTATTGTTACTCGAACTTTCTCTGTTTTATGTTTTTCATCATGAAGAACTTTTAATTCTTCTCTCGCTACCCGCACATCCTCTGGTTCTGTGACATCATCATCTACTTCATCTGTAATATTAATTACAGATACTACACTATTCAATAACTTCAAATATAAGCAGTGGTATTCGAACACCTTAAATTGTATAGATAAACCCCCCAAAATGTCTTTGTTACACAATCTTCAGCTGGCACCAGATCAGAGTGGTTTTAAAGTTTAGAGCAGAATAAACCTAACTTTTTAGTAATATGTTATCAATTAGAAACCTACCAAATTTATTATCTGTTGCCTGGGTATTTTCACGTTTTTGTTGTATTCTGGCTTTTTCTACATCCCATCTAAGAAAAGAAAAAAAACGAAAAAATATTTTTTGTGAAATGATTGTATATATAGTAAACACAGTATATATAAAAGTAAGTCATATAAATTACAAATATTTATTCAAAATTTAATGATGCTAATGATGGAAAAGTGTTGACTTCGAGTATTCAAAGACAATATATACTGAGACACAATAATAACACAGCACTTTTATAAATGGATGATTGAGAGGAATACACTTTAATCTTGCAATGTAACACCATCAGGTCGCAATCATAATATGTGAGAATTATATTTTCACGATCGTGTAAATACACCATACCACTGCTGCTACTGTGAGGGGTTCACATAGGTTCATAAGTGCTGACGCTTTTCGTTGCCAAACAATGCTCTGTCGGCATGTGTGCCAGGTGTACCAGAGGCGGATTCAATGGGGGGCACTAGGGGCGCGCACCCCCCCCCTAATTTTCGACAGTGCCCTTTTTTACTACTGAAAGTGCCTTTTCTCAGACTCAAATATGTCCGTTCCCAACCCGTTGTAGGGATCCCAAATGACTCAAACCATCGACTCAAACACACCAGTCTGGGAAATAGCTCTTGGAATGGCTACAGATGCAAGGAAATGACGGATAATTTTCTTGGGGACCCCCCCCCCCCTCTCAGCGGCGTGCCCCGTCTCCGTGGTCAATGCCTTCATTTTGCAGCGCCCCACCTTTTCAAAATTCCTGGATCCGCCCCTGTGTACATTACACCAATGCTTACTCAATCATGCCAAAAATGAAATTTCAGCTGCATTAAGTCTCATTAGCACTTCCAGTCAAATCAGTGGTGTGTTTTCATTGTATCTGAGTATAGATATGTTTGAGGTAATAATTAAGCAAACTAAACTTACTCGCTGATTATAAGTTGATTTCTGTTGGTTTCTAAACTGACTTCCATAGTATTATTGTTGACTTCCATTAAACTACGTCTACAAAATAAAACCACCATTTTAACAATTTATATTAATTGGGTCCTGTGTAATTCTTCTTCATTTAAATTATGTCTGAATTCAATTACACAGACAGTTTAATCCATCTCAATTTTTTAAATATCACATCAGATCTTTGCAAATTAACAATGATTTTTTGCAATGCCTTGTTATTAAAAATATCAATAAATACCTTAATTCCATTTGATCTTTAAAACATGTTAACAACTGTTCTCTTAGTTTATTCATCTCACTTCTATTGGCTGTATCTTTAGCCATCAGAACTTCAGCTATAAAATATAGAAATATTATCATCTATAGAAATTATTAAATCCATCTCTTAATCCATTATTTTTTTGAGAACCTAAAAGGAGATGGTCAATGTGTTTCTGTATTCTAACAAAAGTTATAATGATGATAGCTACTCAGTATATATAGCTCTCAGATAAATTCTTGATGATCATCATTCAAACAGGAACGTCATCAACACTAACAGATTTTTCAATGTAGCCCACTGTCATACACTATTGACAAGAGAGAGAGAGAGAGAAATGGGGTTTAACGTCCACTCGATACAAACTAGGTCATTTCGGGACTAACATATGGTTTGATTTTATTTCAATAATTCGCTTGCGCGTATGGGTCTTTAGCAGTGGGAGGAAACCTGACACTATTGACAAGGAGAAAGCAGGATGGAAAATTCTTGGCCAACACCAGGATTGAACCTGTGACTGCTTGGTTAATGGGCCAGCACTATACGTTCCACTGTAAACTAAAAAAGGTAAATATTGAGTCAACTTACATTGTACAGCTTGTATATTAGCTACAGCATGTTGTCGACTGGCCGTTCCCTGTTCATGGAGTCTGTCTCGTAATCTTAGAATTTCTTCCCGTAACTCTGTTATAATATTTGTATACTGGGCTATGTGATATGCTACATCTGTTACATTCCGCCGCACCTGAGAAATTATTCAAGAAATAAATACAAATTTAAAATACCTCTCTGATTAATAACTCATGGTAAGGAAAATCTGATATGTGATTTTATATCAACATTAAACTTCATCTGATTACTTTATCATTTAAACCTGGGGGATGTGGTAGTCAAACGTAACTCCTGACTAGAATTTCCTGGATTCGAAACCCAGCATGGACCAAGGAGAAAAATCTATTTTTTTCACTTGTAAGGAAAGGCATCTGTGTGGCTGACAAGGAAAGTGTGTGTAATCTTTTGGATGGGATGGAAATGGAGGTTTATTCATAAAAGATTCCTCACATTGCACAGTGTAACCATAGAAATAAATTATCATATGTCTGTCTCCAAATAACTGAAGTATTCTATTGACGAGGCATTAAACCTCCATTCCCTTCCATATAAATCTTTATTATATGAAATGAAATTGAATGGGGTTTAACGACCTACTGTTCTGCTCCGACTGGGCTAATGAAGACAAGCTTTATAATATGATAAAATGCAAAACTTAAAACTACATTTACACAATATATAAAGATATTTATTAAAATGAAGGCATACCTTTGTTTTGATATGTTTTGCTCTGTCAGCATAGACTAGGGTATTACGAGATTCTTCAAAGTTTAAACTGGCTGGACTAATGTGAGCGATCATAACAGTTTTGCAGTTACCACCCAAAGCATCTTTTAATAATCGAGTTAATTTACTGTCACGATAGTTAATATATCTCGGGCCATTCTTCTCACCTACAAATGGATTTCATATCATATATATTAAATGCAAATATGACTTAAAAAAATAATGTTCACTGGTATATTAAATTTGTTTACAATATAATCATAAATATTTATTGTTGGTTAATTAAAAAGAAAAAGAAATATGATTACAAATCAATTCTTTTCCAAACATCTTGACTCAAATATTGCTAAAATACTGATGCATGAAAAATATAAGAAATAGAAAAAATATCCTTAATTTATCATATGTCAGACAAACGAGAGGACTGAAATCTGAGCATAAAGTTCCAGGAAATAACATATATTTTAAATTTTATAATATCTATTAAAGAAGTATCTACTCAGACAAGAACAGTCAATCCTTGACTTACTTAATGCATTTATTCAGTTTCCTAAGAAAGTTACAAGATCTATTGGAGTTTAAAACTATATATTTTATAATATCTATATGAAAGAAGCAATAATTAAAGGAATATTCAGATGTAAAACTTAACTTACTTAAAGCATTTATACAGTTTCCTAAGGCTAATAATGATCTGTTAATATGTGCACCTTCCACCATTCGTTTACCACGGTTGTGTGTATTTGCTGCTCGTTCAGAACCAGCTAAATCAATGAGGAAGAGTTTACCCGTTCGTACTTCTTGTAGTGTATTTTTCACACGATGCCGTTGTCTTACAGTGACTTGTAAAACAGCATGTGATCTGGATGAGGCCTGATTGGCCGCTGTGGGTTCTTGAGTTCTTTCACGATTACCTTTTAATAGCATCTGCATAACCTGAAATAAGATATTCAATAATATTTTACAAGCAATGCAATTTCATTGATTCAAATTAATGCTTTTTACATTTATCTTCTAAATAAATTATCGGGGGGGGGGGGGGGGAGGGGGGTATTTTGAAAGTTGTCCAAAGGATGAGAAAAATTAACATATAATTAATTTAGAACTAAATAGTTGGTATTTTATAAAACAACTTTTCCACCGCATGAGCCGTGTTTATACAACGACCACATCCGATGCTTTTACAGATTTGACTTCGGTAACACTACCACGATAAAGTATTGATTTATCCAAAAAGAAATTCTAGGACTACATATAAAATTCAATAAGAGTACCTCATCTGTTGATCTAGCTGAAACTTCTGATAATCCAGCTACTGTAACATCACCCTTAGAATTCTCTCGTAAATCTAATATACCTGCTGCCGGATTTAACAAATCACGGATCATTTCATTATATATCTGAAAGAATATTGCATTTTATTTTATTTCCAAAATAATATATTATAATGATTTATCACATAAATATGGCTTCAGACTTTTTCAGTAAATTATAGCAAAAAAAAAATATGGCACATTGTCTTTGTAAAGAAAATGAAACACAGAGTTATCCCCCTTCAGTCTTCAGAAGTATTGAACACTAACATCAATAATTAAAGTCAGTAAACTATAACTACAAAATAACAATTAAAATAGGGTCAACTGAAGAAATCTCGTATGGCAAAAAGTACAATTATAAGAGTCCTAATCTCTTGGCGGTAAAAAAAAGAGCAGACAGAGTTATAGCCCTTTTGTCTTCAAAATATATTAAACATTTCATATACTGATGACGAAACATTAATAAATATTTTATGTGCAACAAAATATAATAATAATTCAAAGACTGAGTAATGAACAGCAATAAATTTAATTACTGAGGTTGATTTCTAAAATACCTAATGACATTATCAATCTCTACTATTGGATATTCACAAGTTTCATGCAAATATAATTTCTTGTTTTATTGTATTATAGTGGGGTCTAACCTCTAGATAAGACATAGTAACTTTATAGGCCATATCTTCACTGGTTTTCTCCATTTCTAGAAAGAGATCATTGAGAGCTCGAACCATTATACCAGGACTGTCATCTTTACCCACCATAGTGTGAGTTTTACCAGCACCTAAAAAACAAAACATTTCATCAGTCTAAAAACTTGCCGTCATAGATAATAAACTTATCAAGTCTGTTTGCATGATTTGAATTAGGTTCTTAGATTATGTAATACCAGATAATTAATTTAGGAATATGTATACCAGTAGGTACAGCTGATTAAATGTACTAATATAGTGTATATTTTAAAATCTAACACCTTAGCCAGGATCTTACATAAAATAATCAGAAATTGTCCAAATTTAGAGGGTTTTAAATGTTATGATTCATAAATAATTTGATCTCAGTCATTTGTCTATAAACGGCTGACTATCAATCTAGTCTAATAAGCATATCCACTAAATATTAAAGTAATTATCGAATTACCCTACAGTATACTTTAATATTAAGTACTGTCTATCTAACACTGTAACAGATACACTTTCTGTTTCAAATTTAGGGCAGCATGAGTGTGCAGGGGTGATATTGCCCTGCCCAAATTTCGAGAGGTGTTATTGCCCATACATTTCAGCTAATCAGAATCAATGACATTTCAGATTTGCTCTACAATAGTAAACATACCTGTGGCCCCATAAGCAAAAACTGTAGCATTATAACCAGTTATAACATTTGGTATTAATTCTTTGGTAGTAGCTTCATATACGTCTTCCTGAAAACATGAATACATACTCATTTAATTTCATACATACTCAATACCTTGCCATTTATACTCATTTATTTTTATTCATACTCAACATTGTTTTTATTTTCATTTAATTTCATACATAGTCAATATCATGCCTTAAATACTCATTTAATTTCATACATAGTCAATACCACCCTTTAATACTCATTTAATTTCATACATATAGCCAATACCATACTCATTTGATTTCATACCTAGTCAATACTTTGCCTTTAATACTTATTCAATTTCATACATAGTCAATACCATTCCTTTAATACTCATTTAATTTCATACATAGTCAATCCCATCCCTTTAATACTCATTTAATTTCATACATACTCCAATAACACTACATAATTTACTAAACACATGATAATCAATTGTTTTATACTTTCCTCAAAACTTGAATTAAAATTCAATAGAAATTTTTTTCTAAAAAGATATACATGTACATGTACATATTCCAATAAATCAATAATTTTATTATTTAACGACCCATCAAAAGAAAACATTTTAACTAACGTCAATATATGAATTGTCAATTCCATGTCCCCTTAACGTCTTGTTTAATGTATTCTCTGTAATTGCTATCAAATTTTACTGCCTTTGTTTAAATTTCAAATGTATGTAGATTAGATCATTGTTGTATGTGGTTGTAGCATCCATCTTACTACCGTAACTAATGTAAACACAGCAACTGCATTTATCTACAGAACAATATAGCAATAAAATAGCTCAAAACTGAAAAAATGACGAAAAATAAATTACACATATTGACAACATTATCGGTTGGAAGATTTTAACAGCAATGCAAGGAATACCTATTAGTTCCACTGATCGACACACTGTATTTCATGTCCTTTGTCAAGATCAAAAGCTTATTCTTTTCATCAATAATAAATATGAGTTTTTCATTACTTGATTACTCAACTGTAGGATTTTTCAAGCGACAACCTTGGACACTGTTTACATTTCTTTTGTAATCAAAGTACAAACAGAATCTAAATGTAAATGTTAGTAATATAACAATGACTACTTCCTTATAGACACATTATTCCAGACTAAAGTACAAATATAGACTTTCAGTATTAAAAATCATTATTAGTGTATTGCCAAACAACAAATATAACCCCTCTAGTAAGCAACATTTTCTAGGATGACTTCCAGATTTTGGTGGGGGTGAGGTGTTCAAGTGGTCTATAACACATGCTTTCGAACATAAGGTATGTCATTGAGTCATGTGGCAAGCTTGTACGTGACCAGGGTCGCCTATCCACTAGTTTTCTCCCAATAGGGCCTACTAAAGTCACCATTGTACTAGTGAATTATAGAAACTGAATTGAATGACATTTCTGAATTTTGAAATATAAGCCATGATAAAAGACCAGAGAATCCTAGTCGAAACGCCACTCTAGGCTTGGGCGATAATGAAACAAGCCAACAGTGAGGCTGATGTCTGCTGCCAAAATCCCCCCAAAAAACAGATAACACATATTAACTAATTGCACATTTATCTTTTTCAAAAGTATCAAGTAATCAAAATGATTATTTATGCTTAGTCTAAGCATAAAATGATCACTTATCAAACTGAGGTTTTTAAGTACATGTACCTGGTAGTGAGTAAAACTCTACACTAAGTTTCATCACTCTCCATCAGTTAGAATCAAAGCAATCTTGTCCCAAAGCATCAGCAAATGAAATTTCTTAGCTCTGCTTAGCTTTAATGGGAAATACTAATCATTGAACTCGGTCAAGTCATTCGCCTAATGAACATCAATACCTTAGTTAACAGAACTGTTATGTTCCAAAGTTTTGACCAATTAAATTGCTTATCGTTACTTAGCCTAAGCAGAAAATTCCCATCATCGAACTTAGTCATAATGTATTGATATAATGAATCTATACTCAGTTTCATCGTTCTCACCCAATTAGAACCAAAGTTATCGTGTTCCAAAGTCTCAACCAATCAAATTGCTCATCTCTGCTTAGCCTACACCAATTTTGAACATTCTACCTCAATTAGAAGGACAGTTATTGTGTTCCAAAATCTCAACCAATCAGATTGAAGTCTCTACTTTGCCTAAGCAGGAAATGCTCAGCATCGAACCTTGTTAAGGTATTGATGTAATAAAACTATACACATCATTTCAACACTATCAAGTCTCGACCAATCAAACTGCTTATCACTTTGCTTACCCTGAACCGTAAATGCTCTCATAATCAAACTTAGTCAAGGTATTGATGTGATGAAACTATACACCAAGTTTCATCACTCTCACTTAATTAGAACCAAAGTTATTGTGCCTCAAAGCATCAACCAATCAAATTGCTTATCTCTGCTTACTCTATTCAGAAAATGCTTATCTTTGAACTCCATCAAGACATTTACCCAATCAACGCCTACACCAAGTTTGAACATTCTACCTCAATTCGAAGGAGAGTTATTGTGTTCCAAAGTCTCAACCAATCAAATTGCTTATCGCTCTGCTTACCCTGAGCCATTTTAATAGTCCCCTACTTTCTTCAAAAGGTGGGGGACAATAAATATATTATTGTGATAATAACTTAGCAAATATCATGATAAATACTGTTTAACCTTGAACTTGCCAAACAAGTGTTCCTTGGTTACGAGTTCTAGCTGGACCATATTAAACTAAAATATTATATTTTAGAAGATCAACAAAATAAAATTATGTCCATTGGCCTAATGGAATTAAGTTTGAGATATCGTATTAATGTTCTATCAATGCTTGTCCATGTTCAGTCAATGCTTGTTTATTTTATGTAGTCCACCAAACATAAAAACATCTACCATCAATCCATTCACATTGCATCAATCTTGACCTCGCGCATTGCTATTTCCACTTTTTCAGTTTGTATTGCGCACTACAGTCACACTTGTCTTGTGAAGGTATCAATATAGCATGTATTATCATCAATATTGGGACAAGATAATTATCTTAACACAATAATTTTGGTTGTCATGCATGATATACTGTTTTTTTTTTATTATTTTTAAGTAAGTCTGATATGATAAAATCGCCGATGATTTTATGACAATATACATATACCAAAAACCTGGTATATCGCCCAACCCTATGTCGCTCAATAACAAACAGTAAATGTATTCCATAGAATTGTGTCCAGACTATTCCTACATTTGCTTTTTATTAGTGACATGTGTTGTGCATGATGTAAGGTATGTCTATTCTTGACAGAATTTGTGTGATAACTACAGATGATTGTTACTAATATAAAAATATATAATTTGCAAACCTGATTAGCTGATCCATCAAATGTACAATCAAAGACAAATTGTTTTTCTCGTGATCTATTAGCTCGTAAAATATCATCATGATCTTCTGTTGGATCTAACAACACCACCATCTAAAAAATACAACATAGTAATAATATTATTGTTTCTGATCATCATTGGAGGGGTTTTCAATTGCTTGCAAGTTGAATCTCTAAAAGGAATATCAGTTCAAAAATGGTTTTATTCTGTTTAATATTTACAAAGATAGGATACAGCATCCTCGCAGGAATAATAAACAAGCCAATGCCTCTTCTATAAATTTTGGTTAAAATCTTAGATATTATCCTTAAATCAGTGCAATGGAAATCAGTGGCATAATTAGGCAGCAGGCCATTGGGCAGTGTCCTGCTTTCCCCTCCACTCCATGGGTCATCAACTCGCCTAATTACCAACTTTATCAATCAAAATAATGTCATTTTGAGCGTAATTTTCTCCAAGGGTTGTGCTCTCTATCATCAAACCCCAATAGCCCCTTGGCCTAACCTCACCTTCCACCTTTGAAAATCCTGTAAAGATGTTTATCAGATATCAATTTGTATGTTTATTGGTAATAAAACAGATAAAACAATGAACTACATATGTATCATATCATTGTTCAAACATTTATACAGAATAAATCTATATAATCTGATAGGCCCTAGTATTCAATAGGCTTCTATTCTATGACTCAAAATTTCTTGTATATTCACAAAATTACAAAATCACTAATCATTCATTTCAAATTATTTTATCATATTGATTATGGGTTCGACAATAAAGTGTATAACAGTATACAAATGTCAATTTTTATTCTTGTAGGTGGAGGACAGAACCACCGACAGACCACTCCTAAACAAATATCCTGAGTCCGCCACAGTAACAATCATTAAAATATTTATGAATTAATGATTGACAATTTTGTAATAAGCTTTTATTCAATGTGCATTACGATATGTTGTCTACTATGTATACATGTATGTAGATGTTTATAAGACCTCTAGAATCAATTAATATTACAGAGAAAGAAAGCAATGACATTTAAACCACTTCAAGTCCAAACAAACATTCCTCTCCTTATTCAATTCATGAAGAATGGAATAATAAGCTGTGATTCTATTGCCCATAGAGTTTGAATATATACTCCAAACAATATTACTTTTCATTGGCTATTGATCATATTCAGTGAACCAATGACTACCAAGTTTATATTAGGAGATTTGTATAAAGAATGTACAAGTGTACCTGCCGTTCTCTGGTAACTATGAATATTTTAATATATATTAAAAGAATGTTAGTCATAGAAAGTCAACTTGAATTTCGACACGTCAATTAATAAATATGAAAATTTCATGTGTATGATTTTAAATCAATGAATCTGAAAGCGTTGCCTCATGATACACAGCCATGAATTTTTTAAAAACATATTCTATGGTTAGCAGTCATCCTAAAATCTATTTATTTCTAAATGGATGCTTTAATGAAATGTCTGGTAGGGACACCAAATTTGATGGGCCAGGGGGCATAGTGCAATAAAACTAAAATGTGAGCTTTCTGAACTGAACCCACACTGTACATTAAATTCTGGATCCATAATTGTAAATGCATAAATTTTTGGGCACCTATAATCAAAATAGTCTCTCTCCACACAGCTTTCAAGCATTTATTAATGAAAAGAACCAGAAATATTTTTGACAGCCTCTAATTTTCCAGCATGCCAGATTTGTCCCTCTCCAACTTATTCTTAAATATCATTGTCCATGTATCTGATCACACCTCCCACATCCGCTTACAAAATATCCTAGAAAGAGTCTATTGTTACATATGGATAAAATTCAATTATGTAAAATTATAAATAACATTTTTTCATAATGTCATGAAACATTTGAAAAGAAACATTTACATCAATAATAGTCATACATGTACATTCAGTGGGTGTTTTTCTTTACATTTATTTTTATTAATTTAACCATCAGTAAAAATAAAACAAAAATATTTTGATCATCAATCATTTAAATTGAAATGCATACAAAAGACATAGAAATACATGAATTTCAACTTTGCGCTTCAATTTGACATTTATACATATTGTAATGATCTATAAATAAAATGAACAACCACTTTTATAAACTCTTTTATTATCAAAATAATATTTTGAATGATTTTGTTATTTATCTTTGCTTTGACGTAGCTTTCTAGATATTCTGTCAATATGTAATTATACAATTCATATAATGTGTTGACCAATGTCTTGAAAAACTATTGCAAGAGAAAACAAAAGATGCCCTTTCAATATCAACCTGTATTGACAACGATTAGAATATTCTCCATTACTTCCTCATTGTTGCATAAATGTTGATGTTTGGTATCACCTTGGCAACAAGAAAACAAAACAGAAATGTTAAAAAAATATTTTCTATCACATGTACATGTCTGAAATTCTTAAGAATGTTAATTATCAGAAATAGATTTCTAAACTATCTATTTGAATTAATAACATCATAAGAATTATTGATTAAAATTATTCTCGTGACTGAAAAAAATAAAGTTTGTACTTTCATTCTCAGGATGCCGTGATGATTAAATTTAACCACTGTTAATTTACAAAGACATCATAAGATAGTTCTAAATCTTGCTCTTGACAAACATACTTCACATTCGGTCTAGGTTCATAAATTGTGATTCACTCGAAAAGCCATCGACAAATACATCTTCATATGAGGTAATTTAAAGATGCATAACCGTATGTAAGAGCTAAATTTTTCTTTCGGCCTCAAATGTTATATAAATTATTAATTAGACATTTATTCACATGACAAAGCCCTACTAGAGCATTGGATGGTTGTGATTTTGAATGGATTGAAACATGATCACCATTTAATAATTTAATTTAAAAATGGATAATGGAGACTTGGTTTATTATCGTAAAAACAGTAACAATGAAAATTGAGACTATGCTTTTCTTCAAACAGTCATAACTTTGCTCGGAATAAAGTAATTTGACTGAACTTTACAATATATTCTTTCATTATCTATTTTTAAACTATTACAGCAAGAAATTTCAGCATAGTGCATCTTTAAGGAATATATAACAACTGAGATATTTTCATCACAAGACAGGACTGTAATTTTAAAAGAAGACGTATCAATTATTCAAAGAGATGATATTTCAACATTCTAACAACAAATAGAAAACAATGACTTCACGTATTAAAATGTCTAGCCCTCCACCATTTAAGCACCAGGTTAAATAAAAGTACACTGTCTTTAATGTTATTTGAGTGTATATTGTATATTAGTATTTTACATTCAATTTTTAAAATTTATGATAATTTCTCATTAATTAAATTTTGGTCAAATACACGAACAGTCCAAATTGAACAGCAATCTTTTGAGCTTGCGTAGTCCATTCTACACTTTTTTTGGGTAAGAAGCTGGCTTGCTAGCCTAGAGGTCGTGTGTTCGACCACTGCATTGGCCGAGAAAGTTTATCCAGATTTTCCGACGTGGTTCCCCTTTGTCAGTGATGCAGGACGGAGGGCCTGACAAGGACAGCAGTCTAGTCATTTGGATGGGATGAAAATCCAAGGCCCCTTGTACACATTGGCGTGCACGTAAAACATCCCTTGACAGTTGGAATTTGTTATAAAAGTAGGCTGTAGTGCCGCTGTCCGGGCAAAATGTCTCTCATTGCACATTGTATGGCGTATGCCCATCTTCATTAGCCCAGTTCAGAACAGAACAGTAGGACGTTAAACTCCATTTCATTTCATCAGCCATTTTGAATTACTTTTGCACTGTCGTTTGGGATATGTTTTCTTTGTTCCTTACGAATGGCATTCGAAAGCATTATGTCCATAGAGTACAAAAGTTGTGTACTGATTTTAAAATATTCATTGTATCTAAATATCAAATATTATGGATGATCTTGAGTTAGAGACGTAGCTCTTTTAAATAATATGTTTATAAGTAGTAAGTGTAGACTGGAAAGAGAAAATACAGGATCTTTAGTTACCACTGACCAGTACATGCATCTTGGAAAACAAAAAGGAACAGCTTAGACGAATTCACTCCAAAAGTAAATTACATCACAGATGCTTTCTTTAATTAACATGTGGGGGTTTCAATACCTAAAACTTACTGTTTATTATTTGTTCCACACATAGTTATATATTCATATTGCTTCATATTACGTTGAACTCGTAATGGGGTTTGTTTACATGTGGAAATTGCATAAATAGCCACCATTTTGTGTATATGCCGTCGACTTGTAGTTTGGATCTTTCTATTAGTCAATATGTGATAAAATCAACCAATTTGAGAGAAGGATCTAGATTGTAACTCACTTGGAGTGCATAGGTTATGCATGTGCATTTCTTAGTTGGGTGATATAAGATTTCGTGCTTTCCTTAGTACGAATAGTGTTAGTTCGGGCTGAGGCAGGTGCAAGTCCTATATTTTCAGCTGGTTTACCACTGGTAAGAAGAAGACGAACCGACTCGGACACGTGTCTCGGTCATTTTCTTTTGTACTGAACGAAATAAAGAATCTAAAACTCTATAAAAGTGTTGTCTTTTACTCTAATCCACACAGGGAGCCTGACATCCTGTATACAAACCTGGGATTTCCAGTTGCATAAGAGCCAGTCACAGTCGATGCTCAAGTGCTAATCGGGAACAACCCGTCCTGTTACAAACAATAGCACTTAAACATACATGGCCACTTGAAAAAAAAATCCAAAGTTAATCCAGTGCACATAGCCATTACCATTATCTATTATTAAAAAATGCAAAGAGATGGATTCAAAATAAACCACAAAAATCAATTTTAAAAAATAAATCAAAACAGTCTTCACTTTCAGTACTCCACACAATTTTATTGCACTCAGAAATACCATCTTTGCTTGTTCAAAATTAAATTATTTAACCCGTACAAAAATTACTGTATACTGATAATCTTAAAGAGCATACTTATATTGCAAATGAAAAAATATTGTGCAGTATGGTGGCCCATGGTCGCAATAGAGTTTTTTGGGTTAAAATAATAAAAATATTAGTAAAAAAACAAGAAATTTTAAAATTGAAAAAAAAAGAAA